AATATTGGACACAAGAAGTATATTAAAATAGATTTAAATTAAGGGTTAATATAGGTTAGTTTTTAAATTAATCAAGTGTTATTGTAAGAAACTAAAATTTACTCCAATAATTCTCCAAAAAGGAACGGTTTTTTCTAAAAAACTCTCTTAAACCTTGAAAAATTAAAATCTGAGCATTTTTAACCTAAATTTCTATAAATCTATAATCTGAAAAATACTTGTTTTTGATAAAATAGAAGGATAGACTTATCATCACTACCAGAAGCTAATATATTTCCATCAGGAGAGAAACAGACTCATATTTGGTTTTTTACTAACCTCTTTCAATATCTTATAAGGGGCAGACTTATCAATTAAATTAAAGATTGAACTCTTGAATAATGTAAAAGTATATTTAATTAAATTATAAAATAGCTTAAATACATTTTGATTTTTCAAACCTTTGGAACTTGAGATCCAATCCTTATATTATAAGTAAGATGAGAATAGATTGATTTTTTTTACTCCTCTCATGTTCCTTAATCCAAAGCACTTTCTAATATATTTAAAATGATTTTTTCATCAATAGAAATCCAATAAACAAGATATAACGAAGGAGATTTATTCAAAGAAAATATCTATAATAAAAATTTAAGGCCAGGTAAAAAGCTATATAGCTCGTTTGTAAAAAAATGTAAGAGAGTTTTGAGGGAAGTAAGATTTAGCTTTATAATTAATAATTAATGATCAAGTTGAATATAAATATTTATAAGCATTTTTCAAAGGTCCTTCGAACTTTTTTTCTATTCTTTAATTGAGAAATTATACCAATTTTTAGAAATCTTTTCATATCTATCAGGCCTTTGAAAATTATTAGAGAATTTATAAAATACTAAAATAAAGTCTCTTATTTTTGATATGAATCTTTCGTATTGTTAATATCTATACATTGAGAATATTTAAATTATTTATTTGAATAAGACAATTCTTTACTTTGATCAGATGTACAAAATTAATTGAATAAGTAATCTTCAAACTTCTATTAATAAAATTCATTTTCATTAAAAGAGTAGAAGTATTATTATTTGTTTTTGAAGGAAATCTTCAACATTTTAAGGATGTTTTAGCTTTATTGAATGATACAAAAAAAATGAAGAAATGCTATAAGAACCTGGTGCCAAAAGATAGTTCCCATAGCCTTAATTATCAAAAATTGAAGTGAACGTAGCTAGCCAAAAAAAATAGGATAAAAAGGACTGCTTATTTATTGATTTTAGCAATTCTTTTAGTCGTATAAAAATTCTTTGCATCTTTAAAACCTACATTATATTTGCCTAAAAACTAATATTATAAATTACTTTTAGAATGGTTTTCCGAAAGGTTTCCCTTATTACCCTGGCTTTTTAATATATATTTCGAGGATCACTTAGATACCCTTAAATAAAATTGCCATTTAAATACATTTCTTTGATTTTGCAGATGAAATAGTATTATTCATTGAACACAATAATTAATAACCTTTCTATAATAATTAGCATATTCTCTGAGTTATATGATCTAAGAATAAATAAATTAAGGTGGTATATTTTCATTCATATTGAAAATGCAACCATCTAAAAGGATTCCATTTATTTAAAATTGCAGATATATTTTGAATTAAACTTAACAATTTAAGGAAAACTTAATTTAAAACTTGATAAAATCTAATTATCTTTAAAATTTATAATTGAAAAGCAATTAAGGATTTCTAAATAATTAAAACTGGAAATAAAAATATTAGTTAATCTAAATATTCTTAAAACCTCTATTTTTCCCTCAATTCAAGCTTAAAAATAAATAATGTGCTTTTACGCTTAAACAAATTATGTAAATCTCGCTTTGAGAACGTTTGTAATTTCCCTTAAAGGCTTTCTAATTAAATTCTAGATTTATTACACAAAATCTTTTGGAAAGCTACAGATGGAAACTTTGGGTAAAATACTTTTATGAATTATCATTTTATTCATCTCTATTCCAATTTTTCAAGCTTTACCAAATAATTGTAATTATTTATTTAATATTTAATAGATAAAATATTTGGATTTTTTTCCTTAATGAATCCAAAAAAATTAGAAAAAGAAACTAAGAAGTTGGCTTCTCTAAAAATGTAACCAGATGAAATTTTTAAGTTATAATCGTTCTAAGCCTTGACATTCAAATATTAATGAACTTTTTAACTTAAAGTAAGCTTTTATTTCTCATTTATTTGTATGTTAATCTGATTAATGTATTGCCACATTGTCCATCAAAATATCAGATTTATGTCGATATTTTTAAAAGGAAAAATATTAGGCTTTTTAAGTTTTTCCATGTTGGATGAGAATTTTATTTAATAATTGTATTTGAATTTAAAAATCAATATTTTTATAATACATTATAGCTTAAGGAAAATGGATTGTGAAAATTTATTCCAATAGAAATAAATAAGCTTATATACAATATATGATGAATTTTTAAAGTGTTTTTGAGTTATTTTATTTTTAATAAAATATTTTTAAAAGCAAATTTTTCAATGGATCAACTAGAAAAAAAAAGTATATTGGTCTCAATTTTAAAGGAGCTTCCCTCAAACTATGAAATACAAGAGATTAAGACATTTACAGGAATCAATAAATAACAAATGTAGTTGATCTTAATAAAATTAGTATATAATCGTCAACTACTCTGAAAAGCTTGAAACCATTGTAAATTTAACATAGAACACTGTTTGATAATTTAAAACAATAAGTCAATTCATAAAAACAATCATTTAGTAATGAACTTGACATTTAAATATCTAAACTTTTAACAACATTAAGTCCGTAATATGAAATAAATGATAAATTTCTAGAGATAAGTGAAGTTGAGAGAATCAACTTTGACACTGATAACACTTAAGAACCAGAGTAGATACTGTTTAAATTACAGACTGGATTTATTCATTTAATCATTTTTTGGGTAATTTTAATAAAATACTATACAATTAGGCAAGTTGGTCAAATAAAAGTAAAGAACTGATTGAATAATGTGAAAACTTATAACAAAAAAAGTTAGAATGGTAAGGATAAATTAAAATTGTTGGAATGTCTATAGATTCTTAATTGTAATTATTGATAAAGAGACTGAATAACAACAATTGGAAGAAAATTGAACATTATAGATTTCCAAATGGATATGATGATAATAATTAGATTTTCAATGAACTGAATATTAAAGATATCCCATTTATATTCATCACTAATAAGAAAGGCGAAATTATATACTTGGGATCTCCAGAAAATATCTTTCTTGAAGAATTTCTTGATAATGAATTAAATCAACTTTTTTAACAAAAATGTACAAAAGTAAATCAAATAATAATTGATGAGAATTAAAGTTAATCAGCTATTGAATAATTTAGACAATTAAAAAACAATTTTCTAAAATTATTTAGTATTATTTAGGAAGCTAATTTTAATGGAAAAGTAGAAATTAGCTTATAGAAAATAAGTACATGGAAGAAAAATACATTAAAAAGAGTACTTTTAGAATCAAAACTTGAATTAATTTATGATGTACATAAAAGTGAGGAAAACAAAATCACATAATTTCTTGATGAATTTTGGTCATAAATACCAAATAATCTTAAATAAGTACTTAAATCAAAAATTAGAGATCCTGATAGAGAAGAGTATGAAATTAAAGCAAAATTTTAAGAAATTTTTTCAATCTAAGAAATATAGTTATAATACTTTCCTTAAGAAATTCTGAAATTAAGTTATATGAATGGAGAATATAAAACTGAAAAGAAAAACTCTTTTACAACATTGCCTCAAAATTTAACAGCATAATCTTTCACAAGAGCAATTAGTGAAGTTAAAGACTTCTTTTCCAACCTTAGTGATGATGAAGAACGTACAATAAATATTGATTCAATAACTCAAGACATAAAATCTTATGTAACTTTAGAACCTTTTCATACTTTTCAGCCATTGCATAATTATAGGAAATGGGGTTAAGAAAATTACATTACCATTGAGCATGTTTAAGGTTAAATCTTAGTTCTAGATTATTGGGCCTATGCTTGTGGACCTTGTGTTAAAGGGATATCTCATTTAGCTCAATTAATGAAAAATAATATAACAAAGTGGGGTAATTCTGTTAGATTCATCATTCTAAGTATTGCTCTATCAGATGAATCATAATTATTTATGGATTTAAACCAGGAGCTTCAAAAATATTTAGAGTTTTATTTTCCAAAGTAAGTGCGATAAATTGATTAAATCGTTTATGGAATGTAGTCTATTCCTCATTATTTGATTATAGATAAATTTGGAATCATCAGATATAAAGGGGAACTGTAAAATATTGAAAAAAAGGTCAATAAATTAAGAGATGAATAAAACTAACAATTGTAAGTTGATCATTAGCATATACCAATGAATGATACCAAAATTTTATAAATAATTACAGACTTATTTTAAACTAATATGAAAGAAAATTTCAGACTTATAGACAAAGATAAAGTTATTCAATTTGAAATTGTAATAAAAATAATAAAGATTCTGAATGAATCAAAGATATCAAAAACTTTCCTTTAATATTATGTAAGAGATACTTAACTTGTACAGATTAAAAAGTTTTTAGATTAATTATTTAATATAATTCCAAAATAAATATGGACTATTTCTAAATACATATAAAATACTATTTCCATAAAATATCCTGGACTGATATGCACAGTTTGTAAAAAGGACATATCTTAGCATGCTTAACAATATTATTCTTATTTTAAAGATGAGCATGTATGCATAGAATGTGCTGAATTTGATGATGTTAAAAAAATTGGTATGGAAAGGTTTAGATATGCTGATACTTTAATTTTTATTAATGGTCCTTTGACTGATGAGTCTGTGTTACATAATATAGAAATTCAAAAAGTTGGAAAAAATTTAAAATTAAAAGAAGGAGAAATAGGTAATTAAAAGCAAAGTTTCATCTGCTTTTAGTGTCAAACAAACTAACCATTTGGTCCAAGATACATATCATTGAATAATCAATTAGGAAGATTTGTTGAAGATGTAATCTAATTGATAATATATTTAGAATTATATCGATTATTGTTAATTGTGTTTTACTAAGATTAAGAGTTAAAATTTGAAAACAAGAGAGCTTACTCTATTTACAAGAGTTCTCTTTGATTATGGAGAATATTCAATGTTTTGACATCAAATATACACATTAATAATAATGATAAAATAAATTTTAACTGTCTCAAGATATTTCTTAAATATTTAATTGTAACTAGATCCTGTTTTGAATTATTTTAAGGCTAATTATAAAATAAGAGATAAAATAACCACTTTCATTCCAAGAAATTATAATTCAATGATCAACTAGCTTCCCTTATAATTTAAATGTTAATTTCTTATATTTTACATTGAATTTTCTTCTAATTATTGTAATATAAGGTTGTTATATATTTATAATCTTTCTTATTTTAAAAGTTCAAGACAAAACTGATACAAAGTAAAGTTCAGTATTGAAAAGAAGGATAATTAAGGCAAATTATTATTACGATTTGATAACATACTATTGTATAATGAATTTCAAATGAAACCAACAATAAGGCTAATTTTCAATACATTCTAAGTATACCTGTAACAATATTTTTTGATTTAATAAATTTAACAATAAACATATAAATAAATTTATAATGAAAAGCTTTCACTGAATCTTACTCAAATTATTAATTCATAACCATCTATTTCTATTTCTAAAATAGACCAATATTTCCAATCTCAATTACTTAATAAAATCTAATTTCTACTGTTTTGAATCCTTCTTGAATATCAATTTAGTAGAGGGATTTGTAAAATTTCAGTAACTCCAAGTCAAGATATTAAAAATTTAATGTAGGTATAACAGTGTTGATACATGCTATAATGAATNAATATAATTCCAAAATAAATATGGACTATTTCTAAATACATATAAAATACTATTTCCATAAAATATCCTGGACTGATATGCACAGTTTGTAAAAAGGACATATCTTAGCATGCTTAACAATATTATTCTTATTTTAAAGATGAGCATGTATGCATAGAATGTGCTGAATTTGATGATGTTAAAAAAATTGGTATGGAAAGGTTTAGATATGCTGATACTTTAATTTTTATTAATGGTCCTTTGACTGATGAGTCTGTGTTACATAATATAGAAATTCAAAAAGTTGGAAAAAATTTAAAATTAAAAGAAGGAGAAATAGGTAATTAAAAGCAAAGTTTCATCTGCTTTTAGTGTCAAACAAACTAACCATTTGGTCCAAGATACATATCATTGAATAATCAATTAGGAAGATTTGTTGAAGATGTAATCTAATTGATAATATATTTAGAATTATATCGATTATTGTTAATTGTGTTTTACTAAGATTAAGAGTTAAAATTTGAAAACAAGAGAGCTTACTCTATTTACAAGAGTTCTCTTTGATTATGGAGAATATTCAATGTTTTGACATCAAATATACACATTAATAATAATGATAAAATAAATTTTAACTGTCTCAAGATATTTCTTAAATATTTAATTGTAACTAGATCCTGTTTTGAATTATTTTAAGGCTAATTATAAAATAAGAGATAAAATAACCACTTTCATTCCAAGAAATTATAATTCAATGATCAACTAGCTTCCCTTATAATTTAAATGTTAATTTCTTATATTTTACATTGAATTTTCTTCTAATTATTGTAATATAAGGTTGTTATATATTTATAATCTTTCTTATTTTAAAAGTTCAAGACAAAACTGATACAAAGTAAAGTTCAGTATTGAAAAGAAGGATAATTAAGGCAAATTATTATTACGATTTGATAACATACTATTGTATAATGAATTTCAAATGAAACCAACAATAAGGCTAATTTTCAATACATTCTAAGTATACCTGTAACAATATTTTTTGATTTAATAAATTTAACAATAAACATATAAATAAATTTATAATGAAAAGCTTTCACTGAATCTTACTCAAATTATTAATTCATAACCATCTATTTCTATTTCTAAAATAGACCAATATTTCCAATCTCAATTACTTAATAAAATCTAATTTCTACTGTTTTGAATCCTTCTTGAATATCAATTTAGTAGAGGGATTTGTAAAATTTCAGTAACTCCAAGTCAAGATATTAAAAATTTAATGTAGGTATAACAGTGTTGATACATGCTATAATGAATTTAATTGTTAAACAATTAATTTAAAATATTTTCTGTTTTAAAAACCACTTCCCCAAAGAACAAATAGAATAATTAGTTGGATTAATAGTTTTTAACAAGGAAAAATGGAGACAGATATTAGATATTTTTAGAGAATTTATAAAGAGATTCTCTTGTAAGAGGGAATATGGGAAGAGATAATTATAAAGATCATTGAATAGTAAGCTCAAAAAACATAATAGAAATAATGAAATTAACATCTAAGAGAATTAAGAAAATAATATCCTTAGACTGCAACCCTAACCAAAGAAAAATGAATAACAACAATAAAAAAATCATTCACATTCATTATGAAAATTATTAGAAGTTTTCTCATAATTAAGTTAGTGAAGACATTTTAATAGATTTATTAATTTTGTTTACAAAAACAATTCTTAAGCAATTATTTTTTGTCAAAGAAACATAGAATTTTATTATTAATTTATAATTATATGAAAGTTTTCTTTAAGATTTTAATTAGTTAATTGAATTTGATGTTATGAAAAAATTCTTGTATTATTAAAAAAAATTTGAAATACTTTTAAATTATGTACTTCTCAATCTACATAACGAATAATTCAGATGTTGGCATACTATGAAGTAATACTTAAAGGCTATTATATGAGTAATGAAATTGTAATGCTTTAATAACAGAATAATTATTTAAAATTTTGTAATAACTTATTTAATAAAGTTTAGGTTTAATTTTCCTAAATGACTACTTCTCTAAAATTCTAAATTATGTTAAATCTTGGAAATATTAACAATTCAAAAATATTTTTTGAAAATTGAAATCCATTTTGCTTTCTTTTAAATATTTATATTAAATTGAAGAGAAGATTTAACAATTATTATTTAATTTGCATCAGATTATGTTAAAATAAATAATTGCTTTTAGCACAAACAAAATTAAGAATTAAAGAATTTTAAAAAGAGAAATTTATTCCATTCTACATTAATGGAAGAATAGCATTAATTAGATATTGGATCTCAAGTGTTACCTTTAGTTGAGTCTCAAAAACATTATTTTCCCCCCAAAGTATTACAAGCTGAATTACATGGAGTAATTTTGTTTCTAATTAAAGAAAGTATATAAAATTCATAAAGGGTTTCAAATTGGTTCTTAAAGATGCTATTGCTGCAATTATCATTTGATTCAAGACTATTTTGACTTATTTTGCAATATTAAAGAATTCAAATATAATCGGGCTGCATATTTATACTTTTTACAACTCCAATAGTTTATATTTCTGTTCTGCATTCCATGGTATTAATTAAATTAACAATCAGCATAACTTTTCTACCTTATGCTTTGTATTTCAATTCTTAAGGAGATGAATGCGAAAAAATGAAAAATTGCATTCCAAGCTATTATAATTAGTTATCTATATGGAATCAAACCCAAGATTATTTTTAGTTAGATAATATTTATTTACAAATCTTTTACCTACTTACAATATTGTTAAGCTCGGTAGGAGTTTATTTAATGATATTTGGAAATAAGCACAAGATTTTCCTCAGCAACTAATACTCTAGAGCTTTTCTTTTGTAATCAGTAATGGTAATGTAAGATTAAGATGAAATAAAATTTAAATAAGAAAGGCAAGCTTTGAAAAATCATTAGTATATTAAAGTGCATAGTTTAGATAAATTTTAAGAGACCATAAAAAACTAAACAGAAAAATATTATATATAAGCTCATCTTGATAAGTATCAATAGTTAAATATCATTTAGTTAACAATAAGTATTAGATGCTATGTTTTAGGAAAAAGTTAATCCTCGTTTGATACAATTAGGTACAATAATAATTTTTCAGTCAGAAGTAAATTACGAATTATATATAGAGCGAAAAAATTGACTTCTAAATCAAAAATAAAGATATCATAGTAGAAAACGGGGAGCAAAGATATATAACTTAAAATAATGCAAAAATTAATTGCAAAATTATTCTCAAGATTCTAGGAATAATTATAGTTGCTATATTAACTATTTTATCATTGGCATTTAGTGTATATTTATAAGCAAAGTATTTGAAAACTAATTCTACTCTAGTTTAAGCAAACTTGCTCAAAATTTTCCTTAATATTCTATTCTACTTTCAAATATATTTTTCAAATTTGATTGCCAAAAATTTGCTTCATCATAACAATTATTAATAAATATATTTCACTGTATTTATATTTTAATAAAATAGTGCTTAGTCATAGGCTTTAAAAATATAAATAGAATTTTTACAACTATATCTAATTAAGAAGCATATTTATAAGAAAATGGAATAATTGATAATTTAATTATACTTTGTTACTTAAATATCGTTTTACCAAATCTGACTACAATATTTGATTCAAATTATTTATTTAACTAGTTTAAAAAAAATTATCTGAAAAGATAGCAAAGGACAAATTTAGCATAAATTGAAATAAATAAATATTTTGAGGCAAGATAATTATCTTTTGAATTAAAATAGTACAGAATCTTTTAAATCTGTTTAATTGGCCAAATATTTATGATAGACTTTCCATTAATAGCCCCTTTAACATTATTGGCTCTTTGTATTATATATTGGATCGACAAATTTATTTTTGTTAAACATTGCATTCCATTCTAAAATTAATGGGAAGAAGATAATACTTTAGAAATCCAAAAACAGTAATATTTACAATTTTATATTATGTATTGCTTTTAAAATTTTTTCTTTTTTAATAATCCTCTTTTAATTTTTGGAATGCTTGGTTATATTATTTTCTTTAAAATTATTATTACTCGAAAATTAGATAAAATGGTTTTTCAAAATAAAACAACTCTTAAACCTTAAAAATTAAAAAAATATGCATAATAATATGATCTGGTTCACATTCAAGGGGAAATTGAATATATAAAACATCAATATTTATATGAAACATTCAAAATTCTAAAGTAATATTTATTAAAAGTAATAAATCAATATTATATAGAAATTGGAAACAACAAGAACTTAAATAAAGGATACATCAATCTGAAATTAATTATAATATATATATCAATTTTATTCTAAATTTATTCTAAATAATATCTTAAATCTTATGTAAATAAAACATCTAAAAAATATTATACTTGTATTTTTATTTGATTAGTATTACACAAACATTCATTTAAACAACAAATAATAAATATTAAATCCATTATATCGAAACTTTGCTCCGTCAATGGATTTATTTAGGAATATCTAAAATATCATTATTATGAATTAAAAATTATTCAGATTAATTTTAATTGATAAGCTTTAAAGAAAGCAAGAGAGAAATATTAAAATTAGATATAGTAAATCCTAGAAACAATACAGAAATTAAGCTTATTTATGAGAAAATTGATTTTACAAGAGTGATATTATGATAACTTTAAATTTGGTAGTATCCTTATTAAATTGATTCATACTTAATTTCAACTTTTATTCATCCACATTAACCGAATAAATGCTTGCTTTTGCAAAAAATCATATCAAATTTTCTTGATAATTAAATAAGCAATAATGTTCAATAATTTTATAGAATTGGCATTGCGTTTTATTGAGTTATTAGCACATATTTTAGTTGCATTCTAGTCTATTCTGATTAATTTCTTGCATGACTAACTAATTTGACTTTCTTTTCAAAATGATAAGGCTATTCTATTTATTAATGATCAAATGCTGGTTTTTTGGATAATATGGTTCAATTTTTCGTATTCGATATTTTATCTCATAGAATAATTTAATTAACACTATTAAAACATAATTCTACATTTTTATGTTTAATCTTAAGGATTATAAAAAAGAAATAAAAATTTAAACATTAACATTGTGAATTTTCAAATTATACTAGTGAGTATTTAAATTAGAGATTTTTTTATACAAGATCTCATATTAATTAGGGTTTGATCATTATTATAAAAGAAGTAAGCTATCAATAAGAATAGTTCACTTTATTCAATAATATCCTATTCTATTAAAGATCTTACTCTTTACTATATATATAATTATTAATTATTATAGTAAATTTCATTGTTTTTTGAGAAAAAACATCAAGGTTCTCCAAAATTAATCATAAAAAAAACCATCTCATATTGAAATTCTAAAACAGGAGTAAATATATATCTAAAATTCATAATTGATGGAAACAATGCTAGTTTAAGAAAATTTAATAATAGTTTAGAAATAATATAAACCATTCCTTCAATTTCTATAAGAATGATACTAGGTTCTTATTTCAAGATATATATTTGTTAACTTGATTACAAGAAAGATTTTTAGCTATTCAAAAAAACAAAGGAGAATTAAAATAGAATAATATTTGAGATTTTATTTCAGCTAAATAAGAATTTCTAATCATTAATACTTTGATAAGAATACAAGGTTGATATTTGAGATTTAAAAAATATTATTATAAAGATCTGTTAGACTATTTCTAAAGATAAGGAAAATAAGCAAGCAAGAACCTATTTTAAATGAACATTTATTAAGGATTAATTTAAATAATAAAAAACTTATCAAAAGTTTTTTTCATTTGACTCTGCTTTTTCATCATCCCTTATTCTAAATTGAATAGTTGTTGCAAATCCATTTCTAATAACACAATAGAATAAGAAGCACAATAAACCTTGCCAACTCATATATTACTCGAGGACAAAATTCATACCTTCATGTCCATTACCAAATCCAATAAGATTAGCTAAACACATCATTTCAATTTAAAATCCTCCTCCTAATCTACATAACCATATAAACCATGGTTTTTTATAGAAGAATTCTTTGTCGAAATATTTTTGTAAAGCTATTTCTGGAATTAGTGCTAAACATATTATCCAAGCCCAAAGTAAAAGATCTAATTTAAAATCATGCCATAAAGCTACAAAAGTAAAGACAGCCCACATATTCAAAGATTTATATTTAGATCCACCCAATGGAACATAAATATACCTAATCAACCATTAGTTAAAACTTCTATGCCATGATCTCCAAAATCCACTAAAATTATAATTATTATAGATGCATCTATTCATATTTTCAGGTGTCTCAATTCCTAAAATAGAATATTAAATACCATCCAATAATGCCCATCCTCTTGCAATTCTCCATATTGTCAGAAATTTGTACCATAAAAAGATTAGATTTGTGAAACCCATAATATGAAATTCAAAAACAGAAAAGGTTTTCAGAATTTTAAAATTACTTGCAATTTTAGGAATAGCGTTAGGGTAGCATATGTGAAGAAAAATTTCGAAAGTCAAAAAATCAACAAAATAGACTCTTAAGATATATTTTAAGACTTATGCTCTATTCATTTGTTATTAGGGTATTTTCAGTTAAGAATTGAATGCATTATAACCCATAGATGGTCCTGAAAAAAGAAGAGGAACATAAAATAAAAAGCTAAGATAACCCAAAAAGTTGTATTCCTCTAATGATTGTGGTTCTTGTACTCTCTCTCTATATGTTTTAAGTATTTGCTTCTCGTGTATTAAATCATATCTTTTTGAATTAGCAAAAGTTTACTTGTATTTGGCATCCTATTAAGAAGCCCAAACCTTATCTACAGAAAAACTAATAATTCTTAGTAAAATCATGTTAAATACTAGGTTCCATCTTACTAATTCATTATTGTGTTTGAAGTCTTCTAAGAATTTTAATGATGGTGATATCGCAGTAAATGAGTATCCTTAGAATGTCTCATTAGACCATAGAGTCACTAATGCTAGAGTCCACAAAAGGGGGATGAAATATTTCATTTTGAAAAATATCTAGTATTAAGTTAACTATTTTTTTACTTTTTAGAATAAATAATACCCAATGATAATCAACAATTAAAAGATCATTCCTATATTATGTAAATAGAAAGCGTAGCTCATTCCTAGAAAAATATTATAATATTGTAAGTTTCTTTATTTGCTTTCTAATTTACTATAATATTTAACAGTATATGAGCCAATTAAGAAAATTAGTTGAAAAGCCATTAATTCATTTAAATGGCCTGCAAACTATCCCCATTAATGATCTGAATGATCTCTTAAGAATCCAAAATAACCTAAATAATTTAAAATAAAAAAACCTTGTTCAATGCCCTCTACCTTATTTGATTTACATATGACTGAAAATCGATAGAGAGAATAAGATTCAAAAACAATCATGAAGGCTATTGAAATGTAAAATGAAGCATTTGAGATATTAAAGGATTTATTTGATTATTGTTATCTCATATTAATATAATAATATATTATTGATTAATTTACATCCATTCAATATTTCTTCATTTTTTATGATTCTTCTTCTTTTTATCTAACATATAATCCTAAAATAACGCCACTGCCGTTTCTAAAAATGGCCACCAAGATAAATATTATCATACAATCTAAATTAAAATATTTTTAATAAATATGATTCAAACAATCTTTTCCTTACCCAAATCCAATAAAATTAGCTAGACTCATAACCTCAATCTAGAATCCTGCCGCTATTGCAGTTAAATATTTGAACCACCAAAATTTATAATATTGATCTTTATTAAAAAAATACATTGCTGCCATTTCTGGTAATAAGGCCAAACAAATCATAAAGGCCCAAAAAAATAAATCAGTCTTAAAATCATGCCAAAAAGCAACGAATAAAAAAACAACCCAAATGTTTAATGCTTTGTAATGTGAACCTCCCAAGGGTATATACAAGTATCTAATTAGCCATTAGTTAAAACTTCTATGCCATGATCTCCAAAATCCACTAAAATTATAATTATTATAGATGCATCTACTCATATTTTCAGGTACTTCTATCCCTAAATTCAAGTTAATTATCATTAAATACCATCAATTAATGCCCAGGCTCTAGATATACGCCAAATTATCATGAACTTGTACCAAATAAATATTAAATTGACAAATGACATAACATGAAAATCATAAAATGACAAATTCTACCAAATATGATTATTCTCTTTAATATTTGAAATAGCATTTGGATAGCAAATGTGCAGAAATATTTCAAATGTTAACAAATTCAACACATACACCCGAAGTACATAATATATTACTTCTTTGACATTTTTATTTGCTTATTACCTTTGTTTTAATTAAGCGTTGAATGCATTAAATGTAATTGTAGGTCCTGTAATAAATAAAGGAGTATAATAGATATATGCAAGATAGGCAAGAAAATTATATTCTGTTATATCTTGGTTCTATTTAACCAAATCTCTATATTCTTGTCCAGAAGACTTGATTGGTATTGATTTGAACTAATTTCTATTAATGTGTATATATAATACTTTCTAATTTCTTAAGCTGCCCAATAGTGATCAAAAGAGAAACTTATGATTCTCAATAAAACTAAATTGAAGAGACGATGCCATTAAATTTACTATTATTCCTCTTAAATTTAATCAAGTATTTCTAAGTGACGAGAAATCATCTTGAAATTGAATCCATTAAGTGTTTCATTGAGGTACAAAAATAACATAACAAATGTCCATAGGGATAAGACAAAGTATTTAAAATTAATTAAATACTAAGAATAGTGATTATAATACCTTTTACAAAATATAGAATATCATCAAAACTACAAATTAAAAGATTATTCCAAAACTCATTGCCACAAAACTGAATATCAAACCTATAGTTATATTAAAGTATTATAAGTTTTTAAGTTAAGTTTGATTATTTGAGATTTTCTTAATTATAAAGGATCCTAACAGACAAAAAAATTAAAAGAGGATAATTGTTTAAAGATTCTATTGATAAGCATTCCATTAATGATCGGAAGTGTCTTTCATAATGCCAAACCATCCTATATAGAATTATTTAAAATTACCTTCAGAAGTTCCAACAACGTGTTAGCTTTTGGAAATTAAGCAGAATCTAATTATAGAAGCTATTTCTCCAACGACAGCAGTTGATATTAATATATAAACCAGCTATTTGGAGATATTGAAATTTTTTCCCATTTATCAAAATAAAATAAAATTGATCATTAAATAATATTTGAATAAGCATATTTATTAATTTTACACAGTTTTATAAAATAATTGATAAAAATCTTGAATGAATTTCAAATAAAGAATAAATAATAATTAATAATGAATTACTTAAATAAACAATCATTTCTAATACATTAACTCATACTTATTAGAAATATGATGCAAACAACCCATCTCCAAATTAAATTTCACTGAAGATTCTTTATGGTAATTGTTTATTTATTTAAATATTGGTCAAATCATCTGTTGATAAATATAGGTTTTAAGTATCTAATAAATTCCAGATCTTTGTAAAATCAATTATATTATTAAATGTATCTTCCAAATCTTAAGGTATTTATCTCATAAAATTTCTCATTTAAATTTAGTTGTTCCTCTTATCTATTTTGATTTTGTTTTCTACTTCCAAAATATGGATATCTTTCAAATAAGTAGCCCATTAATTGTTCTCCAATTTATTTTTAATATCTTTAACCTAGAACATATTAAGGTTTGATTTTATTGATGAAAGTATCTATTAACTAAGAACACTAGTAATTTATGTAACTTAACTAACTCTAGTACTTGCAGAGAAAGTTGAAAGCATTCTGAGTTTACTATAATCTCCATCAACTATACTTTATTATTTGGTTGAAGAGATTTTAGGCACATTAATCTATTGCTAGAAAATTGATTATTGTAATGGCTGATGTTATTAACCCATTCGAGACACTCCTACAGGTTATGTTATCTCTTCTTTCAATATTTAGCAAATGAAGCTTTCTAAAATTGAATCTTCTTTCTCAATTCTAGATGATAATTCATCTGGTTCATTAAATTTGATAAATTGAAGATTTGTGGGAATAATTTATGATTCCAAGATATTTTCTTCAAAATCACTCTATTCTTCAATGCAGGAGTTTAATTAACATGATAGAACATGTTGTCTGAGGTTGATTTTAATTTTATCATACAAGAAATTTATTCCAATTGGTAAAATACATACTTAAACAGTCCATTAATTCATGATTTCTTACATGTATCTGGTTTCAGCTAAAATATTAATTAAATTAAATACCTAAGATGTAATCTTTGAATACATTAAAATTTGTAGAGAATTATATGGATGCTTGATTGTAAATTTCATTAGTTTATTTGACAACTATTTCTAAAATAGATCCATAGAGTTATCCTACTTTAACTTAAGAATGTCCAATCCAATGAATACTTTGTTCATGTAATGATAAATCAAGTATATTTGAAGTGAATTTATTTAATAAACTATCAACAGCACTTGAACAATATTTAAAATAATCATCATTAATAGTATGATTTATTAATTGTTTCTGATTTGTGATTTAATCTTTGGTAAAATACTCAAATAATAGAGTTCTTTTGTTTCTTAATATTGTATCAAATGATAAGAGTAATTCATTTTCAATAGGATCATTTTCAACATTCTTGGTACCTTTAATAACAATTTATGTCCATAATCTAACCAATGCACTTGTAAAAGTGATTTAAGGAAATTATGTTGTGTAGTATTTATTAAATAATTGATCCAATTTATTATACATCTTCTTAAGTGATCTATTTAATGCCCAAACAATTCCAATATAAGATTCCCACAACACTGTATACATATTTAAAAATAAAGCTTGTTTTTTATTTTATTTAATTATCATTAAGACATTTCTACTAAAAATACATCTTTGATAAATGAAATGAAGTAATTGAGCTAATAACTTTAATAATATTGGAATATTATCTTATTCTAAAGAACTTGGATACTTGATAAAGTTATCAATAACAATCCATCTTAATTCAAATAATAACTAAGTATGTTTTATATTATCTTTGTCGAAACTAGTTTCACATTCTTCATATAATTTATCAGTCAATTAATCTAATATAGGGACTCTTTCGACTACACTGTATTCATTTGTTTTTTAGGCAAGTTCTAACTGAAACCAACTAGTGGTTGATTGTTTAAGTACGTCATCAGTCAAAATTGGAATAGGGAATGTGGGATTTCTGCAGATTTCTAATACTTTTTCAGTTATAGAATAATCAATGTTGAATTGAAACGATATTTCTTCTTCTATTCTCCTCAATTAGGATCTAAGGAATAATCTAAAAAATGAATTACATGCTTTTATGGAAATTTGCATAGATCCGTATCCAGGATTCATCCTAGTTTGTCTCAATGTTCAATAACTATTCAGAGAATACAGACACAAATCCCTTATGTAATCCATATTCTACAAAACAGTGTAACTACAACTTTCTCAAATAATATTAGCTGAGAAAGTTTGAGTAAATGTTACTACTCATTTCAATCATGAATTTCAGTTTTCTATTAACCAGTTTGAGTTGAATACACTCTTTTATTGTAAGAAAATTTAAAAAGTATTGTAAAATTTTGATTGAATACTTAGGCATCTCTTCATCACTCATCTTACTAAGAATTTAAACATATAAATTACGTTAATATGTCTTGTGTTTAACATTTCATATTCTCAGAAAGACTCTTCTGCAATCTGTTTCTAGCTTATGCATCTTTGGGTTGTAGTTAGCTCATGCATAAACCCATTAAGATATCTCTTTTTCTTGGACGTTTCTTTTCTTGTTATGCTTGTTGATTGCTTTGATTAGCTCCCATTAGAATTTTAATTAAATTCTTTATTTATAACTTACTTTTAAAGGATTCTTTTAGACAATAGGCTCAATATGGAAAAAGAATAATAAAATTTATAAAGAATGATTAAATATATGTTCGAAGATCTCATTGTCTTCATTGAATATTGATATTAATTTATTTTGTTTATTAATAAATGGATTAAGTGGAGATGATATATGAAGAAGAGTAATCTCCTTTACATATCAAACGAGAACTAGACATCAACATACCATATAGAGTTTCTTTTCCATCTTGTAACATCCAACAATAGAAAGACACTCCCAAAACTGCCATAAGGAACATTGAACATCTAGAACCTGAAGAGCAAGAGATTCCAACAGAAACTACTCCTAAAACTTAAATAGATGTTTCATCTCCAAGAGTACCATTTTTAACTCATTCCTAAATTATGGGTATGAATCAAGATGATGATGACATGCTCTATTCTAAGTCAGTTTTTAACAATCCTCTTTCAGAAATACCAGAAGAATAAACACCCAGTTAATTGTAAAATGTAATCTTAATCTTTTATCTATTAAGCATTCCAAACCCTCAAGTTAAGATTTTAATTTAGATAATATGAGTATGGTCAATAGTTAGTAATTAAAGTTCAGTAAGAAGTCATTAGAAAAAGACTTAATAGTTCGTTTAGAACTTGAGAACAGTAGATAGAAAGAAGAAGTAAGACTTCTCTCTATCTTTAGTATAAGGAGCAAATTGCAGTTATGGATGCTAAAATCAAAGAGTTGGAAAAAGAGAATTTTATTCTGAAAAAGAAATGTAATCAAGAAAAAGTTAAATAAATTGAACTTCAATTAGAAACTGAATATAAAATTACAACTTTGAATGAATAATTATATGATTAAGAAGATTTTTATAAGAAATAGATAGTCTCTTTAAAAAATGATCTAAATAATGCCAAATTTTAAATTACAATGCTTAAATCATAATCATAATAATAAGAATAGTAATTATAACATTAATCATAATTATCTAAATCCTAAATTACTTTTTAACAACCATATATTTATTAATAATAATAGATTAAACAACCTTATCATGTATCATTATCATAATCATTTACTGAAATGAATGTTAAAAATTAAAAGGAAGTTTATTTAAGTTAGACATAATATGATAGTGTTCAATTTAAAATTGGATAAATCTTACGATTAATTGATTAATAAGTTGATTTAAATAAGAAAGATCTATTTGATTTAATTTAAATTTTATAAAACAAAATAAAATAGATACTTAATATGGATGAAGAAGAAAAAATGGATGAACATCGAACATTAATTACTAGTCTTAAGGCTGAATTAGGAGAAATTAAATTATTAAGAACATAATTATCAAAAATTTATTAAGATTATGAATAATAAATGAATAAAAAAACAGTGGATTCATCTGTTGATTCAAAAATAAATGAATTAAACTTATAAATTTTAGGAATTAAATAAGAAAAATTAGAATTAAATGAATTGACAACTAAATTGTAAAATCAATTAGCTTCAAAAGATTAAATTATCAATGAATTGTAATCTAAATTAAGTAATTTTCTATTTAATTATTTTTAGATAATTTATCATAAACAGATACTCTTAGAAAACAATCACAATTTGTACGTTCTTTACAAACTAATTCCATGATTGATTTAAAAATAATTAAAGAATCACTTAAATAAAGACAAGAAGGAATTAAGTAATTATTTTTAAATTATATTAGAAAAACATTCAAATCCTAAAATTCCCCTTAGAGTAGATCTCATAATCCTTCTCCAACTTTAAAATTTTTGAATTCTCCCAAGTAAATATTATATATAAATTTAGAAATTCTAATAATGGCTCAAATGCCATGAAAAAATAATCTTAATAAGATACTAGACAATAATTTTATAACAAGACTTCAGAATTTAGGTAATATACTTTGTTTTATATTATTTTATTAGTGTTGATAATAGCTCTTCACATTAAGCCACTAATCACAATAATAACAGTTCACATCAAAATAGTGAAATAATATAAAAACTTGTTGAATAATTTAAAGGAAATTCTGCTTTGGCTTAAAGAATATCAAGTTATTCGAAAAAGAATTGAATTATTATTTACTGAATTTATAAACCTATAAACATTTATGAGAATCATAAATATTCCAAATTTCTAAGTTCAATATCAACTTTAACAAAAGTCCTTTCTTTCTATGATGCATAGAATATTATGACTAATGTTAAAGTGCCGACCATTATGAGTTGGAGATGAAAATAAATTGGAGATATTTAATGAATGTCAAATGAACTAAGGATATATATAATACTTACTCAACTAAACCAATTTTTTAATTAGTTTTATCGAATAACACTGTTGTAGACATTATAAATGGCAATCCTAAAATTAAATAATCACGATTATGTTGACTGATACATAATTTACAAAGTTTGTCATCTTAAATTAATTTAATATTTACTATATGAATATGGAAAGTAATTCTAAGATTCAATAATAATTTTGGCACCTTCAAAATATATTGTGAAGTTAGGGAAATTATTATAGTTGCAATCACAATATATTGATTTATCGATTATTTTACATAATGATTTTAAATTCTTTTCCCAAATATACGCAAATTAATCTAATAATATGTAAACTTCATTTACTTTAAGTGAGAACCAAACAACTATATCCACTATCTAAAAAGGCACTCCCTGTAAATATGTCAGTCACATCTTAATTGTCTATATAAACACCCAGCATTTTAATCATCCATCTGTGATCTACATTCAATTAATGCCAAGTGACCTTCTCTTCTATATTTGTGATATTGTAATAAAGCCTTGACTCATTATTTTTCCTAAACTCCAATCCAAAGATGGAGCTGTGAAATTATTAATCTTCGAAAACATGTTTTACTTGAAATCTGTTTGACAAACCCATCAGACCAATGTATTAATCAAAGAACTAATAACATTAATAAATATACTGGCATTTTCTAACATGTCCCATATGCCATTGTAAATTAAGGAATATATAATTATTTCGATAATACTAGTCTATCCATTCCAAATATTCCTTTGCATTTACCTAAGTCATATTATTGCTCATAAGTTTAGTTTAGATTTTAAAATGTTTGAGATTGTTTATAAATAGACTCTATCATAGTCACACTTGACCCAGTATCAATGATAAAAAACAATTAAGTATTGTGGATTTCTGCTTCCAACATGAAAGCAATCTACATAATTAATTGCAATACATTGTAGTAGCTAATGACTGGCAGATAAGGCCAATTATGTGTATTTGCTTAATTCAATATTATAAAGAAAAAGAAACAAATCATAAATGATAAATATCTAAATCTGTGTATTAAAATAACCAATTGAATATGTAGTTGTCAATTGTTTATATATTTTTTAAATTAAGAGTCAGGTATAAATTTATATAAGTAAAACCCTTGCTTTAGTAAAAGAAATATGTAATCTTATAGAGTCATTCTAATCTAAATATTGATTAATTAGATGGCTAACATGAAATAGAATGATATTACTTTAATGAATTTATAAAATAATTTACTTTCTTATAAAAACAAAACCTATTTAAAAGAAAGTACTTTTATGATATGAACACTTTAAAATAGAAGTAGAATATTTAAAAAACTAAAATTATAATAAAGGATTGATTAATGAAAATAATGATTAGTATAAACAAATAAAAATTTGATAATTTATAAGATAAACTAAGAATTTCTAAGTATTTTAGAACGCTAAAAATAAATATTAGGAATTATAAAAATTAATTGAGCAATTAAATTCATAACTAAAATCTTTATCATTTGTTATAAGGGGAACTTTCAAAATAGATTGATATAATTACAATCATTAAAAATCTTAATGTATTTACAAATAAATTTTATATCAATTAAATAGTAACAGAAAGAAATAAGAAAATTTTCTTATTTAAAAATATATACATATTTGCAAAAACACAAATTTTAGATTAGATACTTATTTATCATCGAAAAATATTAATTTAGAATTTGAATCTAATAGATTTATACAATAGAATAGAATTTAGAATTCATTCAGAAAATAGTGTTCGATTAATTTCTAAATACATACCCAAATTGAGATGTACTTACATTTACATTTGATAATTCTTTGGTGAGTTTTTTTACTTCTATTAAATGCTAAAATATTATGTGAATTTTTTATCATCCTTAATGAGCCAAGAGACCTGTTAATGAATAATTTTAGTTTTTCTAAAGTTATATAAAAGTAAAATGATGCCTTGATTTACAGGAAAGGATATTTAGAGATTCTAAAATAAGATTCTTTCAAATAGTATTAATATGTGAAATAATCGTAGATTATTAATATATTTATATAATTTTCTAAATCAAAAAACTTAGCTTAACTGCCTCAATCAATTTCGATTGAAAATTAATTAGAAATTACTAATAGAATAAATCTCTCATTATAATACATTTTAGTTTGTTCAAAATAATAAAATAATAATATATAAATTAATTATGGATTGTTAAAGAACATATTTAAATGTGAATTAAAGAAAGAAAAACAATAATTATCCACTTTATAGATTAGATGCTATTTTTGAACGATGTGAAGATGGCTCTAGCATAGGTTCTCATCTACAAAAAAGAATAGGAATAGACATATTTGAAGATGCTAATTAATTAAAGAAAGTATAAACCAAATTGGACATTACAAATTTGAAGCAAAATTTTTTTAACAACTCCCAAAACATAAGCAATTAATTTTTTGAATAAAAAAAAAATTTTTAACAGAACCTAGAATTAGAATGGACCAATTCGAATAAAGTTCTATAGTCTAATTTTATTAATACAGAAGATATCAATATTTTGGAAGTTGATGAAATAAATTATTTAGAATTAAATGCTTCACCCAAAATAAAGAGATTTAAAACAAAATATTCTTAAAAGATCAGCAAAGCTATAAAGAAATTCATAAACTGATAACAATGTAGATCTATAAAAAAAAAATGATTTTTATTCAATTATCTTTTGATAATTCTATGCTTCATTAAATTAATTCTTTCAATCTGAATAAATGAAAAATTGTTTAAAATACAATTCTGTTTTTTTTATTTTGCAATAAAATTTAAATCATTCAGGTAAATATTATGAAAATGGAATATATTACAAATAAATAAAATTTAAATTGTTCTTCTAAGAAAAATAAATTTTAAATAAAATTTTAATTAAAAAAATGTTATTAAATAAACTAAGTATAAAGAATTACTTTTAATTTTAAAGATTCCTAAAAGATATAGATTTATTTCTAAAATGATTACCTACATTAGACAGTTAACATTTTTATCATCATACATCATATTAAAATAAAGACTTTGATTTTAAATAAATCTATCAAGAAATTCAGTATATTTATATATTAAATTAAAAAGAATGTTTATTCATAAAAATCAATTTTTATATTTTTCACTTTTTTTTTCTTATACATCAAAATGTTATTTAAGTATTTAAATTAATGACAATCTTCTATGCTAGTATTCCCCTTTAAAAATTGTCAAAAGAGATGATTTTTTAAAGAATTCTTCCAATTTTTAATATTGAATTTTCTTTAAGAAATTAATAAATATTGTTATTCCCAGGTGAAAAAGGTACGACTTAACAACAAATATAATCATTAGAATGAAAAGAAGAGGAAATAATTAAGTTTTTGAATAAGATTGTGATAAAAAATTACAAAGTCGAAAGTATTGGAAAGAAGAAGAGGATAATAAATTGCATGCTGCTGTTTTTAAACACGGTTCAAATTGGAAGTTGATTGCAGAGTTTGTTCCAGGTAGAAATGCATCCTAATGTGCATAAAGATGGAAAAGAATAAAACCAAAAGAGGTAAAAAGATTTAAATAAGAGTTAGAATGAGAGAAATCAAAAATGGACAGAAGAAGAAGATAAAGAAGTATTAAGACTTACAAAAATTTATTAATTTAATTGGAAATAAATAGCTAATGAGATACCTAATAGAACTGGTAGATAAATAAGGGAGAGATATGTAAACCATTTAGATTCTAATATTATAAAAACGCCTTGGACTAAGTAGGAAGATAAAAAGATTTGGGAGATGTATTAGAAGATGGGTACAAGATGGTCAGATATGTCAAAGAAAATGCCAGGAAGACCTGTAAAAATTAAATAAAATTTAGGAAAACATGATCAAAAATAGATTTTATTCATTTATAAGAAAATAATATGGAAAAGTGTAGAATCCTTATTATATCGTACCTAGTAAAGTTAGGATTTTAGATGAGGAAGGATTGAAATAAAGTTAGGGTATGAAGAAAATAAGAAAATTTAAGAAAATTTAATAATCATTCAAAATGGAAGAATAATTAGATGAAATGCCAAAAAATATAAATCAAGAGAATAAATAATAATAAAAGTAACCAGAGTAACAAAGTTAATCAATACCATTTACATAGTTTTAAACTTAATAGTCTTAATAATAGTAATAATAAATTTAATTTTCTTAATCATAATTTCCATCATTATAACATTCTCAAATATAATAATCATAATTCCCATAAATAATAGATCCATTTTCATTTTTTTAGGATTCTATAAGATCAGATTCATATAGAATAAATTAATATCCTGAAGCATTGAAACAGTTTTAAGATTTTCAAAATTGGTTGAAGGAATCATTAATGTCTTCATCTGATCCTGAAATAAATCGAATGTATAAGTTTGAAACACCAATGATGAGTTTTTTGTATATGAATCCTAGTTTAATTCATTCAATACAATAGTAACCAATAGTAATGAAAGAGGAGGAGAATGAGAAATTGTTTGGAGGTATAGAAACATCATTGCCAGTTTAAATAAGACCTGATATTTTTGAAGAGATGAAAAGAACAAATACAGAATAACAACATCAACAATAATAGATTATAAATCATCACTAAAAATAATGATGAAATTTGGAATAATGATTGTTAATATATTATTTGAATGTGCCAATATGGATCAAATTCCAACTTTAGATTTGACATATTATTCAAAGCTTGGTTAGGTTAATAAACCAAGAGCTTGCTTACTGATCTCGATTTCTTTGTTATATTCTGCAACAGTTCTGTTGTAGAGATCGGTTTCAGAAGCATAGTTATCATTTTCAGCTTATAATTAAGCTTAAAGAGTGGCTCTGTCATCTTTTCTTTATCCAACATAAACGATGGTTTCTCCTAATTTTTCTATAAAAATTAATATAAATTTTTTACATTCATTAGCAGCAATTTCAGAATTCTTTATGAGGACAGCTCTTTAGAATTCAGCAAATTCTTTTTCTAATTAGGCTACTCTCTCAGCGAATTTAGTTTCAGCTTAACTTTCATCAGCTGTTTCTTAGTTTAATGTATCAACAAATTAAACTCTCAATTCATTAAAGATTTTAACCAATTATGAAACTGATCCTTAATCAGCGAAGTTTTATTCTGTTGCTAATTCAAGTAAGGCTTTGATAATTGGAGCAAATGAAGAATGGTTTTAGAATGAAGTTTGGATTCTACCTAAATTGGTTTACACTCTCTTGAATTAGACGAGTGATGGGTTAGTAATTTAAGAAAGTAATCCTAAGGATTCATCGACAGCACCAATAGCTTCATTAATTTCAGCTATGTTGGATAAGAATTACTCATGTTATTTCTTTCTGTTGACTGTTTCTGAATCAAGAATTCTTCTGTTTTCCTCAATGTTGGTTTTCAATTGAGCAAGAGCATCTTGGAATCTTTATTTTTATGGAATGAGAACGTTATCAATGAAGTCTTCTCCGTTGAAAATATCTAATAATATTATTTAAACATTAACCTCTATCAGCATCTTAAATTTCTTATTCATATCTTGTGACATCTCTATTATGTTCATCTGTTCTTCTAGAGTAAGCATGATGAATGTCATCTAATTCCTCCTCTAATTAGTCAATCAATTAATTGATAGCTTCAACCAATTCTGTTAAGGCTCCTCCACTTCCCAATTCTACTTCTGCGAAGTCAACTATGAAAGAAGCCCATTTAGATTCTCTTAATTTGGCCAAAACTTCTTCTGAATGTCTCTCCATATTGAGTTCAACGCTCAACACTCCTAATATCAGGCAAATTAATAATCCTGTTCTCATTTATTTTAAATAATAAAAACGACTATTCTTAATTAATAATTTAAGGATATATATACATTCTAAATTATATTATTTAAATAATTCATATTCAAACTTATAAATCAGTATTAAATAATAACCTACAAACATTATAAATCTATTCCTTATTGATCTCTTTTACATAATAATATTTTGTTAAGAAAAATTATTTAAGAATTATTATTTTTATTAAATAATATCCATTATTATAATTACTATTAATCAAATAAAAGTAGATTCATTAATGATTTCTTAAATTCTCTAAATTTAATTTAACTATTATAGCTTATTATTATTTTTTAGTTTAGAATTAATAATTTTTTATATTTCTATTAATAAAACTATGTAGTCATCAATAAATACTATCGAAGCAATTAAGAAATAATTTGGAAATATATACAAAAACCTAGAGAAATGTGGATAAGGGTCCTATTCAGAGGTTTTTAAGTGTCAAAATCAAAATGGAGAATATGTAGCCATTAAGGTTCTGAGTTATTTAATTTTGTTTTAGGTAATTGATAAATCTAGTATAGACTCTGATCAAGTTCCTTATTTCAACAATGAAAAAGAATTATTAAGCATTAATAATAATTAAAATGTTATCAAATTGTATGAATATTAAGAATCAGATTAAACATTATTTTTTGTCTTAGAAGTCTATTTTATTATTTAATCTTTAGTTTTGTCAAATGGATGTAGCCTAAATGATGACAAAATATTATAACAATAGGATACCAGAGGATATTGTAATTATTATTCTTAAAAATATTATGAATGGATTATAAAGTTTACATAAAAATAATATCATTCATAGAGATTTGAAATTAGAAAATATAGGAGTAGTAATTAAGGAAGAGAATCTAATCAAACTTGCATCAAAATAAGAAAATAAATATGACTTAATTTTTAAATAGGCATCCTATAAATTACTTGATTTAGGCTTAGCTAAATAGGTGACAAATCAAACAAAAACTTTTGCAGGAACTTAATATTATATGGGTATACTTATATTTAAATTTACATTTAGCTCCTGAGGTTATAGATGGAAGATTTTATTCATTTTAAGTAGATATGTATAGTTTGGGTGTTTGTTTATATTAAATGATTACAGGAAAGCACCCCTATAAAGGTAACAATTATTATACATAATATAAAAAAATAAAGCAATAAGAGGCTAACTTTTAAGTAATCGAAAATTAATTACTTAGAAATATCATTTAATAAATGCTTTAATTTGATGTTGAAAAAAGATTAAAATTTTAGGAATTATATTAATCATAATTGATTAAAAATTTATAAGAAACACAACCATCTATTTTGGAGATATCCCTGACTATGAATACTTAATTCTATATAATAAATGAATCCAACATAATATAAAAAGAAGACATATAATAAGAAAATGAATAAAAAATCTAAAATTAATAAATACATCAACAAATCCAAAATAATACATAATTTTTTGAAAATTTTAAAAACTCTTAATTATATAGTTAAACTTAAGAATCTTCAATTATTTAGACTTAAGAATTTTCAGTGATTGAATATCCATAATAGTAAAAAAAATCGTAAATTGGAAAATCTAAATCCCCACTTGAATAAAATTAAGAGATAATATAAGTAAAAGAAATTACAAGATGGAAAAAATAGAAGAATATTTGTATGTTAATATAAAGGCTATGTAAAAAATTACAAATTTTCATTCAATAAATTCCTTCAGATATAAATTACTCTTCATTTGAGGGTGAATTTACTTATTATTTAAAATATTACTGTAAATTTTCTGAAAAATTGCTTAAAGAATTGTAGGTAGAAGTTAATTCTAAAAATCATTATTAAAAAATTCAAGAGTATCAAATTTTTAAAGATTCATTAAAAAATATTTAATTGATTAATTTATAAGACATGCAATCAAATTTATTCAGCAATCTGATATATACTTCGAGAACATATTTTAATTAGGTCAACTCAATATTTGAGATTAAAGATGATAATACTTTAGAAAACTAAAAAAATTTTTTATAAAAGAATAATAAAATTATCTTCAAATAAATCAGAAAGATATCATAGAATCTATACTATAAAGAAGACCAAGCAATGCATTAATTTACTCAAGTTTAATGTCTTATATATTTAATTCTGGTTGACTTAGCAATACTTTATGCTGAGTATTTAAATGGTAATACAATATTAGATGATACTTAAATCATTGAATTAAAACCTGAAGACTTTTAAAATAATCCTGATCATATATGTTCTTTCCTTTTTGATATTATGGAACAAAATAAACTTTCATTTACGGATATTTAGGATATTTAGTGAAATAACTGGAAATTGAATAAACTTAATTTTGAAATATTAGAAATTTATATATATATATATATATATATATATATAAATGATATTAATTATAAACTAATTTTAGAGATCTTATCAAAAACTCATAATTGATTTACTTTAAGATAAATATATCGAAATAGGTTGAGATGATGTTTGTACAATAGCTTTCAATTTAATTATTTATTTAGAGTGTTCATTTTTAGATAAATATTTTTACTCAGTTATTATATTTTTAATATATCTAATGATATCGATTACAATTATGATTTGAAATATTTATTTTTAACAATATATAAACCATTCTTAATTTTGATAACCTAAAGCAAAGATTATAATAATTTTCTATAATGTAATAATGTTTATCTAAATCAAGATGTTGTGCATCCTGGGATGTGTAATTTATATCCTTCTTCGCATTTTTATCCACTGAATCCGGATGAGCAACGTTCCTTAAAATATGAATCATAATACTTATGTGCAACATCCTTATGAAACCCATCCACAAATTTCACCTTTGTTGTCAGCACATTTTTATCTGCATGTTGGTCCCCAAACATCGTGTCTTTTTACTCTCTTAAAAACAGATTCTTAAATGTCACTGTTGAAAGCAATAAATGCTACAACACATGCCAAAGCAATGGCTAAGTATAATAATTTTTTCATAAATATTTTAATGATTTAGAATCCTAAAAATATTAAAGATTTAAAGCCTGAATTAATTGAAATAAGATTAGCATTAATGAAATAAAAAGATGTAGTTAATACTTGAAAACTGGAATTAATGAAGTGTTATATTGATATTAATTAGATAAATTAAAATCAAGCAGTTAAAAATAATAATCATAAAGTAAAGTATCTATATAAAATATTTTTATAAAGAATTTCATAAAGTGAAGTAATTAACTTCCACAGACTCAGGAGTTTACACTGAAGTCCAAATATCATCAATTAATTAAACTACTCCTTCTTACTCTTCAATTATCATGTTTCTTAATACTATCTGATTTTCTAGAATAAAATCGTTCTAATGCTGATTTAAAAGTTTCTATTGTAAGGATGCCTAAAACAAATTACGTTACTTGTTACCCAAATGATATCAGTACCATCTGAGAGACAAATATTTTTGGTATATTGTGGCCCATATTTTGTATCACTTTATTATGCTTCAGAAATGGCCTAAAATAACGAATTAAATTACAATTATCTTAGCATAGAGATCAATTTTTTTGTTAGGTGATTATTTAAGGATATCTTTGATTGTATAACTATTTAAAAGAATAGATCCATTCTTATATGGAGTTGGAGGTGAACTTGGATTAGAGCTCATTTATTTTAATAATTTTAATAATAATACTGATTTTTAAATATTAAAAAACATTAATAAGACTAATAGAAAAATTATATTCAATCTTTTAATATTGAAATCATTCAATAAACATGTCTAAGAAAATAATTAGTTTAATTAGTAATGATTTAAAATTAATATTAGATATTTTATGAATATTCTAAAATTTTATATATAATTTTACATTATATAATTGATTGTATTATTTGTAATTTGAATTGAATTACTTATTTTAATTAATTTTGTGATGAATACATAAATATTAATATATTATGAGAATTTTAATATTGTGTTAAGTGATTTCATAATTTAATAATAATTTTAATTTCTAAATATACACTCGATATCCACTATGAGCAATGCATTTAAATCAGCTGGAAATACACTTGCAAAAGGAAATGATTTGGGATAGACAGGTCAAAGTTTTGCAGGATCTTAAAATCCTGCATCATTAAAGGGTAAATTAATGAGTTTGGAAGTAATGAAACTGATATTATATTTTTTAACAGGAAACAATTAAAGGTATCTAGGATGAGATGAATTTCCACAAAAAAGAAGTCTAAATATTGAAATCAGAGAAGGATACACTAGAATCAGTTTTGAGCATGAAAACTTAAGATGTTAAAAAAACATTAACTAATGAACTTATGAGAATTGAAGAAGAAATGAAGAGGTAAATATTATTAAATAAAAATAGACATTTTGCTCATTAGAAAGCAGAGAATTCTAGATTATAATAGTAAATTACTGCTCTCAAAGGAGAGAAAACTGCCTTACAATAACAACTACTTGGATTATAAAGAAGAATTGCTGAACTTGAGCTCTAAGTTGGATAAGAATAGGCATGATATATCATCAATTATAGAATAATTATCATTATAAATAATACATGCAATATTAATATTACATTTTCATAAATCATTTTCATCTTTATATATTTATATATATGTTTATATATATGTTGTTAAATAAAAACTTATGATTTAGATAAAATAATATCAATATCTAAAATTTTTATCTATTTTTATGCAAGCATCTTCTAATAATTTCAACAATGCCTCAGTTGTAGCTTCTCTTTCTCTTCTTTCAAAAGAAATGTCTTATTATAATTTTCCATGCACATCTTCAATCATTCTAAATATTTTTCCTTATGTTTCTTCTCTTACTTTTTTTTCTACTAATAATTAATCTGAAAACTTATTTATTTCACTATCTATCTAATCACCCAAACTTTCTGAAGATTCTTCTCTTTAAAATATATTAATTATAATTCTACCTTGATCTTCTTTCTTAATCTAATTAATTTTTAACAATCTAAATTTATTAAAGAACTTCAGCAATTTTAGCTTGACTTCTATCTTCATATTAATGTGTATTTCTTGTTATTGTCAATGTTATCTATGAAAATCTTTCATCAATTTATTTTTGTAGCTTGGTTTCTCCTTAATTTCTTGCATTCTTTTCCTATTCAAATGAAAGAGCAATATTATCAGATAATGTTCTAAAGTCTCTTTCTTTTTTATCATCAAAAGCCTAAATAATATAAGAGATTATTAAACCTCTCTTTCAGACTTTTAGTTATGAGCAGAATCTTACAACTTTAATACTGAATCCTTAAGCACTTTGAATTTCTATTCGTCTTTAGGTTTTTCTGATGCTAAAACATCTTCTATTATTTTAATTCTTTCTTCTAAAACTTCCCTTTTTTCTAATTTATCCTTATCAATTCCATTTTGGATGTGATTCCATTTGTCGGAAAGTAACTTTATTCTTTATCTAGATGGAGAGTCTAAGTCTTAACTGAGATAGTTGACATTTGATCTCTAAGGACTTGATATTTGAGATCGTTAAAGCTTTGAAGAACTCAATTTAGATGTTGACAAGAGCATTTAGGATTTATTTTACAAATAAATTTATTTCTAAATAAAATAATATTATTTTATAGTTTCATTAAACATTCTGTAATTTTGAATATTTAGATTAATTTTGGGTTTCATCTTATTCATTTATAATAATCTTACCAACTTTAAATTAAATAACTAAAATATTAAAAATAAATAAATAAAATACATAATTACTTAGACAATATAGAATTTATATAATTATGTATATTTACTCTGATATGTAACTTTAATTAGATATATACATTAATTATTATTTAAGAAATCTATGAAAATTATTCTAATATTCTCAATAGTTTTATATTAATACTTGTGCGCTGATAAATTGTTGTTTATTTAAGCTATATGGAGACATGGATCAAGAACACCTGTTAATTGTAATTGGAATTGCGAATACTTTATAGAAAATGATTTATTGAATGGTTACCTAACTCCTACAGGAATTAGATAACACTATGCTTTAGGTCAATGGATGAGAAAGAGATACATAGTAGATTATCCATTACTAAGTGATATATATGATGCATCTTAAATTTTTGTCTACTCAACTGATGTTAATCGAACAATTATGAGTGCCATGAGTAATTTATAAGGGATGTATTCAAATAATGGACCAAATATACCTCTTGTTTAAGAAAGTTATTTAATACCACCAAATCCAGGAGCTAAAACTCCAACTGATATTGGTTAATCAGCACTTTAATATAATCTTTAAATATTACCTATTCACATGAAAGAAGCAATAACTGATGAAAGATTATTATCAATATTGATTTGTCCTAAAGGTTATGAAATGTTTGCGTAAAATATGCAATCAAATTTAACTATGGCTGTGAGTGTTAAAGCTTAAGATACTTTAATATAATTTTGTAATGAAATGTAAATAGATCCACTTGAATTCAATATATTTACTCTTACAGAATATATGGATACATTTTATTCATGTATTTATAATGATTATCCTATGCCAAATGATCTTACAAAAGAAACATATCAAAAAGCTGATTCTTTATATGCCCTCACTATTGCCTTATAGCTCTATTAGACTAGACAGTATTTTATTTATTTATTAAGATAGACAGATAGATATCTTTTCTACACCATTTTTTGAATCTTTACTCTCTTATTTTGATTCTGCATTAACATAATAATAGACAGAAAATAATTAAAAATATATTATTTATTCAGCTCATGATATAAATGTGTAATTAATAGCTTCAGCTTTAAATTTTACATCAGCTGAATGCATGGCTTAAGTTTATTTAGAATAAGAAGTCAATAACAAAAATTGTATTTACACTTATCCTGGTTTTGCTTCTAATATTATTTGGGAATTATGGGAAGATGATGTGACTCATGATCATTATATTAAAATACTATATAATGGCACTGAAATGGATGTTTGTAATACAGATTCAAAGAAATGTTCTTATAAAGTTTTTAAATAATTAATTTAAAATTAAAAGAGAGATTATTAAAAAGAATGCGAAGTTCAGATTGATCCAATTGTATATAATTATTTAAACTTTAATTTTAGATTGAACAGAAAGTTCCTATATGGATGATAACATTATTAATCATATTTCTCGTCATAGTCTTAGTATTGTTTTTATATATTTTATATCTTTGCAAATATTTAAGACAAAAAAATAAGATTAGTTTAAATGAAGATAGAAGTTGAATTAATATTATGATTGATAATATATTCTAATTCATTATTTTTGATAATAATGTAATTCCTATTTATTAGAAGCTAAGATTAATTATTTTCAATATAAATACTTTTTTATTGAGATTATGGAATTGTAAATCTTGAATATTAATTTTAAATTTGCTCTTCGTTTGATTATCGCTGTTAATGACTAGTTTCAGTTTTTGTTGTCTTTGGTACTTAATTCATGATTCCATTTTATTAATTAAATTGACCACTAATATGTTCTACTTTCTCTACAAACTTTTGAAAATTTTTTTCTATATCTTATTTGACAGAATTGATTGTTATTTCGATTGATTGTTTTAAGGCATCTATTAACTTTTTCTTCAGTTATGAGTTTTATTATTAAATTTCATTTATTATTATTTAAAAATTTTCATTTTCATTTTTCGAAGTGACATTAAATTCATCATTTTAAGTTTTTCCTTTTTATTGATTTTAAGATAATTAAGTGTAAATCATTTATTTTAATGATTAAATTGATTATTATATTTGATGTTCAGAGTTTTCAATTTTACCTAAAATTTTACTTGATTGTTCATTGAAATACTGAGATACATTTTATTATTATTTTTCAGCATAATTATTTTAACCATTATTATATTATTTTATTTCTTTAAGATTATTATAAATTTTATCTATTTATTAATTATAATCAAAATATACTTTTTTCATTTGTTCAAGACTTAATTAAGACTCTTTTTCAATTAATTTTTAAAGTTCTATTAATAATTATCTATTCTCTAAATCACAATTACATTATTTTTTGTTTGATTAATTAGATGTTATGAATCTCTAATCATCTTTTTATTTATCAAATAATTTTTTTTACAAATTATCAATTTATTATTAATTTTTTTCATTTTATTCTATTAAACTTTTACTTTATTAAGTTAAACATTTAATTTACTCTATTAAATCTTTATTTTATTCTTATACTTATTTAACTTAAATTCCTAATATTTATTAAATTTAAGAAATTCCACTTTTTAATTAATTTTATATATCATTTTATTAATTATTGATTTGAAATGGTTAAAAGTTTTAAATAGGAATTAATTAATTAGAATTTATCTAATTCTATTAATTTTACTAGATATAGAAATTTTAATCTGTTTTATTTTTAGGTGCAGGAGATAAATTCATAAATTTTTATTATTAATTATCTTTTTTTTCATTTATTCTTTGATTATTATTTTATATTAATGATTAAGTTTCTTTTTCTATAATATTTACGAGTTGATCTAATACTTAATCTATTGAACATCTCTTTTCAGGAGAAGGAGCAAGCATTTACTTTAATAAAATTTTTAATTAATTAGGTATTTCTAAGATATCAATCTTATTGTAAATTCCATCTTATTAATATTTATGATTTAAAACATTATTTTTAACTTACTCTATTGTATTTCCTAAATGTATATTCTATATATATTACCTGATATTAGGGGGTATGCTTCAATTATTTCATAGAATACACATGCTAATGACCAAATATCAACTTATTAAGTGTATGAATTGGATTCTTCAAAAATTTCAGGACTACAATATAAAGGAGTTCCAACTTGAATAGTTTTTAATCGAATATTATTATTCTAACGAACTAAACCAAAATCTATCAATTTAAATTGACTACCAACCTAAATAAAATTTTCTGGTTTAATATCTCTATGAATTAATCCATTTAAATGTAAGAATTAAATAGCTTATGTGAGCTAATTAAATAATAATTACAATACCTATTTCATAATTTATAATTTATTCTACAATGGTTGTTGTTATTGAGATTATATATAAAGTTCTAAATTTTATACTCCTAGTTCCATTAAAATAACATTACAATCTTTCCAACTAAATGTTTCATAAATTCTAATAATATTTGAAGATGTTTATTATATTTTATTCAATAATTTTGGGTTGTTTGTTTATTCATATTAATTTTAAGTTTAAATTAGAGATTATAAGAAATATACTTCATCCTATTTCATATTTTGTTGTAATTTTATAGCTATTTTTTCATTTACCTAATTATTCCACTTTAAGACTTTTCCTAAATAAACACATCCTTCTGAACCTTAACCAATTAATTTCTCAAGAACAAAGCTTCTATTAGGATAATTATTATTTGGAGCTTAAATAACTGAATTAACGAGAACTTATGGATTTGATAACATTTAAGATTTATTTCTATTAATTTTATAAATGAAGAGTAAATGAAAGAAGATTGAAATAGCAAGGTATGATTAAAGTTGTTTTCAAATAATACTTTTATAATTCAAGGTTAGATATAAATAAAAATGTAAAAGATATACTATCATATATATATAAATATTATTATATTATACAATCTGATCTGAATGATCAAAAATACTCAAACACCACTTAATAAGGATGAATAAAAACGGTTGAATTAAATAGTTTAATAATTAATTGACTCTAATGATAGTGTAGAGTTTCGATAGCCTGTAGATTATAAGAGATTAAATTTGCCTGATTATATCTAAATAGTTAAGAGACCTATGGATTTAGGGACAGTACAATTGAAATTGAATAACAATACATACAAAACTGTAGAGGAATGTTTAGATGAGATCTAATTAATATGGGATAATTGCAAATTGTATAATGGACCATAGAGTGTAATAATTTGAATTAAGATTGATAGTGGATAACCAAAATTGCAGAGAAACTTGAAAGATTATTTAAGAAGAATGTGAAAAATTATCTACCCCTTGTAAATCTTCCTTAAGTGGTACCAAAAACAAAAGAGATTACATCAGATGTATATTAAGAGGAACCTTAAGAATAAGTGACTTATAATGATAAGGTGGAATTTTCAAATAATTTAAAATAATTGGCTCCAGAATAGATAGGATTGATTGTTCATATGATATAAAATACATCTCCTAATGCATTCATAGAAATAGAGCGGGAAAAATATTAAATAATTGTTGATAATATAGAATATGAAGCATTTACTAAATGTTAATAATAAATATAGGCATGGATATCAGGTGATGACATAAATAAAAAGGTGAAAATATGAAATATCAATTATTATATTTATATCATTTATTAAGTGAATCTAAAAATCTATAAAAATATTTCTGTAATTCTGATAATTGTATATCATCTTATATGGTACGCAAAAACTATTTAGTATTCCATTAGAATTCTTCAGTTGTTACATTATCAGAAGGACATTAGGATTTATTCAATTCTTAAACTATCTACTTTTCAACTAAGAGAATTTAACTAAAAATATAATTATGATATAATAATACTTTTCATCTTCCTTATAAATAAATGATATCTTTTCAAATTAAGTTGTATTTTTAAATTCTCTTAATCTGATGAGAGAGTCGAAATTTAATTTCAATTGAGATTGAATATATCTAATCATAAAGAGTACCATTAAGGGAACATGAACATTATCATTAACTTCCAAAAGTTTTATAATAGCTTAAATATGTTCATGTAATTATCTTCTTTATTACAAAATAATCTTAATATTAGTATATATTCCATTTTCAGATGATTCAGTCATTTTTGAAGAGAAATGTTGACTATTCTTCTTCTAGAACACTTATTAATAAGGTGAAGAATTTTATCTAATTGCTAATATTAAATTATATTACACTTACGAGATACACCTCTTTTACTACTATTTGTGAGTGGTGAGACACTCTTTTGATTCTTTGGGATCCTTAATTAAAATAATTCTTGCCAGGATATTCTCTGTCTTGGATCAACAGTGAGCATCCTTCTTAATAGTCGTTCGACTCCCTCTGCAATTTGATAAGGAATTGTTAACTAATATGGTGTGCATCGTTACAGGTTGATTTTGTATTTAGTACATTAATCTTGGAATGGTTACATCTTCATAGGGACATCTTCCAAAAAGCATCTCATAGAGACATACTCCTAAAGACCAAATATCAGCAGAAAAGCTATAAGGTTCACCAAGTAATATTTCAGGTGCCATGTAGATTGGTGATCCTACCATTGTTTAAGTAAGATCAAATGGTTCAATATTTTTACAAAAACCGAAATCTGCAATCTTTACAATGTTATCATGTAATAGAATGTTGGAAGGTTTTAAATCTCTATGTAGAATGTTCTCTTTTTATAAGGATTCAAATCCATTCAATAATTATGCAAATTTATCCATCGCATCACTTTCTCTAAGGTTACGATTTCTTTGAATATACTCTTCAAGATTACCCCCATTGCAAAACTCGTAAACTAAATATAAGTTATTCTTAGAATTAAATAGTTCAATAAATTTAATAACATTAGGGTTGTTAATCCGTTTTAATGTTTCGACTTCGTTCATTGTGAATTAAGTTAATTTCGGTAATTATTTAAATCGAGTTAGTTTGATGACTTTTATTGCATAATATTCTTGAGTATTATGTTTATTAGCTTTATATACTTTGCCATATTATCCTTACCCTATTTAATTGAGCAATGTATATTTATCTATAGTTTTCATAATATTTAATATTATTGTAAAAATAATTATAATATAATCTAACTATTTATATATATATTATATTTAACTAATTAATTTAATCAATCCATATTATTCTGTCTCTTTCTAAATGAATATTATAATATTTATATAATTTATTGTATATATTTAGATATTCCATTTTGTGTTTCAATGTCTTAAAATGTTCTTAATTTACTATTTGTTCTATAATAAAACTTATTTCATTGGCATGTAAATCAGTTACAAAAGTATAACCACATTTTGTAAATAAGTAATGAAGTAATGGTTTAGAATCTATTTTATAAAATGATCTAATTTTTTTTTAAATGATTGAAATAATAATCTAATATATATATATTGGTAATTAAGGTAGATTCTTAAGTATTATCTACTTTTATCTTTCATTATATAGAGATTTGTGATACTTTATTAATTTAATTTTCATTTATTTCAATTATTAGTGTAAAATAATTATAATTAATTTCTATATTTATTATATAAAATAAGTTAAAATCAAAAGCATAACAAAAACAAATTTAAGTATTACAATAAGGCTCCCATATATTTTCGTTTGTGATTTAAAGCAAACTAAATTATATCAAAATTTATTATTACTTTTCCATTAGCAATTTGCTAACCTGAAAGAACTGTAGCAGTGCCAAATAAACAAAAGATTACAATAATTATTAAAATTGGTATTATTTCAATTTTTAAGGAGGCTGCTTAATACATTATTCCCATTATTAAAGAAATAACAAAAGAAATAATAAAATATTCTAACAAAATTATTAATTTATTTACATTTTGGATCTATCTTCTATTATATCAAAGTGACTACTAACATAATACCAATTGATATTAAAATTGATAAATGTATTAATATACTAACATATATAATTTATCTTTCCAATTCAAAATCAAAATCTCCTCCATAATTTTTATTCCCAACACACAAACATTCAATAATAGCAATAAATTTAACATGAAAAATACCTTCAATTATAATTACCAACACAAACAATAGTTTATCAACATTATTATTATTTATGTTATCTAAAAAAACTAATTTCTTTTCATTTGCATATTTTATCAAGATTAAAGCAAATAAACCTAAATACAAACATCCATATTATATTAATCCTTTTATTTGATAACAATAATAATCTATTTGAGTTACATTGAATATCAAAATTATAAACATGGTACTTTACCAAAACAACCATATGTATAATGTTGAACGAAAAAATTCTAACTTTGAATCTTAATTAGTATCAGAGAGTAATTATAATTATTAATTAGTATCTTATTGTTATAATGGATCAAAAGGAATTATTGCATTATTTTATTTTGGATTTTAAGATGGATAGGAACTATATTAAAAGTCTAATTGTTCACTGAACCTATTGATTTTCATTATAACATTTGATTCAACAACAGGACTTTGCTAATTTTTAGCTTAATCAATTTGTATTTTATCATTTTCTAAAGATTTTTACATTATAATTATTTATTTCTTATGAATAATAATTTAGTTAATATTTAAGACAACATATATTGAATTCCATATAGATTTCAATAGAAAAAATAAAAATAAAAGATTATGAAATATTGATTAAAATATAAATCATTTATTATTTTTCTTTGCTAATTTTTCTTATAATTCTTAAATTGAATAATTCTCTGAATCTTCATAAAATATATTAAAGTCATAATTGATATCTTTAAACTCATCATATGGATTAAGTGCAATTAATAAATAATAATTCAATTGATTGATATCTAATTATTTACTAGCTAAATTTTTAACAATCTTAAGACATTCCATAATACTTTCTCTATAGAGTACATTAAATATTTCATTAGCTTCAAAATTCTCATTTAAAACTGCAAAAAAATTCTTTATCATTCCAACTACTAATTAATTATTTTTATTATTCTCAAATTCCTCTTATAAAATTTACTAACATCTTTTTGTAATCGAATTAAAGAAATCTAAAGAATTAAGACCATCTTATTCTATTTACGCTACCAATAATTCAAATTACTAATGTTTTATACACAATCTTAAATACTTAAGATTTTTGAAATCTTCCCCAAAGATCTTGATCAAAATTGTGATTACCATTTGCTTGAAGTTAATTACTAATTCTTGTTAATACAATCATTTAATATTTAGCTATTAAATAAATCAATCTATGATAAAAATCTATTGATAATTATATTTGCCAATCTACTTATAATTTAACTATCTTTTAAACTAGAAAATTATAAAAAAAGGCAATATTTCTTTCAAAAATAAAATATTAATAATATTTGTAAAATGTATCTTTCTTCTTCTTATCATTCTTATATTTAATATACATTCTTTCAACCTTTCTATAATAGTTTATTATTACATTTATATCAGGTTCTTTTTCAAATAAACATTATTATATTCTTGCTTCAACATCACTTGATTGATATTAAGTTTCCTCTAAAGTTAATACTATTTGCTCTTTCATAAGATATTTAATAACTAAATTTTTCTCTAGTAAAACACTGTTTGCTTTTAAAACATATAAAAATTCATCTTATTTAAGATAAAATAATACCTTTATCTGATGTACCTTAAAAATCAATTTATTCTTCTTCCTATTTGATAATTAATATAGGATCTTGAATCAAATCCTCAAATGAGATTCTGTCTTCTTATGAAAAAGTAAGCATTCTTGCTATGAGATCTTTAAGAGTCTATTTTCTAATTGGTCTAGGAGGAAATTGCAATGGCTAACTAAGAGAGATAAGTACGTACGAATTTACTAACATTCTCCAACCATTCATGGATAGAATATGCCTACCAAGGCATTACTCCATAAAGCATTTAATAAAATATTAAGCCCAATGACCAAATATCACATTTATTAGTAAAGGGTTATCCATGCAGAATTTCAGGAGCCAAATAACTAGGAAATGGAACATTCCTTAAGGTATTTAAATCTTAAATGGCAACTCCTTTCATAAATTCTTATTATAGAATTCCTGCATAATAAGGATCAGAGATTTTAGCCACTCCTTTATGTAATAAGATATTTGATGGTTTTAAATTATTATGAATGATGTTAGCTTTATTTAATTCTTTATATCCTTCTATAATATGCTACATGAATTGTATTGACTCATGCTTAATTTATGAACACATAAAGTACTTCACTTAAGGGTTTCTCTTTTCTTATAGTTAAATAATCCTGTAAATTGCCATCTTCACAATATATTTGAATGAAATATAACATATTGTGATTTTTAATAACATCATATATTTTAACCAAATTAGGATGTTTGATATTCTTTAATTTCTTTAATTCCATTTTGATGAGATCTAAGATTTTCAAACTTTCAGACTCAGTCTTATTATTTTAATTGAAAATTTACATGTAATTCACATTATTTGATTGCTAAACATTCTGTTGTATTAGTTAATAAACATCCTCTAAATACTGTACCTTTTGATGCTACTTACATGTTATTAAATAACACATACTATTCCAAATACTTGATTACAGAACTTTCAGTCATAAATGTATAAATAATAATAATTTATATTGTATTTAGCAATATTTACAATACTAAAATACTTAATTATATTAATTATAATTGTTTATATGTATAACATAGAAACAAGAGTATTTGAATAATTATATTATGATTATTAAAAAACAAATGATGATCCTTATGGACTTTCTTATCTGATATTTATAATAAAAATAATAATGATTATAATTTAATCGGTTAACCAAAATGTCTATCAAGAAAATGAATAATTTTTTTAAAGCTGAAAAACCACAATCTAATGAAAGTAAGAAGAATTCAAATTCATTTAATGCTAACCCACAATAATCTACTAATAATGCTTTAGATTTAATGCAGAACCAATCATAATAGAGAAAAGGGAATTTCATAGAAGGGAATTAAATATAGAAAAAGAATGATTTTCATTCTGATTAGGATTCAAATAGCAGTAGTGAAGCTGGCTTATTGTAAACAAAAAAGCTATAGAAAATAATGGAAGAGGATTATGATAATGAAGGGTAATCAGCAAAGATGAGTGGTATATGATTCATGATTTAATTTTAGAAAGTACGATATAAAGATATTAACATTTTAAGAAGTAAAGAATACAAAATACAAGCATTAAATATTAAGATGAAATTAACAATAGTAAGATGAATAATTCTAAAACATATACAAAATAAGAAGACAGTAGACATTCTAATAGTTAAGATAGTTTTGAACCAAATATTCCAATTTCTAGAAGACATACAGATCGTTAAGAGTAATTAACCAAACAAATGAATTATTTCAAACCTTAATAATCTACTTAATAACCTATATCAGATTTCAAATTAGAAATTGGAATATAAGTCAGTTAATTAGATTCTGATCATTCTAAATCATCTATGGATCAATCTTCAGATATATCATCTAAAGATAATTATTAAAAAAATGAAAATAATAATCTATTGAGATTATTAGATAAAAATACTAATCCAAGATTTTCATAACAACAAAGTTAACAAGGTAATTATGATTAAACATCTAATTAAACAGAATAAATTTAACTTAATTTTGAATAGAATTGTAATCCTATTCTAAATCATTTATCTAAATTATAAGCAAATAATATTCCATAGAAAGCAAGATTAAGTTTGTTTTCCTAAAAAACTGTTCCAAATTCAGCTTCACAATAATATTCTCAATTCTCATAATAAAATTAATTTTAATACTGTAAATAAGGTATTGTATTGAATACTTGTAAATCATTAAGTGGAGATATTTTTACATTGAGACCAGGGAATAAAGTGATTGTAGTAAAGGTTGATTAAGAGAAGAAGTTAATTTAATGTGGATATCAAAATATGTTAGGATTGTTTTATCTTAGAGACATTGCAATAAAAGATGGTATGATTTATGATAAATTTGGCAGAGTCACAATAAAATTCTAAGTTTCAAATTAAATCAAGAACTTAATCTTCCTTTGAAATGAAGTATAAAGAATTACTAAATGACAAATACAATGCCAAAAGTAAATCACCTAATAATAGATCATTCTAAGGATAGTCTAAGACACCAACTAAAAAGCCTTTTATGAGGTTTTGAATTAAATCTATATACCTAAATTTAAATTATATTTAATATAAATAACTTATAATTATAAGGATATATATGGATTATGTTCATATTAATTATAAAAAAATAAAATATGAATATAGTAATATTTATTATAATGAAAATTATTAGATATATAAATATTATACTCTATAAAAATAAGAAATTATTATTTGATTATTAATTTAAGGTAATTATTATAAATAATTAATAATAGAAATATATATATATAATAATATAAACGAAGTTCATTTTATAATTTTAAATCTCTATAATTAATCTATTAATGAAGGTTGTTTCAATTTATAAATATCTTAATTATCTTTAATGTACAATCTCAATTATTTGTGTCTCAATATTATATTGAATGCTAATCTTAATTGAGATTCTTCAAATGAATTTGAAAGATTGAATTTAAGTAATAGTTTTATAATAAGTTCACTTAATACTTTTTATTTATTAGTTCTGATATAATAAATAATTTAACCACAACGTTTTATAAATACTATAATCATTTATAAATTAGTTTCATAACCTTTTTGAAGATAAACTTTAATGATTTCTAATAAAGATTCATCAAGATCATCTCTTGTCATAATTTCCTCACTTAATGTGAATAAGATAGATAAAATTTATGGTATCTGAAGTTATTATTAAACTGATGAAATTACAACATGTTTAATTAATTAAGGTATACATTATAAACCTCTTAAATCAATAGTTTCTATTGAATAGATATCTTATACTAATTATTAAATGTTTGAATTTTTATTTAATACTCTTTCTTAAATTTGTTAAATCAAATCATCAAATGTTCCTAATTCACTTAATTAATATTCACTCTATTCTTCTTATTATTAAATCACTTAATGATTTTTGTTTGTAGTTATTTTTATGATCACTGGTTCTTTAACATTTTATTATTTTGAAACAACCTTAGCTGAAAAGCGTTAAACTCCATAATTGTTTTTGAATTTTGGTTACTCAATCATTCTTGGTTTATTAATAGATTATCGAATCATAACATCTGGTGTAAATGGTTATTGAATTTATCCTTAGAATCTAATTGCTTCTTAAAATGTAGTAGTTTTATTCATTAATTGTGGAAATTAAAAGACTTATGGTTTCAAACATTCTTTATTATTTACACATTAATTTCTAGAAGATGCTATTTATTTCTTTAATTAAGTATTTCTCTTTATCATTTTTATATTATTATTAAATTCAATTTATAATTATTTTACATAAACATTCATTCTCTACAAGGTAAATCTAATCTCTAATAATAAGCATTCAAAGAACCAACATAAGTAAATAAAATTGCTACTACAACACTTATATGCCATATTTGATGACTCTATCCACAATTATCAAATTTTCCAGGAACATGTTTCTCAGGAAATCTAATATTATAAATATATAAGCCTGAACTAAAAAATATAATTAATATATCTTACAGATAAGCTATAGCCATTGCTATATAATAAGGAAATTAAGTAGCAAAACTAAATCCTTCTAATTTAGCATCATCAATTGCAAAATGAATAAATGGTATTGCACTTGTAACTCCAAGACCTGCAAATAAATTACTTTTTAAAGTTCTCCATTCCTCTTTATAGAAAAAGTCAAATAAACATAAACTGAATAATACAATTGCAAAAAATCCTTATATACTTGCATAAATAATTGCATAATGAGGATTACATTAAAATCCATAAAATAATGGAGCAAATGTAGAACCAGAAACCAAAAAACAAATACCAGCATAATCCAATCTTAATAATATTTTATTAACTCTTTCTGATAAACAATAAAAAAGATGATATATAGTACTACAACCTAAACATACTATTGCAGTTATTAAAAATGCAATCAATGGCCATCTTGATATTATTTTATGTAGTTTTTATTCATCAATTGTTTAATGACCTGTTAAATGTTAAAATCCTAAATATAAATCAATCCAATCAAAATCTTTTGATTCTATTATTTCTGTTGCTTTTATTTTGTAATCATAAATAATTTCTGATATATTATATTTCCATTACAAATTTTCCCAATCAAATGCTTATGCAATATTTTTTTGGATTTTCTAAAATTCCTAATCATATTAATGAGCCACTTCATTTATAAACTTATTCACATTTTCTATATTTTCTTGTAATTATTATTGAACCATCTAAACATCATCTTTTAAAATATGCAAACCAAGTTCTAATTATCCTTAAACTTTTTATTCAAAATTATAAGCTTCTTAATATATATTATGTAGAGATTCTATAATAACACTTTAAAAATTACCATTAAATGAATTAATTGCTTTTTATCTAAACAATTCATCATAATTTAACCATAAATAAAATATCAAAGAGATAATAATAAGAGCACCAATCAAATGTGTCCAAATATTCACAAGTTCATTATGCCACATAAATAGACTCTTTAAAACATCCTTATTATTCTTAAAATTTATTCTATATCCTCTTTTAATATATTTATCTTTTAAATGACTAGGAGCCTTACAAATTGGACCACTATTATAAATTAAAAATCATACATTATCATATTTTAATCATCTTTATTGTTTTATTCCTTTTTCTCAATATTAAACTCTGTTACAACTCTCTAGATTACTTCCGAGCTTGATTCCAACATTTTATTTAAATATTTGATTAAGCTTAGTAAATAATTTAATAAGACTTAATAATATCCATTAATATTAGCGATTAATCTTTTATTAAAATGACATATTATTAAAATATTCATAATAATTTTAATAGAATTTAATATCAATATATCATTTCTCACTTCTACTTTCATAAAATCTTACATAATTGTTCACTTATTAACTTACTTGTTCTCTAATATTTTTTTACATGCTTTAATTCATTTAACGTCTATAAATGAATATAATAAACAAAATAAATAGAACACTTATAGTTATTACTACAACAATCAACCAAAAGTAAGAGTCTTCAATTTAACGATTTGGTTCATAAATTACTAATTTTTCTGAGCAAGCTTCAGGCATTTCTATAAAAGAAGCACAAATAGCTTCTTTAATCTCTTCTGCCTCAATATTACCTCTGTATGCAAGACTATTAATTGATACACCAGGATAAAATATTATTCCAGATTGATATCTTAATTTAAAGTATTCTTCCAATATTGTATTTTCTCCTTTTTCAGGTTATGCTTGATTTAAGTATGAATCCTTAATACACTATTCTATTGCAGCCTTTTCTTCAGCTGTTGCAAATTATGTAAAACATTAATCATATTCATTTGCTTTTGTACATTTTTTTGTAAAATAATTCTATATATTAATTTATTATAATTACCATATAAGACCACCAACGTTCAGTATTATATTACCAAATACATGATTAACGTAATTATTCTCTAAGAACATCAGATCCTGTTCCAAATGCAATACCATTTGGATCAAATTAACAATATCTTCCTCCTCCTAAACAATCTTAATTCTCAGTCTGCCAATTATTGGCCTCACATGAAAGACAACGTAAAACTTCGTAAAAGATTTAAAAATTAATATGTTCTTTTAATTCAAGATACATTGGTCTGAACTCATTTATTAATTTAAATGTGTCTTTGTTTTCAATATTTAAACCAAAAAGTACATTAGTCTAATCAAATATATAAATATACTTTATTTGATGTTTGACTTAATTTAAATTCTATAGTTCCTATTAAATATCTTGATGTAGATTTCTCTAAAAATTCAAGTAATTTCTCTCCATCTTTTTTTGAGATTAGGATAGATGGAATATCAATTTAATATCCATTACCATCATCAGCCATCATTATTGATTCTACCTTCTCATCTCTATTGTCAACGATTATCAATAATCTTGCCTTCATATTCTAAGCATTAATAGCCTAGAATAAATATCAAAAATACTTTTCGAGTGAATGGGCAATCTCCTCTTCTGACAATCAACCATTTTTCACTAGAAGGTGAATAAAATTGTAAATTCATATTGTATGGAGCTTATTCACATAACTTAAGTGTCTTATCTTTTTCTGGATCTACAGGAGGAGCAAAAAGTTATGCAGCCATTCTCTTCCCATAAGGTATATGACCAAAATTTGCAACAGAATAATCTAAATACAATATATCAGGAAAATCCTCCATCTTAATAGGGCTTTGAACTTTAAGTTTAGCCAATGTTACTCCTAAAATTATGAACAATACACAAAATGTCATTAATATATATTTTATTTATTAATCAATCTAATTATGAATTTCTCTCAATTCTTTAAATCCCAATTTTAATTCAATTCTCATTATTCATGACATCAACTATAGATAAAAACACTTTATATTTATATAATTACTTATTTATTTTAAATATTATGAATTTTTTCATTTCATAAATATACTCTTATATTTGAAAATAGTTAATAGTTTTAGTACTTTTAAAATGTAATATTTTGATAAATTCCGATTCAATATTTTATATAGTTAACAATTCATTAAAAAAATTGATTAATTATTATTGTGTATTTATTATTATATATATATAGAATGAATTTAATACATTAATAATTATTAACATTATAAGAGAATTATATTTTGTATAGAATCTTAAATTGATTGATAAGTATTAAAGATTTACACATAACAAATTTATTATAATTTTTATATACATCAAGTCCATAGACTTATTACTCCTTCTTTACTTGCCGAATAAATCCATGGCTAAGTTGGATGAAATGCAACATCCATTACAGATTCCTTCTTCTTTTATTTCAACACTTTCAAAGGTAGAATTACTGGTGCTTAATTTAAATCAGTACTAATACGGCAATGGAAAATGTTGATAGTTCCTACAATATATATATAATATATTACCATCATCAGAACAAGAAGCAAATAAAGGATAAGATTTATGGAATATAACACGTCTAACTCCATTTTTATGATAACTCATTTTTTTAAAAGGAGTTTTACCCATATCTAAATCAAACCAACATACTTTTTAATCATTTGATCCTACAATTAAATTATCTCCATATGGATGAATTGCAATTGTTGAATTTTATTAATTACCTGCTAATAGTTTTTTCATTAATGATTATTTTGTTAATGAATAAATAAAAATATTTTTATTTGTCATTATATACAATTCAGGTTTAGTTGGATGAAATATAGTTTATTAAACTTCAGTTGATGCTTTCATATTTTAAAAAGGAATAGATGTTGATGATTTACTGATAGAATGAACTAAAATACAATGAGATTTAACATGAGTATGAGGTTATGTACTTACAATATAATCAGATTTACTATGAAATTGAACATACAAAGGATCATAAGGCATTTTAACTTCAAGTAATTATTGAAATACATTATCATCTAATTCAAAGTCCCACTCAAAAACATTATTTGAATTTTTAGGAATTTATTTATTTGCTTTTTCACCATCTTCAACATTAGGATGTTATCTTTTATCAATATAAGAATTTAATATAATAAATCCATTTGATTATAGAATACATATTAAACCAGATTAACTAAAATCTAATCCAAAAAATTATTTATCATTTGATTACCATTTAGTATATAAACATTTAGATGTTTTTGTATCAAAAAATGCAACAGCAAATTCATAACATACTCCTAAGATTTAACCATCTAATGATATCGAGATCTATTTAACTTAACCAGATTTTGTTGTATCTATTTAACCAAATTCAAAATTTAATTTAGTTGGAAATGGTTTCAATTCTTCTGGTTTAGGAATTTCAGGTAAAAAATCTGTTGATTTCATCATCAATTTCTTTCTTCTAATTCTAGGTGCCAAATATAAATCTAAACATCGATTGAATAAATCTTTTGTTAATTATTCTGATGAAGGAACATTTCTTAAATGTTTAAATTTTTATGGAATAAATGGTATTTCTCTATCTTCTGGATCAGTTTACAACCACTATTACTTTTCTTATTCAGTAAATAAATATTCTTCTGGAGGATTATAACTAGCAACATTAGATGGTAATGGAGCTTTAGCTGCTGGTATTCTTGCTGGTAAGTATTTGCTTAATACTTGATCTTCAGCAACATTTTCCCACATATCAAACATTTTCTCTACTTTTTAAGGTGGATTCAATACAATTCTTCCTAATTTTATACCTTATACTAATTTATTAATTTTTATTCTTTCCCATTTTGATGGTAAGAATCTACGTTTAGGATTATAAGATGATAATAGATCAAATTAATTGAAATCTTCATGTTCAAAATAATACTAAAATAGAGATATATATTTACATCATCTGCTAATTTGATTGCAGTTTTTCCTGTTCTAATTCTATCTAACATTTACAATTGCTTATCACTTAATACTACATCTTGATTATTTAATTCATCTCTAACTACTCTCCACCAATCTTTATTTTCAGCCTTATTAATAAATTCATCAATAGTATCTTAAAACTATTTTTTTTTCTAAATTTTATTTAGATTCTCATCATAACCAATAAAATCTTTATCTTTATATTTCTTTGTTTGTAATCTTCCAATTTTTGATAATATCTATATTAATTATACTAAATAATACTTTTTCATCTTCACTATCATCAGATTCTTAATAGTATTGATCATGAATGTTCTTTGGTTATAATGACAAGTCCTTTTTAATTGATTTCTTATTTCTAATTGCTCTAATATTTATTGTATTGTTTTAATTCATTAATTATAAATTTAATTTAAGAACAAATTATATTTACTTTATCTCATTTAGGCCCACCATTAATAAAATTATAATGATCATTTGATTTTTTTGATGCCAAAGATGTAAGTACTTTTGAAGGATGAAACTCATTTTAATATGCTCTCTTTTATGTACAATAATTTTGAATTTTTGTAGGAAATAAAAATTAATTACTATGAACAGGACTAAATCCACCCATAGCCATACTAGATAGATCTAAAACTGTAGGTTAAACTTAATCTCTATCTACACTTAGTCTAGATAATCTTGGAACATGTGTTTATCTAACAGGTCTAATAACTGATCGAAAATTAGGTTCATAACTGATTTGATTTTGATTCAGGATTGTATTATTAGTTATAATTTCTTTTTGAGGATCATTTGAATTTTATAATGGTTTTAATTTAATTTAATGTTTAGTTGTATTATTACTATTAACTACGCTATTATTAATAAGTTTTGTAGGACTAGGAACTTATGAATTACTAGGTTTTTCTTTAATTCCTTATTGAGAATTATTAAGACTATCATTTTTTTAGATATACAATTTAGTTTATGTTTTAAGAGGTGATTTTCTTTTCTTTTTTGGAGATTTGATATTTGTACTTATTTTCATAGATATATTTTGATCTGATTTTTCAAATACACTTTAATCATTTTACAATTCATTATCTTGTAAAATCATATCAGTTTAAGATTCATTCATCTCTAATTTAATTTCTTCATTATCAAAATCATTAATTGGTTCTTCCATATTTTTTGAACTTGTGGAAGGTTTTCTTGTTCTAATTATGAATTATAATTTAGCTTAAACTATTGATAATTATTGACTTTAGACTTATTATTTAATTTATTTTTCACTATCAACTTGATGACCTAACAATATTTAATTTTAATTTACTTGTTTGAACTAATCTTTTCTATTATTCAGTTAAAGTCTTCTAATAATCCTCAAACAATTCATCATAAAATTCTTTATTGATAGTTAATTTCCCTTCTTTTTTATTCTTATCTTCCTTTAATTTAGATTTTTACTCTGAATATTTATTACAAATTTCTCTATTTTCTAATTTCTTCATATAACCCAATTTTGATAAAAACATTACTGATTTAATTAGATTAAGAAGTTTCTACTATTAAATCCAAGTGTGAAAAATTTCTTCCATTGTTTAAGGCACTTCAACATCATTCTAATCATTCAACCAAGGATGAAGCAATCCCTAATCAGCTCTATATCTTTTGGTTTAGTCCAATTCAGTTAATTTTTTAAATAGACTATATTACAATCTAAAATTCTTATATCATTTTAAATTGTTACTAAGTAAGATTGCCTTGCTCATGCATCACTTTAGTCTTTTATAAAATCTATTCAAGAGTGTCTCCTTTATTATAATATGGATGCTACCCATTATTAAGTAACATAAACATAATAACACCAACTCCCCAAATATCTACATTCTAAATATATATATTAAATAAATACTTTGCTATAGATTTTATTCATTAAAAGTTCTGGTGCCATGAAAATTAGAGTACCACATTATTTAGTCATTAATTAATTTTAAACAGAACTCAAACCAAAATCACTTAGTTTAACACAATTTAAGTCTTCATTGACTAGAATATTCTCTGGCTTTAAATCTCTATGTACAACATTATTCTTATGCATATATGCTAAGGCTTATAAGATATTCCTAATAATTGTTTTGCATTGTTCCTCTGTAAACCATTTACCATTCTTATGCAACTTCTACATTAAATCTTCTAAAGAACCTATAATTTTATACTTATATATACCTCCTTATATAAGTTCCATTATAATTAAAATTCTAGTGTCAGTTTCCTTAACATCTATAAATTTCACAATATTCTCATGTCTTAAACTAGCCAAGATAGATGATTCTTATTTCAATTAATCATATCGATTCACCAATTTCTTCTTTATTATCTATTAATATAGTTTGGCAGAACATACTTTTATTGCTACTTCTTATTAGGTAGTCAAGTTAACTGCTTTAACAACAATACCAAATGCACCTTGTCCAATCGTTTCCTTATACTGAAAATAGTCACTAAATTTTCTCATTTCATCTCCTTCTATCAATTTCTTCAATTGATCCTCCATTTCTTTAATATTATTATATTATATCTCTTATGATGCTATAAATTATAATAATTATCAACTTACATAAGATACTTATACTTATTATACAATTTATTATATTACTTTACAATTCCTATTCCTTTAATTTCTTAATTACAACAAATCTTCACTCCTAACCAAGTTTATTAGCTCAATTATATAATTTAATAATGGGATCAGTTTGTGCTAAGAAAAAAGAAGCGAGAATTAATTAAGTCATTTAAGAACAATCTGCCTCACCTTATATGCCTGATCAATAAACTTCCTTATTACTCTAAGATAAAAAGACTCAACCTTAAAAATTACTTAAGGTCAAGATCCCTAAAGTAATCTATTTTCATTAGTTCTTTCTTAGAAAAACAAAAAAGTAAGAGAAACTGTTAAGGCAGTCACACTGAAAAATGAAGAAGTATATATACATTTAAATATATCTATTTAGGGATAAAAGATGTTAAATGATTACGTTTTCGATGAATTTTTAGGTTAAGGTGCTTTTGGTAAAGTCAAATTGGCATATAAGAAAGGAGATCCCTCTCAAAGATTTGCTATTAAAATACTTAAAAAGAGCAAACTTAAAAGACAAAGGGAATTTGTTAAAGATGCTAATGGAAGTATAACTACTCATTCTATTTTATTATAGATCTTGTTGTTAAAGATGCATTATAAGATGTTAGAAAGGAAATTGCAATAATGAAAAAAATAAGACACAAAAACCTTATTTAACTTTATGAAGTGATTGATAATCCTACTAGTGATAAATTGTTTATGGGTAAATTTCTTCATTTTTATACTCTAGTTCTTGAATTTGCAGAAGGAGGTCAACTGATTGAATGGGATGAAGATGAAGGCAAATTTTATAAATTAAATGAAGATGAAGAATTAACAGAAGATATACTTTCTTCACTTTTTAGAGATTGTATTAAAGGCTTAGCATTCTGTATTTATTTATTCATATATATTAGTACATAAAAATAAAATTGTACATAGAGATCTCAAACCATAAAATGTATTAATGTCAGGTAAAACAGCTAAAATTGCAGATTTTGGAGTTTCATAAGTTGTGGGTTCCAAAAATGATGTACTCGAAAATACATAAGGAACTTATTATTTTATGCCTCCTGAAGCTTGTGATAAAGAAACAGCTAAAGATGGATATTCTGGTAGGGCTGCTGATATTTGGGCACTTGGTATTACCTTTTTTGCTTTCACATACTTAAATGTCCCTTTTACTGGAAATAGTATCCCTGAAATACTCAAGAATATATCATAAAATGAGTACATCATTATTCAAATATATAGAGTGGTTTTCCCTGAAAATTCTGTTATTAGTGATGGACTTAAAGATTTTATACATTTCATTTTAAATAAAGATCCAAAAAAAAGACCAACAATCAATGAAATTGCTAAACATCCTTGGATTAATTAAAGTTCTGCCAACTTATTAGATGAAATGTATAATACTATGATATCTCAATAATAGGGATTAAGAAGAAAAAGTTATGGAAGTCTCATAAGTTGATATTGATAATGCATTTTCTTTAGTTTCATTGATGAAAATTAAAAGTTGGGCATAAAAATGGAGAACTGAATCTAATCTAAAAAAAGCTGGACCATAAAATGGAGTTGAAGAAATAGAGATTAAATGAATTCTAAATTATATTGAATTTTATCTTAATTTTTGTTCAAAACTAATTACTTATCAATATGATGTTTCAAATTCTAATTTTATTCTTTATATTAAGATTATATAAATTAAAAAAAAGATTAAGCTTCTCAAAATTTTAATAAAGTTCGATCTATTATTGTATATAAAAAAATAATAAATTGAAATATTTGTTTTTTCATTTCAATTTAATATCTGTTGGATTGTAGATAGAGATGAATACATNTTATAGATCTTGTTGTTAAAGATGCATTATAAGATGTTAGAAAGGAAATTGCAATAATGAAAAAAATAAGACACAAAAACCTTATTTAACTTTATGAAGTGATTGATAATCCTACTAGTGATAAATTGTTTATGGGTAAATTTCTTCATTTTTATACTCTAGTTCTTGAATTTGCAGAAGGAGGTCAACTGATTGAATGGGATGAAGATGAAGGCAAATTTTATAAATTAAATGAAGATGAAGAATTAACAGAAGATATACTTTCTTCACTTTTTAGAGATTGTATTAAAGGCTTAGCATTCTGTATTTATTTATTCATATATATTAGTACATAAAAATAAAATTGTACATAGAGATCTCAAACCATAAAATGTATTAATGTCAGGTAAAACAGCTAAAATTGCAGATTTTGGAGTTTCATAAGTTGTGGGTTCCAAAAATGATGTACTCGAAAATACATAAGGAACTTATTATTTTATGCCTCCTGAAGCTTGTGATAAAGAAACAGCTAAAGATGGATATTCTGGTAGGGCTGCTGATATTTGGGCACTTGGTATTACCTTTTTTGCTTTCACATACTTAAATGTCCCTTTTACTGGAAATAGTATCCCTGAAATACTCAAGAATATATCATAAAATGAGTACATCATTATTCAAATATATAGAGTGGTTTTCCCTGAAAATTCTGTTATTAGTGATGGACTTAAAGATTTTATACATTTCATTTTAAATAAAGATCCAAAAAAAAGACCAACAATCAATGAAATTGCTAAACATCCTTGGATTAATTAAAGTTCTGCCAACTTATTAGATGAAATGTATAATACTATGATATCTCAATAATAGGGATTAAGAAGAAAAAGTTATGGAAGTCTCATAAGTTGATATTGATAATGCATTTTCTTTAGTTTCATTGATGAAAATTAAAAGTTGGGCATAAAAATGGAGAACTGAATCTAATCTAAAAAAAGCTGGACCATAAAATGGAGTTGAAGAAATAGAGATTAAATGAATTCTAAATTATATTGAATTTTATCTTAATTTTTGTTCAAAACTAATTACTTATCAATATGATGTTTCAAATTCTAATTTTATTCTTTATATTAAGATTATATAAATTAAAAAAAAGATTAAGCTTCTCAAAATTTTAATAAAGTTCGATCTATTATTGTATATAAAAAAATAATAAATTGAAATATTTGTTTTTTCATTTCAATTTAATATCTGTTGGATTGTAGATAGAGATGAATACATATATATATATTTAATTACAAAAATAAATTTATAAATTCAGCTTTAATTTCTAAATTCCTCCTATTATCTTTAATGCTCTCTAATGCTTATCATCAAATAATTACCTCTTAATTTACTCTAATCTTTAGTTAGTTTTATTTCTTTCTATCTGAAATAGTTTTTCAAGTCTCTTTTATTCTTCAGGATTTTTTGCATTAGCCATAGCTTATTCTCTTTCAAATTCTAATTATTATTCCTCTTCTAAAACCTTTAGAATATAATTTAATTAATACATCTATCATTTCTTAATTTTATCTAACCTTCAATTAATCTAATAAATTTTCATATTTATTAGATAAATTAAACTTTCCTTAATTTTGAGAACCATATTAAGTATTTGAAGAATTTGTCAACACTTTTTATTATTATGATTTTGGTCTAATAATATGACGCATATCTTTATTTGATAGAGTATTTTAATATTTTGCAGTTGATGCTATAATTTAAATTATAAAATACGTCGAACATTATGGTAACTATTTTATAAGCTATTTGATGCACGAATACTATTTCCTTCAGGATTTAAAGCTGATGGATCTAATTTTCCTAATTTGACTAATTCTAATTTTTGCATTAATTCTTATTTTTGAAACCCAATCTCTTTTTTAATTAACATTCTTTATTCTAACATTTAGTTTTTTTCCATTTATAATATTTCAGCTCTTCTCATTTTGTCTTATAATTTTTATCTCTATAATTCCTTTTCATATTCTTACAATCTCATAATTCTTTCTAATGCTTCCTTTTTATCTTATTCCTTTAAAAGTTCTTTTACTTTTTACTCATGTTAGATTTATTATTTTTCAAATTATTTCTTAAATAATTGAATTATTGCTTACCTCATATATTAATTATTCCTTTTCTTAAAATTTCCTTAAAAAATCATTTGTTTTTTATTCCAATTATTTTTCATTATTTTATAAGACTTATTATCTTTATATTTCTTTTTCATATATTTATTATTTTCTAGCCATTAATTCTTATTGTTTTAACCTTTCTAATTCTTCCTTTCTTTATTCAACCTCTTATAATTTACTAAAATAATCATATTTCTTTTTTTCTTCTTAAATCTAATTCTTTTCCATTACTTCTTTGATCTTCTCTTAATGTTATAATGCTTGTATTTGATTTTCATACATCTTTTACATTTTCATCTCTTCAAATTCTCTTCTTCTTTATTCTATTTTTTATTATTTAAAATCAAAAGACTATTATAATAATATTTTTTATATATACCTTCTTCATATTATTCAATTATTCCTCTTATTTTACTCTTGCATTTACTAATTTAACAGCTAATTCTTATTAAGCTTATTATGATTCTTAAATTCTTTATTATCTCTAAATCTCAATAGTTTAAAGTCGTTCAATTTCTTTTTATTACATAATTTATCTTTTCTTTTACATTTCCTCTTCATATTATTATTAAATTAATTGTGTTTATTACTAGAATTGCATTTATTTTAATTTTCTTTCTTCCTCTTTTCTTTTTGCTTCCATTTTTAATTAATATTATTTTTCTTATTCCATTTTTGCTCTTTCTTATTCTCTTCTAAAATGTTCACTAGCCAATTACTTTTATTATCTCTCTTCATCTTATTATTTCCTTTTTTTCTCTTCCTCTCTCATTTATTTCTCTTATTCTTATTATAGTCTTTTTTCTTATAATTCTTGCTCTCTTCTCATTTATTTCTCCATTTATTTTCTTTATTTCTCCTCATTCCTCTATCTAATTTCTTACATCCTTCTTTCGTATTCCAACATTTAATCTATTTCTTTTTATTGTCTTTATTTAATCTTCTCCAATTCTCTTTTCTCTCTCTCAATTGCATTACTTTATTATTCTGACATCCTTGAATCCTTAAAATTTTATTCATCATTATCATTTCCTTACATGCCACCTACTTGAATAATTTATTATCTTGTCTCAATACAAGCTTCTAATTTTTATTATCTTTTTATTTCTTAGTGTTCCCAGAATTTTTACCAATCTTACTTGTCCAGTTTCAAATCTGGTCTTCTTTACTTTAATTCTTATAAAGTTATCTAAATTAATTCTTATGGTAGGATTCCAATTAATTTACAAGCCTAAATTGAACGTGGACTTTTGTATTAGAAATATAATACCTATCTAGAATGGGATTTTTGAATTTTGTTTGATCAAAATTTTCCAAATTAATCATATATTTTTTATCAAAATAAGTTTTTATTTTATTATAAATATTTATATATATGTACCTATGATAATACATAAAATATAGAAAGTTTAAGTTTCATTTCTCTAATTCTTCAATGATCTCAGAAAATATGTTAACTAAAGTTGGTTATTTAAACTTATATATTTGCATCAGGATTCTTATTAATATAGCAAAGTCATAATCTTATATAATGTTATTTTTGATGATGATATCTCTAACCCATTTTTTCAAGGGGTAATTTGGACTATTTAAATTTGAAATTATTCCTTTCCAATCAATAAAACTGTTTGAATTTTCAGGAATTATATCTTTAAGATTAATCTAAATTTATGTATCTTATTTTTTTTCCTATATAGATTTAGATTTGGGAGGGATTAAAATTTTCAAATTAATTGGAGAAGGCAAACGATTTTGAGTTTATTGAGTTTCTTTTGATTTTCTATTTTTTAGACTTTCTTAAAGATCATTAAATTATTATTTATGAATTAATATCTTTTTTGGAAGGCTTGATGAATATTAATCTAAGGATGATTATTTTCTAAGATTTTCTTTTGATTTAATTGATTCAACCATTATATTTTGTGTATTGAATTTATTATTAGTTAAATTCTTATTGTTATTTATAGTCATCATTGTAAAGTGGTTAGAATATTAGTAATATTTGATTTATAAAATATTATTATTATTATTATATATATTTTTATAGTTGTAAAGCAAAGAAAACTACAAAAATGAGTTAAAATATATTATTGATAAATAAATTATATTCATAATTTTTATATGTAATATAAAAGTATTCGTTAAGATAAGGTGACTGTCAATAATTTTTATTAATAATTTGTCAATGAACCTCAGTATGTAACCAAGAACTATTTCACCCACTAAATATTCATAAGTCTTAGCAAGTCAAGATTTCTCTTAACCAGGAACTGTAAAGAAGGCTCATCCACTCAATAATCAATCACCTTACATTCATTCACCTGTCTAAAATAAAATGAACTTTAGTATTGTGTCAGAAGATGCTGATAATTATAGAATCAAATGTTATGAACTTGAACGTGAATTGGCCAAATATAAGGCTGATAATGAACTTTAACGTCTTGTATAGCAAAAGAGTGGTGACTTAGAATACAAAGTAGTAGAAGTCTTAGAGTCAAATAATGCTCTTTAAGGTTAATTAGAGAGAGCTTAAAAGGTAGCTTTGTAAAGAAAAAGTGAATCTGAGATGTGGAAATAAAAATATGAAGCTTAAATGGGATCTCTTATGTAAATCAGATAGAATTATGAAGTTGAGATTAAAGCTCTTACTTTGGAAGTATAAAAAGCAAATGCAAGAAGCAGTGCGTTAGATTAAGAAAAAAATAGAATAATATCAGATTAGAGAAATGTAGCAGATAATTAAACAACTTAAATTTAAGAAACATTTAAAAGATCAAATAATTCTCAGGCTGATATGTATGAGGCATAATTAAAGAAACTTAGAGATATGTTAGAAGATAGAACATTATAAGTGGCTTAATTATAATCTTAGAATGAAAGATAAAAAATAGAATTTTAAGATACTTAATTAAGATTAATGAATGAAATAGATATTACAAAATCTAGATTAAGTGCAATTTAAATTGATCATCAAAATGAATTATTATAATAAAAATAAAAATTGGAATTGTATTAAGAAACTAATTTAAGAAATTAATAAACAGCTCATGAGAATTAATAAGATGTTTAAGGATCAGAGATTGTAAAATTAAAAAATCTATTAGAAATAAAAGCTTAAGAAATTGAAACTTTAATAAATTAAAATTAAAAATAAAAGATATAATCTGAATTAGATATAACTGGATTGAGAAATGAAATAGAAATATTAAGAAGATAAATATTAAGTAATGAACAATTACATTAATAAGAAAATCATAATATTTAAACTAATTTAGATAATATGCATAATAATGATACAACTAATCTTAAAATAACACATGAAAATTAATTATAAGCATTACATAAAGAAATTCTTAAACTTAAAGAAATTATTGATCATAAAAATTAAGATATTTAAAAATTGGTTGTTGAAAAATAATAATAAAAAGATTATTATGATGGAGAAATTTAAAGATTAATTAATACAATTGAAGATTAAAAAAGAAGATCTATTTTATTAGAAAATGAAAAAAATAGAGAAATTGCTGATTAACATGCTAGAATTGAAAGATTAACTATTTAATATGAAAATATGTAAATTGATCTCTAAAAATAAATATAATTATTAAATTAAGAAATAATTAATTTAAAGAATTTATTAGATCATAAAAATTAAGAAATTTAATAAAATCTTAAGAATTATTCTTAAATTAAATTAGAATTTGAAGATAAATTAAGAAATTTATAAAATGAATTAGAACTTGTTAAACTTAGATCATTTGAAACTGAAAAATCAAAACTTTAAGAAATTTAAGACTTAAAATCACTTATTAAAGAAATAGATATATAAAATAGAGAGAAATAAAAATAATTAGAATAATAAATTGATCATTAAAAATATGAAATACAAAAAACATTTGATATGTATAATAATAAAATAAAAGAATGTGAAAATCTAACAATTCAAAGAAATAATGCTGAACTCATTTAAAAACGTATTCAAGATGATAATGATAAATTGATTGAAAAATTACATCATTTTGAATAAGAAAAGAATTTAGAAATAGATGAATTAAGACATAAAATGGATTCAGGTGCTGCTTATTAATTTGAAAATCTAAAAAGTGCTTATAATACATAAGTAGGATTACTATCAGATCAAATAGCCGATCTTTAAAATTAATTGGCTATTAAAAATAAAGAATTAACTGAAATGATAGAGAAATATACAATATTAGATAAGAGTCTCTTACCAGAAACATTAGTATCTAGAGCTGCATACAATAGTAGAATTGGAATACCTGCTGAATTATTAGCTAATAAGTCTATTCATGATGCTACCCTTAAGTCCTAACTTCGAAATAGTCCTATATAAAGATATTGATATAATAATATTACTATAGTGAAATATATATTTTCTATTATTCTCTTCGATAATTAATTAGTTTTACTATAATAATAAAAGGTTACGAAAAGTCAATATAATTTATATAAAAATATTTTCACCCATTATGATTCATCCTCTCTTTTCATTTCCAATTGATTATCAACCAACTTATTAATTTGAGAATGATAACATGCCAAAAAATCAAATGATAGAATATGCTATGCATTAAAATATCAATGATTTTCCCTTATATCATCAACTTTAATACCCTTAATAACTAGTCAATTATGATATTGTTGTTGATCAGAAAACATAAAACAAAACCAAGAAATCCAAAAAGCATAAGTAATATACTAATTTTATATTATAGAAAGGATGATAAAAAAGAGTTGCTTCCTAAAACTAAAACATTACAAGAAGAACCTTAAAAAGAAGAATTGTATTATATATAGTATAACAATTTAGTTTGAAAACAATAGTTTAGCCATAATATCCACTAGTACATTTTACTTAGAGTACCTTATTACCTAAATTACAATCAGATATTGTAACAGATGGCTCACCTCTTGGTTCAAAATAGACTGTAAAATCCAGCAAACATCATCAAATCAAAAAGCCTAAAAAAGAGCATATTAATACTGGTCATTGGTCAGCTATTGAACATACAACATATGTGAATTTCCTATCACAATATGAAAACATAATGAACTCTTCAATGATGAAGAAAACATCAAAAATATTTAAACAAATGAGTGAACTAATTGGTACACGTACACCAAGTTAATGTAGAAGTCATCATTAGAAATTTAATCCTTATGCTCATAGAGGTGAAAATGGTAAAAGATTACCAAGAAATGAAAGAAGTAGAGCAGGACGCAAAAAGAAAAATTAATTGACAGATATTGCTAAAGATGGTAATTATAATTCAATATTATAGAATAAATAGTTGAGTAAGATCCTTTTTATATGATGTTTGATAAATAATTTTACTTTAATCCTTATATGGTTAATGGGATTGAGTATTAACAATTCCTGAATGATGTGAACCTTAAAAGAGAGGATATGCCTGAATATATCCATCATGCTTAACCATAAGACTATGAAGATTATCTAAAAATCAGACCAGATTATAATAATTAGTTAGATTATTGATTATAATTATCTTTAATTATTTAATGATTGCATTAGAGCATTGTTAATAGCTATTAGAGTTATATATACTTGAATTTAGTGACCCTGATTAAATTTAAGTTCATGATGATGAACCAGTATATAAGAATTTAAACTAAAGTAAACTCCAGTTTTTGATAGACATACTACTCAACATGTTTAATCTGTGTTATGGAAACGATAATCAATAAGATTATTAGACAATTCTTCTTAAAAAGAATTTGAAATTAAAAAAGATTATGGTTTGTTTGAGACATATGAACCTAAGCCTTAACTAATTGTAGTTGATAGAGACAAATCTGATGATAAATATAGATTAGAAGCCATGAAGAAGAAGAAAGATAAAAGAAATGCTAAACTAAGAGATCAAAATTTACCATATAATGAATACATTCATCCTGCAAAACAAATTTAAGTTAAATTATTATTATCAAAAAAACCATTAAAAGATTATCAAACATATGATTCTGATGGTAGTATTATGAGAAGAAGAGAATAAGTTAAATAATTAAGTCCAATTGTCAATACAGTCAAAAGTAAATTATAAGGAAGAGTTGACCAAAAATAATCAGAACCTATTGCTGAAGAAAATATTATTAATCAATAAGCCTTGTTTAAATTAAAAGTTGCTACAAAAGTTAAAACATAATATGATGAACCATATAATTTTGAAGCATTTCCTTTAAAAACAGGAGTTAAATTAACATTCACATAAGAAAAAAAGAAAAAGGAAGAAGAGAAACTCAATAATGAAGAAGAAGATCTAACTGATGCCGATACTTATTAACTATAAAAGTTTATTAAAAAACCAAGTTATACAACACTTCCTTTATTTAAATTACCCAAGAAAAAATAGAATATTACTCATGAGAGATCTTTTCGTACTCTTAGATTAAATAAAGGATTTGAATATTGATTAGTTTTAAGAATTTATCATAAATTATTTCTATGAATTTAAAATATTTTCATAATAAACACTATATTTGAATTAATAATTAAAGATTTTTTAATATTAAAGTTAAAGTTATTTAGATATTAATGAACTAAAATAAAAAGAATAATGAATTCTTTAAAAGTTAATGAATTATGACAAACTTCTATAAAATTTCTCTTTAATTTTTAACTATATTCCAATTATATAAATGTTATTTAATATATATATAATAAAAAACATAAATAAAAAAGATTCTTAATTTATGATAGCCAAATATATATATATATATTGTAATCTCTCAATAAATTTACCAAGGATAATTTAAGATACCACATGTGTTTTATTAATATAATCTGATATGTCCCTTTTCACCCCAATCAGATCCCCATGAATTTTAAACAATCCAATTACTTTCATTGTCAAATCCTACTGCTAATGCATAATGAGTGGTAGCATTTGATGAACAATTGTAAAATACTCCTGAACCATAAAATTACCAATTATCAGCATTTATTCCAACTGATACTGGATACTTACTTAAGGATTACTATAATTATTATTATGATCCTCCAACAAATGAATAACCAGAAATAAAATAAGTACCATTTCTTGTTTATTTACAATTCTATTCTCTATCAACATATGGATAAGTTTAGTTAGAAGATAATCCTACTCTGAATGCATATTCCATAGCATATCCATTATAACCCCCATAACATCCAGAAGAGTTAAAATCACAATCAACTATTTGCTATGTGGATGGATATATTTTTTAATATTTCATAATACCATACCAGGCTTCTATTGAATTACTGACAGAAAAGGCATAACCTGAATGGCATATACCTTAATTCTTGACTGTAGAGTAATTTCTCCAATCAACTGCAGTTAATCCTTCCAGTTAGACTTCTGGAATATTAACTTCAATTTTATCCATAGGAATATTAACATTTTTTTATAAATACAGATCAACAAATTCTTCATGAGTAAGAGCCATAAATTGATTTTCTGACATTTTATAAGTAACATCATCTCTTAGATTATGTTCTTAAATCATTCTTTTGTTGGAATAGTATATTTCCATTCTGTACATTTTTTCGGTTTCAGTATAAAATTTGTTATTTTATGTGATCCAAACTTCAAAGTCTGATTTATTATCTTCAGAAACATTGTAATATCCAACTGTCATCAGCAAGGTTACTAAAACTATTGCAAGATATTATTTCATAAGAATTATTATTTAATTTATGTTTGTTATTTTTCACTTAAATTACACTATTTACTTATGGAATATCTTATTCATTCTATAACATACACTTTAATAATATAATTGTCAAAATATTTATTAACTTAAACATTTTATGACAAATATTTATTTATTTTTTTGAATAGAAATATTTATTTGTTAAATAAATTCTTAAACCATGAATTATATGAAAATTTTATCACATTTCATATTGTCCAAAATAATATACTATTCCTATTTCAATCATTGAGTGATTGAATATTATATCAATTCTATAATACATACTCAAAGTATTTGGAAAGTATAATATAGGGTGTTAATCTGTTTTATAATAATTTAGAGATATTGATATTTCACCATCATATTTAATAATTTAAGTTGAATTAAACTTTATTTAAATACCTTTTTCTAAAACATTAATATATTCTTATATATAAATTATTAAATTAATATTATAATAATAATATTCTTTTTTTAATATATAATTTGGAGATTAAAATGATAAAATATCTAAGTATTTTGTTGATAACAAGTGTTTTGTTGATTTATATCAATAATAATACACAAGATAATATTACAAACTTGTAATAAGAATTTGAGAATTGGAAAATAAAGCATGGAATACAATTTCTTGATGAAGAGAATTAATACAGATTTTTAATTTTTAAAACAAATTTATAGAAAATAGAAGAACACAATTCTGATTAAAGTCAAACTTATAGAATGGGAATAAATTAATTTATGCATTTAACTTAAGAATAGTTTGAATCATTGTATTTAATAAACTTCAATAAAGAGAATTCCGTCAGAGATTAACCAGAAATTATTTAATTAAGAAATTCAACATTGAAAGCATCCATTGATTATAGAAATTACACAGTTGTTAAGAATTAAGGATAATGTAATTCAGGATGGGCATTTTCTGTAACAGGTACAATGGAAGTTTATTAGAAAATTTATTACAATAAGAATGTATCTTTATCTGAGTAGCATATTATTGATTGTGATTAATTGTCAAGAGGATGTACTGATGGTTCTAATATTAATGGATATAAATTTGCTATAGCTAATGGTGTTGCAACTGAAATTGAGTATCCATACATAGGATATAATTAAACTTGTAAGAAATTAAATGGTACTTATCATGCAGTAAGATATTCATCAGCAGTAGGAGAATATAATATGAAATAAGCTCTAAATAGTCATCCAGTTTCAGCTGGTTTGGATGCTTAAAATTGGTAATTTTATTCTTCTGGAATCTTTTCAAATTGTGGTATAACATTGAATCATTATGCTGTTGTGGTTGGGTATGAAGAGACTGGAAATTGGATAGTTAAGAATTCATGGGGTTTAGGTTGGGGTGAAAATGGATTTATTCGTATAAAATCTGGAAATACATGTGGAATAGTGACATATTCCTATTAAGATAAGTATTAATGAGATCTTAGAATGAAATCTGATTGATATCTAATAAAATATATATAGAATATTTTAATAAAACTTCAATATGGTTCCATTTATGTTAAAGTTGGATCTTAATGATATTTGAATGCAGCTTTATATACTTTATTAAAATCAAGTTTCTTATTTAAGAATTATTAAAACATTTCTTCACCTAGTTTCTCTTTAATGAAATTTTATCTTTTAGTTAAATCTTCATATATCTGAAATATAATGAATTAAATAAATACATCATTAATTAATGTTATTTTTATAGCAGTTCCTTATTCAGATTGGTTTTTCAATTTAGATTACTAAATTTTGGATCTAATATTTTTGATACTTATCTATAATTTAATTATTAAATTTAAGTACATTATAATCTAATAATGAAAGTTGTAATTTATTTTTTTATTTTTCCTTAACTTAATTCTATTTTAATTATAAATCTCTTTTCTCTATTAACATTTAGATAGTTTCATTGCCTTAAACTTTCCCTTAAATATATTTAATTGTTTTTTCACGTTATTTTTTATGTTCATTTGAATTAGCATTTTTGAAAGTCTTTTAAAATAAATATATAATTTACATCTAAATACATCTTTTATTTATGTAGTTTAAGATGTAAATCACTTAATAGATCTTCTTAAAATGATATTTTAGCTTCTAAAGATGTTTTAATTTCTAATTAATTTAAAAATTCAACAAAACTCTTTTCTTTAGAGTAATCAGGATTTTCAATCTATTAATAACATTATTGAATTACTTCTATATATTGACTAACATGAGCCATAGTTGATCTAAGAACTTCAAGCTTATCAGATATTGCTTTACTATTTTTTTCAAGTTGAATTCTTTTGACTCTTTATTATTCTTTATCTTCATTTTATGCATATTATTATTATAATTTTTACATCTTTTCAGATGATTATTATTGTATAATAGAATCTGATTATTAAAAAAAATGATCAAAGTCTTCTTTTTATCTAACAGTTTTATTGATTTAATCAATCATTTATTTTGAATAATTCATATTATTATTAAAAGCATCTACATATTATATATGTATAGTATGTATTTATTTAATTTCAGTTTCCATTTTAATAATATCTTATTTCTCATATTTAATCAATTTGTTTAGATTACATTATAAATAATTTAAATCTCTAATCCATTCTTCATTATAAGATCTATTATCACCACTAATTTTAATTATAATTCTCAATCTACTATCTTGTACCATACTCAATAAATAATCATGTTCTGCTTCCTCTCTCAATTTTTTGAGATTTTCAATCTAAAAAGAATTATAATAATAATAAATATTACTTTATCTTAAATTTATGAAACCGTATCTACATCTGTTCCAAATCCTTCATTATGTTAAAGTGTTCTTAAATTAGCCAATTTCTTAGTAGCTGCTTGACTAAATTAAAATATAAAAATATTACTTTTGATATATAATATTGTCTAATTCTTTTTTTAAATCCTTTGCTTATTATAACATTATATAGAGTTCTTTGCCATTATGAAGTGCAATTTCACTTTTTAATCTAGGTAAAATAGATTAAGAAGATTTATTAATTGTTTCAGGATTAAATTATTTGTGTTTTTCTTTTTACATTTTTGATTTATCAATTATTCTCATTGTTGTATTTAAAGAGACTTCTTAAGTTTTAGATATTGCAGGTAGAGTTGTTTATTTTTTATCAACTTAATTTTATTGTTATTATTTCTTCTATTCTTCTATTTCTTTATGAATTTAAGATAAACTCATTTGATCCTCTGTTATAAAGAATTATAAACTAGTAGTATGCATTTTTGTTGATTTAACTTCTCTATAAGTAGATTTATGATTTTAATTATTAATAGTATTATCAGCTAATGATTTCTCTCTTCTAAATCCTTTTACACCTGGTAATTCATTTTATTATCTCATTAATGTTAATATTGAAGTATTCTATTCTTATTTTACTGGTATTACTGATAATTCTTTATCATTAAATATATTAGTAGTATTTAAATCTTCTTATTTTTAATACATCATTTTCTTCTTTAATTTAGCTTCAATAGCTATTTTTAATGCTTATTTTGTAAATGCCTTTTCTTCTTAAACACTCATATATTCTGTAGCTTTGGCAAAACATTATTTCATTTTAGCAGAATAATCACTATGAACAGATAAACAAACCCAAGGAAATTAAATCCAAATCCATCTTTTATAATAATAATCTGTTGGTTTCCTTTCACTAACTAATGATTACTCTTCTAATTTCTTAACTTAAATCTAATTATGTGTTAATTTTAATTAACCTGGCTTTTTTAATTATACATCTTCATCTTTACTTAAATTAATATCTAAATCTCTCATTGAAATTTATCCATTTTCTAATTTTTAATATATTTTAGCTTCTTCTGATTCCTTTTCTCTTAATTTCTCTTCTTAAACATTACTAATTCCTATCTTCTCTTCAAAAAACTTTTTAACTTATTCTCTATTATATGGTATATCAACATTTAATTTTTCAAGTTTTGTTAATATTTATGGTTTCTTCTTTTTCTCCAATAAACTTATAGTAGCTTAAGTTTTCTTAATATCTTCTTCTTTACCAGGTTTTTTAGTTTATTTTTAATCTTTTTATAATACTTATTTTGATTTAAGTTTCTCAATCTTTTCATTAATTCTCTCTTATGGTGATTTATAATTTTCATCATTATTCCCAATTTTTATAGGATTAGCATCAATTATATAACATAAATTCATTCTATAAAGTTCATTTAATAATCCAATATCATCTAATTCATCTTCTATACCTTAAATTGGTGGATGTCTAAAACTAGGAGTATAATAAGTTTCAAAATCACAAAATTCTTTTAAAAATCTTGACACTTATACAATTATTCTAAAAATATCTTCACTACTAGGATGATATTGCATTGCAAAACCTTCTATAGCTTTATTATATTCAATTACTGGATCAAATCCTTATTCCTCTAATTTTTACCAATAACGACATAGATCATATTTATTATTAGGATTAAATAATAATAGAAAATTCTCTATAGCTGAAACTATTTCCTTTAACTTAAAATATGTTTTAGCCATAAATAAATGATATGTTTACTCTTCCAATTTTCTAATGGAATTAGTTGATTTATTTAAATGATCAGCAATTTCTTCATGTAATTTAGGAACTGATGAATTCTCTTTGATATATCTTTTTTAAATAATACTCTTAAATATATCATTATTAATAATCCAATATTCTTTATAATGCATAAGATACACTTTAAAGAATACTAAAAAGATCTTCCAATCATTCTCATTTAATTAACAAATTGTTAATGCTTCTTAAATAATCAAACCTTTTTAAGTTATAGTAAAGCATAGAAGCATTTTTATAAATTTTTCTTAATCTTTAAACATTTTTGCTTAATAGTGATCCAAAATAAAATTTACCAAATCTTCTAAACTAGTTACCTCTTACAATTTTGACATATCAATTTAAGAAACTAAAGTTTCAATTACTTCTGGTCTAACATCATTTTCTCCAATAATTCCAACACTAGGATATGGAATCAGAAGGGAAAGAAATGTCTTACAAAATATTGAACTCATTTCACATTTAGTTTAAGATAGAATATTTAATAATTTATCTTTAAGTGAATCAGACTATAATAATATTAATTTATAATTATTACAAGGAATGTTTTTCTTTTTTTATGTGTTTCTATCATTTTCTCTATTATTTTAGGTTCCACTTTGATTTATATAATTTAAGCATTGATTTTCTATAGATATTACATTGCTCCTGAATTCTTAGAAGCAGTTAGAATAACTTTGATTCTAGATGGAAAAAATTAAGGCAACCAAAATGAAACATTAGCTTCTTTTGAGATTCCATTGCCTTAGTCAACAAAGTGATTAACACCTTCAAAGATAAGGATAACTCTATTATATAAAGTTTTAGCTTCTTTGAGTATTTAATTTTCAATATGTGAATTGCAAATGTCTAACCAGTAAGCAAAATATTTTCTAAGCTTCTCTTCCAATAACTCAACTTTTTATCCTATATTAAGCAATTCCCTCAATTTAACCAATATTCGATATATAGCATAGAAATAATTACTATTATTTCCTCCAACCATAGCAAAATGAGGTATAATTATATCCTAATATCTACCTTTTTTGTTTGCATTATGATATCCAATCCACTTAACAAGTAAAGTTTTTTTGCCTACACCATCTTCTGCCTCAATTACTAATGGAAGATTTTATTTCCCTTTCTATTTTGAATAAATAAGATATATTACTACATCCTAATCCAACCATTCTTCAATTTTCAGAAAATGCTTATCCAATCCACTTGTTTACTGATTTTTATAGTATTCCATAACAACCTCAGAAGAGCTAAAATTAAATGACATAATACTCTATGTAATTATTGTACTCTTCTTCCAATTAAGCTATCTGGAAGGATAGATTTTGTTTCTGATTAGCTTCTTCCATCAGTTTTATTATTTTTATATTAATAAATAAATGAATATATATATATATATTGCTGATCATCTTTATCTCCTTACATATCTAGTTTTACGATCCTCTTATTTTTATACATTTCTAAGGGCATTCTAATCAAGTAATTCAATTGATGGACCCCATTGAAATTAGTGATCATATTCTAATTCACATCTAACCCAATTTTTATCATTTATTTAATTCGAAAACATAACATTTTTAAATTAGTTGTAATTAGCATTACTTTCAATTAAGGTTCTTGTGCTTTTCTTTAAATTACTAAAATCTTCTCCAGTTTTTGGTTCCATTTATCTTTCTAAAGATGAAATTGATTCTCTTAAAGCATGAGCTATTTTAGGTTCATATTATTCAGGCATTCCCATTTCTTTAGCTGTCAATTCTGCTAATGCTTCTGGTGAATTCATAGTATTGTTCATATCCCATTCTAATTAATCTTTGAAATGAATATTTTCAACTCTTAAATCAACATAAAGATTCTTTAACATCTCATTTTTAGTAGGATAATAACATTTATAATTTTAAACTTGTTTTTTTATTTGAGTAGTTATTTCTTATTCAATCACTGAAGGTAATTGATTTTCTTCAGTAATAATTCTGGCAAAGGTTTCAGGAATCATATGAGATTCATTTAAATTCCAACAAAAAGTTTAGTAAATTTTCTTACCTTCCAATTCAAAATCAATAGTGATTGGTACTAATTATTAATGTTTTGGTGGCTCTATTGGAATATCTTAAGCCTTTTATAAATAATTAGTGATTGATTTACAGATTGATTTAATGCTTATTGGAATGAAATATTGGGATTGTTTTTTAATTGCTCTTAAGTCTTACGCAAAATGATTTCTTGTCTTTATTATTTGATGGAATTTTAATATTGATTTCTAAGGATATGAAATTTAGATATAGGTAAAACAGGCCTTACAGTATGATGAGACACTAAAATATTGTATTTGAATAAGTAATTACAGAATTAAGATGCTCTACTATCAGGAAGTCTGAATTATCCAGTACCCATTCCTTAACCTTTATTAGCATGGAATGTGGCTATCCATCTTTCCAATAATTCTTCTATTCTTGTGCTTTGAGAATTTGAGATGTCCTATTTTCTTGGTTTGTTTTTATTTTGCATCCATAATGAGAGAGTACTATGATGAATACCTATTTCTCTTGCCAAATCTACTTATTTAATATTGTGTTTTTGGAGTATTTCTTGTATTCGTGATTTGAGATCTTTTTGTATTTACATTAATTAATGGAGGGACCAAAAATAACAGTCGTAATCAGAAAGAGACCATTAGGAAAGAAAGAATTAGCACGTGGTGATTAAGATATTGTATAAGTGAAAGATTAAGCTACTGTATTATTGAGTGAGATCAAGTATGCATTTTGAAATTCAATATACTTTCTCTTTTTTAGGTAGAAAGTTGATCTGACCAAGTATGTTGAATAGCATCACTTCAATTTCGACTTAGCATTTGATGAGAGTGTAAATAATGAAGGAGTATATGCGACTGCAGTACGTCCAATAATTGAAGCAGCCTTCAATAAAGCAAAATGCACTTGTTTTGCATATGGATAAACAGGTAGTGGTAAAACATTCACAATGCTTGGTGACCCAGAAGCTAATGTACCAGGACTATATCTGATGGCAAGTTATGACCTATTTAGCATATTATAAAGAGTAAGTAACATCACAATTATACAAATAGCCAGAATATGGTCATTTATTTGTGACTATTTCCTTTTATGAAATTTATTGTGGCAAATTGTTTGATCTCTTAAATGATAGAACTTAATTGGCAGCATAGGAAGATGCCAAAGGTAATGTTCAAATAAAAGGATTAACTGAAAAAAAAATTCAAAATGTTTAGCAACTTATGCAAATCATACAACATGGATAGAACTCTAGAGTAACTTCTTAAAACTCTGCAAATTCAGAATCATCACGATCTCATGCTTTACTTTAAATTAATTTAAAATAAGGTAAGCTAGTTCATGGCAAACTCTCTTTTATTGATTTGGCAGGTAGTGAAAGAGGAGCTGATGTTAGAGATTAAGATAAAACTACTAGAGTTGATGGAGCAGAAATTAATAAATCTCTTTTAGCTTTGAAAGAGTGTATTCGAGCTTTAGATCTTAATAAGAATCACACTCCATTTAGAGGCAGCAAACTTACATTAGTATTAAAAGATAGTTTGATTGGTAATTGCAGAACTGTCATGATTGGTAATATATCACCAAGTAGTGCTAATAGTGAACATACATTAAATACATTAAGATATGCAGACAGAGTCAAAGAATTAAAAAAACCATAAGAATAGAAATCTGGTGGAGATGCTCTCAATCGAGAATTGATGTTAGCTAGAACAGGTTTCATTTTATTTTTATTACTTTAGATTCTAATGTGATTCGTAAAGAATATAAAAATCCTGATTCTGAAGATGAAGAAGGAGATGATTTATATAGTGGACCTCAAGGATCTTAAGGTGGATTAACTTAGATGAACAATTAGAAATATTAATAATATAATAATATGACATCTTCATAATAATACTAATAATAATTTCAATATGCTTAGTAACAATAACAATAATAATAATAATTACCTCCTTAACCTCTACCTTAATAACCAACAAGAACATTATCAGCTAATTCATAACAATAAATATAATAATAACCATAATACAATTAATAATTTACTAATCAATATGCCAAATAACCATAATAATAATAATAATAACCTCCAAATCTTCCAAAATCCAAAAGTGTTTAGTCAAATCAAGCATAATAATAATAATAATCTACATCCTAAACACAATTGCCAAACCAATAATTTTTCATGTAATAACCAATTATGAATCCATAATAACCTAATATTTATTAATAATAACAATAACCAAATCTATAGTAATTCATAAATCCATAACCTTAATAATTTTAACCATAGATGTATAGCAATATACAAAAATAAAATGTTGCTCAGTAAAACCCGATGCTATATTAACAATAACAAAATCAATTTCCATAATAATAAATGTTTTAGCAATATCCTTAGTAAACTTATATCAATAATAATCAATATTATTAAAAGTAATAACCCTTGATTCCTGGAATGAATCCTATTCCTTAATAGGCTAATAATTTCATGTAGCACTATTTGGATAATAATTTAAATTAGTAATAATAAGATCCATTTGTAAATGATGATTTTTAAGGTGAAGATGGAGACAATCTATTATTGGAAGAAGTGGATCCAGAATAAGAAATATAAGAATAAAGAAATTAATTATTATCTTAATAACATGAAGAATTAGTAAGCAAGGTATTGTAAGAAGAAGATGAAATTATTGTATTCCATAGAGATCATATTGATGTTATGGTTGAGATATGTAAATCAGTAATATAATCTTCATTATCTTCATTAGGATATGATCTTATTGAATTCATTGGATCAGAATCAAGTGGCTGTGGCTGATTATATGGTGAAATTAAAATAGAATTTACAAGTCAAATAATAAGCAATCAATGATTTCATAAACAAGCTTGGATAATATGAATAATTGTTAGAATAAGTATGATTGTGTATCTACTTTCTTTAGGAAGCTGAATTAAATGAATAATTGAAGGAGTTCGGATTGGGTAATAACTCAAATTAAACAAATATATAATGATAACTAATCATAATGTTAACTCTAGATCATATGATCCTCCTGTCATCCCAAACCCTTCATAAATGCTTCAAGAGTCCTAATTCGTTAGCATTTCTCAAAAACATCTGTTTCTCCCTAATAGCCCTTTTGAAATCAATAATCAATCTGACAAAGTCTATTCCCAATTACCCTTTGAACCACAACCATTAGAGATGATGTTTGACAATTTACCCTTTTAATAAACTATCTCCTAATAAATAATAAAGAAACCATCCAAATTTTCAAATCTCAAAAAATCAACTCCTCCTGCAATCTTGCCATAAAAAAGGTATCTCATTTATTTATCATTTTATAGATCTAGTCATAATTAATTACAGTTAAAAATGCCAAATTATGAATCTTAAAAAGAACCTCTTAAATCCTAAAAAGGTACTTAAAATGATTTTTAACTGTAGGACTAAAACATTTGTCAATCAAAGTTAAATAAATAGTCTTTGAATTTAAATCCACATCTTATAAGGATGTAGCAGAAAGACTTATTTAAGAATTGATTTAAGAAGAAGGTAGAATTTCAGATTGTGATAATGTATAATAAAATTAATATCAAAGTCAAAAGATGAGTAGAATATAAAAAGAAGAGTTTATGATGCACTTAATGTAATGATTGCCTCTAAAGTATTAAAGAAAGAAGGTAAAAAGGTTAAAGCTGACTTTGATACTTTAGTATTAGGAAATAATTTATTAAGCCAAAAATCTATTCAAAAAGAATAACTTGTATATCTTGATATTATTTAGATTGATATGTAAAAAATAGTTGAAATTAAAAAAAAGTAATTGGCAGAAATTGTTTGCAAAATTAAAGCAGCTAATTCCCTAATTTAAAGAAATAAGTCCTTAGAGCTTAATTAATAATAATAATTATTTTATTTTCCAATTTTAATATTCACTCAAGATGCAAACAATTCAAAATTTATTAAGGATAGAAAATAATTAAAAATTTTACTAAAATCTAAAGCAAATTTTATAGCTGATTTAGATATTGTTAAAAAATTATATAGGTATATTAAAATAAAGAATAATTTTTAGTGAAACTATTGATTTAAAATATTTAATAGATGAATGCGAAAATTTATACATATGATCTAATTAAATATTCTATATAATATTTTATTAATTATTTTCTATTTAGTTTTATATTTTATTATTGAAAATGATTATTATTTTTCAAATCAATATAAAATAATAATAATAATAATGAATATTTATTTAAAAGTGAATTATTATATTTCATAATTAAGTATTTCACCAATTATTTTTACATCTATCCATTATAATTGAATTTAATCTTTAATTGTCTTACATTAATGTTTAAACCTTCCTTTCTAATTCTTAAGCATAATTTGCACAATTGTCTAGAACTAAAATCTTATTTCTAGCTAATTCAAGTTCTTGATTTCTTTGAATGAACATATTTTTTAATTTTTCAAGTTCACTACAAGAATTTCTAAGCTATCCTTCTAAAACTATTACTGTTTTTTATGTTATTTGTTTTTCATTTAATTATTCCCTTAATTAATCATTTTCAATATTTAATTAACTATGTTTAGTTGTATATTATTCTAATGATGCTTATAAATCATTAATTTATGAACTTAATTACCAAATATGATTTTCTAATTGTACTTTTTCAGCTGAAAATTTCATTTATATTTAAGTTTCCACTTAAATTCTTAATTAATCATATTATTGTTTAGCAATTTTATCAATTTCATCAGTTAATAAATTTATTTTCTTTAAATAATTTTCTTTTTCTAAAACCCATTATTTTTACATTTCTTTTAATTATGATAACTAAAATTAAAAATAAATATTTTACTTCTTCTAGTTATTCTTTTTCTTTTTCTTATTCTCCTTATTTCTTTTCAATTTAATATTATAATTATGCAATTTCTTACTATTTTCTATTATTATCTTCTCTAATAAAATCTGTTTATTATAGCTCTTTTTTTAATTAATCAATTTTTTATTATTAAAATTTAACAATTCTTTAATTTTCTAATTATATTTCTTCCATTGAATTAGTAATCTTTTCTAAATCCTATTATAAAATTGAATTATCCTCTTCAATAGATTCAAATTAATTTAATTTTTCTTGACATTTGACCAATTATTTAGTTTTATCATTTAATAAATTTTATAATTTTAAAACATGTTCTGTTTACAATCTTAATTTATTTTCTAAATCTTATTATATTTCAAGATGAGAATTCTTATCTTTTTATAATTAAATAACTTATGATCTTAAATTTCTTAATTCATCATTATGAGAATGATTGGATTTGCTTTAAGCTTCCAATACAGTATTTTTGACTTCTAATGTATGTGTTTTCTCTAGATATTCTGATGATTTCTTTATTTACTATTATAACTATTATTTCAATTAAGATAGCTCTGAACAATTTGTATTAGTATTTTATTCACGTAATTATAATGAATTTTCTAATTCTTTAACTTTTAATATTAATTAACTCTTTTCTTTTCTGAGATTATCTAATTAAGTTTTAATTAATATCTTTTCTTATTAGACATCCATATGATTTGAAGATTATTAAAATTGTATATTGTATTTTGCTTATTTTTCTTATTCTAATTATTTTTAAGTCTCTTCATAAACAACATTTAATTATTCAAACTTTGTTTAAAATTAATCACATTTATTTTATAATGTCTTATTTAAGGATTCATATTATTATAATTATGTCTTCATTTACTAATTCTCACTTATAAGAGTCTACTGTTTGATTTCTAATAATCGATATTTATTTGAATTCTAATTTTTCGGATCTTAGTTTAATTTTGATAAATTTTCAATTTCTAATTCTTTATCTAATAATTATTTTTATAATTGAACAATTCTTGAATTGACAAATTAGTCCATATCATTTGAATTAATTTTCATCGTTTTTCTATTCACTTAATTCTGAGTAAGAATAAGAGTGTTATTTTCTTTATTCATTCCGTTAAAAATATAATAAAATTAATAATGCCAATTTCTAATGATATTCCTTGATTTTGGATAAATTCTAAACTAGATAGATAACCTAGAAATCATGCTGATCAAATATAAATTCAAACTGTTTTATATTGTTGAAACTCTCATTAGTCCAGAATATCAAATAACCATAAAATGTTAATAAATATTCTTTATTTAATTGATACTTTCATAAAAAAAGCTTTTTTACTAATTACTAAAACATCAATTACAGAGAATCTCTTAACAAAAATGATTTTATTAATGTATTCATACTTATCAATTCATATTAAGAAACATAATCTAAAATTAGCAAAGGAATTACCATAAATAATAAATTAGACTATAAAAAATTCTATTATATGTTTGCAATTATTATTCCTTTGTTTAATATGGGCATTACTTTACATCTTCTTTAAATAATTAAATTATGTTATTATCTTATTTTTACTTAACATTTTATGTAAGATTTACAATAAAAAAAAGAATTTTGATATTGATCTAAAATAGGGAATATGATTATTTAGTTCTAATTAAGATGGTTCAATTATATAAAATGAGAGTAATAATTTTGAAAATAATATACAATGTATCTAATTATTTAAGATATATTTATATAAATATCAGTTATTTTCTAATTAATAGGTATATGATAATACTAAAGACTTTGCCATTTATTCTTATTGTTTATATACTCCAGGCATTAAAATTATGCATTCCTCTTTATTTTTTAGAAATCCATCAATAGGATCATTTCTTGTTTAATTAAATTATTGTTTTTGTCCTATAGATTAGATATCAAATTATAAAGAAGGATCACTTATGAAACAGTTAAACATTATTTCTGATAATTTGTCTAACGGTATTAAATTGAGGTTATACTTAAAAATATTTCAATATTATCCCCATTTTTTATCTTTAAACTTTTTTACAATTCTATTTTAACACTACTTAAATTAAGCATACATTTTTCATAAATTTATTTGTAATTACTTTGAAATGACTTTCTTAAAACATTGATAATTGGTCCTTCAATAGTAGTTAAACAACCAACCTTAAATATTAAAAAATATAAAATTACATCTATTATATTTCTAAATAAAGGTGAAAAATAATCATTAATTATTTTATCTATTCTAAACATAGCAGTTTAAAAAAAATAAACAATTCCCTTCATGTTTAATTCTTGACTTAGAACATCAAAAAAAATATCAAAACATTCGCATTTGTAAAATTCTGCAATTGAATTACTTAATTCATTTGCCATAGGAAATGTTATGCTTGTATTTGCAAATCCAGAAACCATACATCTAAGATTTGATTACATTTGTAATATTTCTTATTATAGATTTTGATTTTCTTTTGTTAAAATTTCTTTTTCTTTCTTTGTGATTTGTAATTTATTCATTAGTATTTTAATTTTACCTTTTAATTCATCTTATGTGCCATCCAAATAGTCTTAAGGTTTTGAGAAATTCTCTCTGACATAATTATTCTTCATTTTTAAATTATGCTGTTAATAAGTATATTTTATATTTTAAATTTAAATAAACTAAGCAGTTAATAATAATGGCCTTATTAAAGGATGATACAGCATTCACACATGTAATTGCAATAGATTTTGGGACTGGAGCATCAGGGTATAAATTAAATTAATTTAGATTTGGATTAGCTCCAAAAGTATTGGATAAGGAAGGAAAACCAAGAATTGAAGTATTTAATCCTTGTGATGATTCAGATGATCAAAAAACTCCCACAGCTATTTTATTTGATAATAATGGTTAATTTATTGAATTTGGATCATAAGCTCTTTAAAAATATGCTAGTATATTAGATGATGGTGATACAGCTTATCTATTTTAAAATGTAGTTTAACATTTAAAATTATTAGTATAAAATGCATTTATATCATATGCATAATCATGCAAGATCTCTTGATAATAGAGAATTACCTTTAATGTTATTGATAAAAGAGACACTCAAATATATAAGCAATAAAGCAATATAAAAATTAAAGGAATAAGTAGGAAAGGTGATAATTACTAAAATTAGATGGGTATTAACAGTTCCTGCATTATGGAGTGAAGAACATAAATAATTTATGAGAAAAGCAGCTGTAGAAGCAGGAATAGTAGAAAATCTAAATTCTTCAAATTTATTATTGTGTTTAGAACCAGAAGGAGCATCAATATAATGCAGAGAAGATGCTGAACATACATTAAAAGAATAAATGGCTAAAAATTCTGTAGTTATGGTACTAGATTGTGGAGGTGGCACAGTAGATATAACAGTTCATAAATTATTATGTGAACCTAATGAGAAATTCTTATGTAATGAATTGATTCCTTCTTCAGGAGGATGTGAATGGGGTTCAAAATATGTAGATTTATATTTTGAAGAATTTTTAAAAGAATTTTTAGGAGAGAAATTATTTAAATGTTATTTATAGAATGCCTCAGCTAGATTGGATATATTAAGAGATTTTGAAATTCTTAAAAGAAAATTTAAAGGAAATAAGGATGAAAGATGTATGATTAAATTCTCTTATTTGGGTGAAGAATTAAATACAGCCAAATTAACACAATTAGTTAAAGAACATAATTCAAAACATGCTGCAGAATATTAGGTTAAATTGAAAGGTCTTTCTAATGTAGAAATTCCATCTTCTTTAATGGCATCTTTCTTTTAAACTTTATTTGAAAATATAAAAAATAAAGTTGCTCAACTTTTATAATAAGTTGAACAAAAAAAAGAAAAAGTGAATTTCATTTTTATGGTTGGAGGATTTAGTGAATCTCCATTTTTGAAATCAGAAATCATAAAAAGATTTGAAAATAATACAATATAAATCTTAGTTCCTAGACGTCCTTAAGTATCTGTTATTAGAGGAGCATGTCTATTTGGTTTGAGTCCAAGATCTATTACAAGTAGAATAGCTAAAAAGACATATGGAATTAATACATTAACAAGTTTTGATGCAGAGAGACATCCAATAAAAAAGAAAGTAATTATTGAAGGAGAGGAATTTAGTGAAGATGTATTTGATGCTTTTGTTAGAAAAGGAGATGCTGTTGGGTATATATAATAAATAACTATATTTTTTTAGTTGTGATGAAGTACATACTAAAATATATTGTCCAGTTAGATCTAGATAAACTATAATGAGAATAATCTTTTATGTAACTGAAAAGAGAGAAGTAGAATTTGTAGATGAATAAGGAGTTTAATAATTAGGTGAATTGTGTATTGATATTGGAAAACCACTTTAATCTGTTGAAGATAAAACTGTAAAGGTTACACTTTTATTTGGAAACACTTGTATTTATGCTACAGCTACGAATAAGGATGGAACAGAAATAAAAAATTGTGAATTCAAATTCGAATGTGGGTAATGAATAATACTTAATTAATAAATATTCTAACATATTATTTTTCATTTTCAAACTATTATTATTATAAAAGTAGTATTTAAATAAAATCGTTAATGGACACTACTTAATTAAAAACTAAAGTTCTACTTGATTATGCTAAGAAAAACAAATAATTATTGCATGAATGGTCAGAAAAGACAGTATAGGCATTCTTAGAATAAAGTAGAAAATTTACAGAAGAAATGTATTCAGGAAATTTATCAATGGTTGATGATGGATATAATGATACATAAGAATAATTATAGATACTTGAAAACTTATTTAAAAGTATTTAAATCAAAATGAAAATTAGATTTTACAAAAACAAAGGGTGATATACAACACAAATTGAGAATTTCATATTCTATAGCAAGAAGATTATATATGGAAAATTTATAAAAAAGAGTCTTTTAGACATTAAGACAATAAGTGAAATACTAAATTTATATTCGTAGAATGAAGATGTTTGCATCTACCTACTCTAAGTAATAATAAATAATAATAGTTTAGATTGAGAATACCTAGATAAGTATTTAGTAAATGGAGAAAATAAGCTCATAATCAAACAAGATAAACAATTTTACATTAAGTTAATAGGAAAACTGATAATGAAATAATGTAAATGTAAAAGGAATATGAATAATTAATTGGATAATTAGAAAATGTATTGGAAAAGAAATTGATTGAATTAAAAGTAGAAGAAGAATAACATAAAGAATTAGTGTTAAGATATGATGGAATTGTTGAAAAACGTACAGCTATTAAACATTGATAATTATATTCAATATTACTAAATCAAATATTAAAATTTCATTTATAAATATTTAAATCATCATTATTATTATTATTTATGATGGTGACACCATTCACACCAACATTATTTTGTTTATTCTCTTAATTATTTTCTTCTTTTATTTATTTCTTATAAATGTTCTTTTTATAAAAATTCTAATTCATTTCTTGTTTATGGAGAAATTGATGGGCTTCCTTACCAACCTAAAGACTTCAATAGATTTTTCTCACTATTTGATGGAGAAATCAATCTTTGAGAAGATTCATGTAGGTAATTTGTCCGAACTGACCCATCTGAACTTAATTATAACTTCTTTTTCTTTTTTAATTATCTCTTCTTTCTTTATTTATCTTTTTATTCATCTTCTTTCTTTAAATACTATTCCAATTCTTCTAATTAACTTTTGTATTAAACTTTGATTTTACTATAATTTTCCAATCTTCTTTTAAATATTTCTCCTATTTATTAATAGAAAATATATTTAATAATTTCTTAAGTTTATCTTTCTCTATAAAGAGATGATAATTTCTCTTTAATTAATAGTCCAATACAAATTAATAATTCCTCTTAGGCATCTTCTTTTGTTGAAGCATGTTAATAAAATGGTTGTATTTGAGCCTTATTCAATAAAGTATTCAATAAGATAGCCTAAGAATATGAGATAATTTATACATCATAAGGAATTTAAATTTCACATCTAGAATGATCATATTTTATTAAACAAATAATACTGCATGAACATTTAAATTAAGGAACTTATAATTTAAAATGCTTTAAAGCTGCATAAATATTATCTTTACAAGATGAACAGAATTTTTTAGTTTTTAAATAATTCTAAATCCAATTAATTTGTGATTACTTATAAATGATAATCAAATTCTTTATCTTAGATAATAAAATTTTCATTTTGTTACACAATTTCATTACATATTTAATGAACATGTTCTTAGATGTTTATTTCTGTAATTTACTTCAATGAATGTAATTAACATCTTTTTTTATTATTTTATGATGTTGACTTTTTGAAAATACTTTATATTATATATTTTATTGATTCTCCATAACTTTATAATTTTGCAAGTGTCTTAAATATCTTTTGAGAATTTATTAGATCATCATTTAGTTTGATTTCTTGATCTATGTTAATAAATTAATCTTTCTTATTTTAAGTAATGTAATCTTTTAAAGATGATATACAACCAGAACATTCTAGATTAATTTATTCAAGGAATTCTTATTTTGATATCTATAGGCATTCTTTCATTTCTGTAATTGATAATTTTTGTGATTCCTTGTGTTAATAAGTTTAAATACCATGCCGTATAAATGTTTAAAGAAAATATTTTAAATTAAATTTATGATTGTCACTTCAAATATAGTGAATGACTTGAACACTGCATTCTAACTCATTAATATGGGCACAAATGATAAAATAAGACAAGGAGAACAATTGTTATAACAAATAAGAGGTGATATACAATATCCTAAAGTGTTATTTGATTATTTCTAAGCTTATGAAATTAGTCTAGGTCTTAGAGCGGCAATTGAATTAAAATTATGGTTTAAGGAATATCGTAATTTTGATGACTACTAAGCTTAATATGTTCAAAATGTAGTTTAAACCATAAAATAACACATAATAAGAGCTTACATTGTGTCTGAAGCACCATTGATTCATTAATTAAAAGATGCAATTGTATATGTTGCTTCAAGAGATTTTCCTACTTAATGGCCTACTCTTATGGCAGATTTAAATCAATACCTAACTCATCCAGATTATGTATACAAAACCTTAAAACTCATATACAAATTGACTGAAAAATATGTTTATCAATCAAGAAGTGATCCTTTATATGAAGAAATCATTATAACATGCGACACAATCCATCACAATTTATTATTGTTGGCTAAATCATTGATACAATAAATAGAAGCCCTTTAAAATCTGTAATTATCATATGAAATTCTTAAGACATTATTAAAAGTGTTTTACAATTTAAATTTTTAAGTAATTTAAAATAATAATTGAATTATTTAGGATTTACATCCACATTTTGAAGATAATCTCCAATCATGGATGGAATTTATGAAAGTAGTTCTAAGACTCTAACCAGTTTAAGGAGTAGAATAATTCCTATTCAAATGTAAAGGTGAGGCTCTTAGATGTGTTTTATTATATGCAATGAAGTATCGTGATGATTTTGGTGATCTAATATAAGTATTTTCAAGTGAAATCTGGAATGTTTGTACTTAAACTAGTACTGGTAGAGATAGTGATAAGGTTACTTAAGTTAAATAAATTTTAGATTGTTTTATGTGCTTTAAGATATTTCAAGACATTAATTGCTTGGTAAGACATGAAGACTTTCTTTGAGTAGAACATAAAGATTTTAATAGAAAGTTTAATTATTAGAAATTTATCTTTGTCAAGTAATTCATATTTAATAATACATTTTTAGAGGATGAAATTGGAATGTTTTCAGATGAACCATAAGAATTTATTGAGAAATTTTTTGAATAAAGTGACTTAGAATCTAGAAGAGCATAAGCAGTTGAATTATTCAAGACAGTTACTAAACACTTTAATTAATAAGTTAATGTCATAATTTAAGAATATTTGTATAGATTTATATTTTAAATTGATTAGATAGGCTTACATTTAATCAGGAATGAATGGAATAGATAATGAAATAATTCTTATTAATTTAATTATTGAAGCCAGTACAAGTTCATTTACATCAAAAGATGGAACTATTGATATAATTTTATCATAAGAAAATGTTCTTGGTTTTTATACTCATTGTTTAAAACCTAAATTAGGATAAATATTTGAATTACAATAATAAAATTAATCAGTTGAATAGAAATTTACACCAATTTAATTAGCATTCTATTGTAGATACTTATTTTATTTCAGAAATGTGATTGATAAAGTTGAATTACCAACTTTAGCTACATTAGTTTCAAAATTATAATTAAGCAAAAAGACTACTTTATCAAATATTGCTTGTTATACAGCATATTCATTAATTAATGTAAGATAGGATGTTAAAAATTATGCAAATCATTAGTTATACTTTGAAAATGTTAATATTTCATCATATTTACAATTAATTTTGACTGATTGTTATAATAATATTAAATAATAATAGAAATTAGAAACATACAGTTTAAAACTTACTAATTCATTGATTACTTTATTAAAATAAGAGATATTCAATGCAATTGCTGCATTATGTAATTTACTACAAGATTTACTTAAGAATATCAAATTAGAATATGAATTTTAGAATGTTCATTTAGTTTTTGAGATAATAGCAAGTGTAGTTGATGTTTGTATTATTGCAAAGAATTCTGAAGCTGCCAATTAATTACAATAAAGTATATTGAATCAATTAGATGAATTGCTAAGAGAAAATAAGGGAGATGTAACCAATTTTGTATTATAAATCTATTCACTCTTTTTATAAGTCTAAACTAATGCATCTACTTATTATCAAAATCTATTATAAAACTTCCTTGAAATTTAAAATTGGAATGAGTCTAACTCATCCTTGTTTCAAGCTTATATCATATTCTTTTAATTTGGATTCTAAGGAACAAATTTACCTACTACTTAATTATAGGCAATCCTAAAATCAATAGTATCTCATAGTACATCTTCATATACAGAATTATCTAAATTCCTTATCAAATCTAATTCACAATGGACAAATATTGTTTTGACTATAATTTTTGAATAATATCAAATTTAATAATAAACTTAACCTTAGATATCCTCAAAATCAAAAGCAACTCATTTGAGTTAGAAATTAATAAATAAAGAAGTATTTCTATTATTAGCTCATGTTTTTACATTTTATGGAGTAGAAGTACTAATCAATGAATGCTCTAAGATATCTTCTCAATTATTAGAAAGCTTTTTAATTAATGAATTAGGAATTATTAAATCAATATCTTAAAGAAATGAAAGAAAATTAATATTTACAATGTTGTCTGCTATATTGTTTTCTGGATAGTATAATATTAATTTTATAATATAGATTCTTAACTTAATAATCATGGAATCTTATTTTTTAGGCTATGGTTGAAAACATAACACTTAAAAAAAGAAATCCTTTAAAATTTATGGGAAGAGTAACTGATAGAGAAGTTACATCAAGTTCTGGATTCTAACCATTAAAACCTGTTATTGCTAGAAATGTAATATTATATTATTAAAATAATAGACTTCTGAAAAATTACTAAATGATGAAGATAAATTGTTTAGTGCCTAATTCAAAACTTATTATAGTAATCCAATTGTCTAATAGTAATTACCAATTCAATAATTATTAAATCAATAACAATAAGAATTATTAAGTAATTTAATATAATCTGTTTGAGTATGATATCAATCAATTTATAATTAATATCAAATTTCTAAGTTTATTTAAAAAAAAGTATTAAATTTACTTATTCATATCTTTATCATAATAAATCAAATAGATTATTAGATAACCATAAAAAAAAAATTAACTTCTAAATAATATTTAATCTAAACTTCTTCATAAAAATTATTTATTATAAAGTAATTACATAAATATTATAATTTTATAATGAATATAACTAATATTGATTAAACCATTAAATAAAATGTATAGGAAAATACATATTAATAATTGGATAAAAATGTAGAAGAAAATAATTCTTAAAATTTGGAATCAAATTTTTTAAGTTTATTAGGAAATGATAAAAAGCATGATTCAAATTATCCAGATTTCCTAAATAAAAATAATACATCGTTTGCTAGTATCTAATAAGTCATTGATATGCAAAGACTTTTTGAACTTGAAAAGTAATTTGTAAATATGACATAGAAATGAATTAGAATAAAGGATTAAAGAACAAAGAGTTCATGAAGAACTTAATTTAAGATAAAAATTATAAGAATATGAATAAGATGTAAATAAATTTAATATTCAAAAAAATGAATTCAATAAGAAATTATAAGAAACTCAACAGTTATTTAAATTATCTAATATAATTGATTAAAAAGATAATCAATAAGAAATAATTGTTAAATTAATTGAAGAAAATTATACTTTAACCACTAAAATTAATAATATAATAAATGAATAAAAAATAAAATAAAATGAATTTGAATTAAAAATTGATCAATTATAATAATAATTAGATTAAAATTATATTTAAAAAGAGAATTTAAAGATCTAATATTTAAATTTGAAATAAAATTGTAAGGAAAAGATGAATAACATAAAATAATCAATAATATAATTAATTGAAATTAAATAATCTTTTACTATTCAATTTAATAGAATACATAATTTTAATAATTAAATCTTGGAATAATTATAAGTATTTATAAATTAGAGAAAAGAATTAGAAGAAATGGAAAAACTTAATTAATCTAATCTTAAATTAATTAAATAATTAAAATCTTCTTAAAATTAATTAATTTAAGAAAGATAATAATTTTAAAAACTCTTAAATATAAAATAGGTTGAATTTTAACAACTCTAAATTTAATCTTAAGAATTATAATTATAAAATCAAATATAATTACAATAATTAAAATCAATTAAATATTTTTAGTAATCTCATCTAGATAATTAAAATAATAAATTTATTAACTATTTACAAAATAATTGTGAGGATAAAAGTGAATATGCAGATGAAAATTTTGGTATGAATAATAATGATGGATCTAAAATTGAGAATACAAAGGATTAAGAATTACTCTCAGAAGAACTAGGTAATAATGATTCTATTGATAATAATAATAATAACTAAATATAATAGTAAAATATTTATTTAGAGGGAGAGAGTTAAATAGAAGAAGATAACATAAAGAAGGAAAATTTATTATCTTTAAAATTATCAGATCTTAACACTGATTTATAAGGTTAATCAATATCTTAAAAAATGGAATATATAAAAAAGGACAATCTAGAAGATTAATATAAATAGACAGATGATAATGATAATTATAATGATTAAGATATACCAGATATATAATTTGATGATGATTTAAATGATGTTTTAGTATAAATGAATACAAATTAAGACATTAAACAAGTTATATTGAAAGATGAAACACCTTTAGATAATAATATTATTGATTTTGATTAGGTTGTTTAATAATTGGAGGAAAATAATTAATAATCAGGATGGGACTTTGAAGGCATTTGATTATTTGAAATCTATATTATATTGTATATATAATCTTCATTCAAAAATACAATCCTAATGCTAAAAAACTAAACAGTGTTCCTGAAGATAAAAATAATGAAGCAAACAATCCAACTGATAATTCTTTAGTCAATGATCTTTATTATTTATTCTATGTAATTTGGTATCTAAAGTAATTAATTTATTGTACATGACAAAATATGATAGGAAACAGAATCCGATAAAGGTTAGTACAATTGCTAAATTACTATAATGTTTTGTATCAATTGGAGGTTAATACGCTTAATAGCCCATATTTATTAAAAATAAATATTATTATATTTACAGAAATAATCATGTCTAATTTTTATCAGGAATTAATAAAATCCCCAATTTTTTTATTTTCCAATATTATTATCAAATCCTGAATTTATTTAGTCATGAACTCTCAGTCCTTTTATTTCGAGACAGCATTTACAATTTAAAAAGATCTTACTGAAGAATATAGCGAAGATAAGATTTTAATTAAATCTAACATTAAATAACTATTAAATTAATTAAAGTCTGATTAAGATAAAAAACTTAACATTCTTGGACTCTATGGATACACAGAAACAATTATTAATTATGTGACAACAAGATACAATGCTAATCTTTAATTAGATGTTGAACTATAGAATCATACATTAGCTTGCATTGGAATGATCAATTTGGATAGTTTATTGGTATTTTGTTATATAATACCTGAAAATAAAAAGGTTGATTAAGTTGTGGAATCAATAGAGACTACTTTATTTAGGTATCAATTATAATTTAAATAGAATTTTAATTGATTTATGTTAAAATATTATTATCTTACCAACTGATAAAATCCTTCAGAAATGGATACCTATTAAAGATAGTTAACTTCTAAGGAATAAAATGTAGAATTATTAATCAGAAGAGATTGATTCTAATAGTTGTCGTTGTATTGAAGTTTAGTAAAAATTAGCCATTAAAGAAATCTAAAATTATAATTAATATTATAAGAATTCATTGAATTCTATATTATTTTATAATCTTAAATAGGAAGAGTATACTAAACTAGTTGAATCTTATTATTAAGATTAAGTGAAGAATATTATGTTATTTGGAAGATTAAATGAAGAATTAGAATTTCCTAATCCAATCTTAGAAAAAAATTATGTTTAAAAAATAAACAAAGATATTATTTTTTCTATGACTCATTATTTTTCATATTTTAAAGATAGTGTTGAGAATGGTTTATATGAATAATTACAATTGAAGTTTTCACCTTAAGAGTTCAATTTTTTAAAATTAGCTAAATTCTTTTTAAATCATGCTTTTAGAAAATTAAATTCATTTAAAGATAATACTGAAGTGTTAAAAGGACCAGAATTAATAAAAGAAGTCAAAACATCTAATTTTATATTGAAATCAAAGGAATTATTATCAAAATTGATAAGAATTGTGATTAAGTATATTAATAGAGAATTTTCAAAAATGTAGGATTTTGTGAATAGAAAGATTAAATCAATAATGGAGAAAATTGAGATAGAAAATGGAGTTGGTTAAGAATTTATTGTAGAAATGAAACTTTAGAGATTTAAGATTTTTAGAAATATGGATAATACATTTAAGAAAATAGAATTTTTAAATAAAGATTTAAATATTTCAAAGGAAAAGGAAACAAAATTCTAATAATAAAATTATCATAATTATTAATTAGTTGATTTCTTTCCATTATATAATATTAATGAAGGAAAGTAAAGTGATTATTTATTAATAATGAAATGTATAATGGTAGAATCAAAGAAAAATTGTTATCATGTATATCTATTATAAGAAAACAGGAAACCTGTATTGATTGTAATTTATACTGATTTAAATAATCCTTATTTTTATTATGCCTTAGAGTAATAAACTTTATATTAATTTAATTTACCTAAAAGAATAGTGATATCAACATTAAATAAAGATAAAGAATGTATAGATACAGAAAGAATAATAGAATTGGAAGAGACAATCTATATAATTTAATATAGTTATTCTGAGGAATATGAATGTTTTTTATTATTATCAGATGATAAGAAAGTATATAAATGGTCATCAAATGATTAAGAGTTTAATTAATAATTATAAAGTTATTAAGATGAAGAAGGATTTGTATATGAAAAAGAATTTGATTCTGATTATTATAATTTAATAGTATGTGGATCAGGCAAGTTTTATTTATTATTTAAAATTTAATCAGTAGATATATATGATTTTAACAATACAAAAATATCATCAATATAATTTAGATCAATATATTAAATAGATTAAATATATATATTTAGTGATTAATATGATAGTTTTATATTTTTGGCTAAAAATTAAGTTGAATAAGAATTATATTAATTAGAAAACTTTAATAAAAAGAGTAGATTAACAGGTAATTAAAATTATCAAATATAATCATCAAATTATATTTTGGATTTGATAAAATCATCTTTTGTAGTATATGGCAAAAATTCAAGTATATTAGATGTTGTATAAAATTAAAGTAACTTTTATTGTTCATAAAAATGTGGAGATATAATTCAAGATTGTTTTTATAAAATTTAATTATAGAAATATTCAACATTATATATATAAGAAGTGTTTGAAATACAAAGTGTGAATTCAAAAGCATTATTTAATGTATTATCATCAAGAGTTCCAATATAATTATGTACATTTGAATGTAAGAGATTAATTGTATTAAGTGATGGATTGAATAAATTAAATTAAAGTTTTGATTGTATTTAAATAGATAAATAATTGAAATAGATATCTTTTGGAATGATAGAAGAATTGTTAATTGATTATAATAAACCTATATATGTAGTGAGTATATTAGGTAAATAATCAGGTGGTAAGAGTTATTTACTTAATTAAATATTTGGTATTAGATTTGGAGTATCATCAGCAAGATGTACAGATGGAATTTGGTGTAGTTAAATATAATTATAAGGACATTAATTTATAATTTTAGATTGTGAAGGATTATTTGGATAAAGGAGAAATAATATAGAAGAAATTACTTTATTATCATTTTTAACAGCAATTAGTGATTTGACAATATTTAATTAATGTTCTTCTTATGATAGACATTTGAATGAATTATTTGATAATTTAATTGAAGCTAATACTAGATTGAAAGGTAATTAATTATTCAAAAGTAAATTAATGATATTAGTAAGAGACATTTATTAAGCTAGTTCATAGAATGCTTAATTAGAATTAGATGGATAAATGGATTCAATTATAAATTCATCTAATAATGAATTACTTAAATAATTATTGAAAAATGGTGTAAGTGCTTAATTAATGAGTTATTTTGAATTAGAATAATTTGATAGAGATGTAAATTAGATTAGAGAATAAATTTTAGAGAATGCAAAAAATAATATGAGATGGTAAGATGCTTAATCATTATTTACATCAATGAAGATTACATTATTATAATTATCAGTAAAAGATACAAGAAATGTTTAAGATTATGAATTAAATTATTAAATACATAAATTGAAAGAATAATCAAATATTTATTGGTTAGAATTACCTTAATGGATAATAAAGAAAGAAGATCCTAATAATATATCATAATAGATAATATTAACATAAATAATTGAAGATAATTTTAGTTTATTATTATAATAAGCATTAAATATATTAAGAATAAATTTTGAATAAGAATCTTGTTTTATGTAAAAGTTTACAAAAGTAGATAAATTGATTTAATAATTTACAAATAAAAGAATTAATTATATAATAAATATTATATAAAAGGAAATAGAATAAAAATTAGTATAAATTTATGATTTAGATAGAGATATGAAATAGAATATTTTATTAGATTGTGAAAATGAATTAAAATAACATTTACATAATTATAAATTATGTGGTTAAACTTGTAGTAAATGTTATGCATTATGTACATAATATAATGGACATTTAAGTAAAAATGGAACTAAAATTGAAAAAGTAAGAGCAATTATTTAAAAAAAGAAATCTAAAATTTAAATGATTTAAAAATAATTAGATTTAGAAGATGGAGCAGATTTAGAATAATTTTAAATATAAGAAAAATTAAATTTATAAGAATTATAAGTAAATCTATCAAAAATAAAAGGAGATCGTACTATGGTATAAAGAGTAACAGCTTTAAAAGATATATAATAAAAGATATATATTGTAGAAGGAAGAATAAAGAAATTAAATAATATGATAGAATTATAAGAAAGTTTGAATAAAGAATAAGAATAAATATAATAATTTAATAAATAACATATTTGTTGGAGTGATACTCATTTATGTGAATAAGAAAATTGTGAATTATTATAATCACATTTTGGTGATCATTTTACAAAAAGTTTAAATAATGATTAATGTGATAAAGAATGTTTATTATGTTAAAATTAATGTATATTAAATAATGGACATTAAAATAATTCATTACATTATTGTTAAAGTAAACATGTATGTTAAGAAACATGTTAATATTGTGCTGAATAATGTACATAAGATCCATTTATTGAACATAAACATATATGTAATTTAAGATATTGTAATAAATCATGTTCTTTGGGTTGTTAAAGATAATGTTCAGAATAACATTCACATGAATTAGAAAATGAACATTTTTGTAATTGTCATCATTAATGTGATAAATTATGTAATTTACCAGGAATATGTACAGTAGATGGATATGTTAAGAGAATAAAGATGTGGAAATCAAATGCAGGTTCATTATATGGATAAACTACATATGAATAAGTAAGAAGAAAAGAAAAATGTTTTAAATTAATTCCAATTGGAGAAAATAGTCATGATTTAGGACATGCTTGTTCAAATAGAAAACATTTATGTGATTAATAATGTCCTGGATGTAAAGCTTATTGTTATTTAGAATCTGGTCATACAAATCTTCATCATACTATATATCATAATGTTATTGAACCTTAATAATCATGTTTTAAATTAGATGATAAAGATAATGATATCTAATATTGTAGACCAGAAACATGTGATGAATATTGTATTAGATTAGGTAGAGGACATAGTCATATAATAGAATGTGTTGATGAATTTCTTTGTTATCAATAACAACTAAATAAGAGTTCTAAATATTATAAAGCAGTCCATATTTCAAATAATCTAGATAATGTACTCTGTAAATAATTTTGGGAAGTTCTTGGTTGGGAATAACCAGTTAGAGGTAATAAAAGAATTGAAATTTCAAAATGCAATGCAAAATGTTAAACATGTAATAAATTTTGTAATTATATGGCATGGCATGATAAAGGTATTAATTCTATGAATCATAAATTTGAATGCTATAATACTCATTAAATTAAATCAATTAATATTGTTTTCATAATTGATTAAACAGATGAATAGAATATCTAAATTGCACTCAAATTATTATCAATATGTAATAATAACAAAGTATAATTTAAATCAGCTAAAACTAAATTTGCAATCATATTATATCATGATCATCATCCTCATAAAGAAATCTCTTCTCCAACATTTATTTTAAGTGATTTTACAGATTCTGATACATTACTATCAAAACTTAAAGATGTCAAACCAAAAAAAATAACAGCCATATCAGATTATCCTAATGCTGTTTTAGATGGATTACATGAATAATAATAATTGTCTTGGTCAACTAAAAATTCATAAAAAATTGTTATTCTATTAACATAAGCTCCTCCTCATGGACATTCAAAATATCATAGTTTTGATGATAATTATCCCAAAGGTTGTCCTTGTAAATTAAAAGAAATGGAAATACTTAAAAATTATAGAATGAAATAAATTCATTTAATTATTCCTGAACTTAGTAGTCATCTAAATTTAATGATTAAAATATTTTAGAACTATTTACCTAGTTTACATTCCATTAATCCAAATAAAAATATGGCAGAAACTATTATCAAATATTTATTCAAATATCTTCAAATACCTTATTCAAATAAAGTCTGATTAGATGCCATCATCATAATATTATATTTTATTTTATATGTTCTGCTTATAAGCAATTTATTTAATTAATATATCATTAATAATAATAATATTATTTCATAAATATTTCTTATCATCAACCTCTAAACCTTTCTCATTTTATAATCTAAATACTTCTTTAACACTTGCTATATTATCTAATCCAATTAAATTTTATCTTTCAAATATTTATTTGCTAGTATCTTACATTGCTTTAATACTTGCTCTTAAATTATGATTAGCCCAAATTGCTAAACTTACATCTATAAATTTATATCATATATCTATACTATTTTTTCTAAATTCTTCTGTTGGAGTCTTGTAATAATTTGTAGGAACTAATACTACTGGTAATCTATTATTCCAAGCTTTTAAAAATTATTCAATTTCTGTAAAATCACTTTTTTTACTATGAATTAAAACAGCATCTACTCCAGCTTTTCTATATGCTTCACATCTCTCTAATGCATTCTCTAATCCCCATCCAGCTATAAATGATTCACATCTAGCTACTATTTAAAAGTCTTTATCTCTTTAATAATCTTTACATGCCTATAATTAATAGTATTTATAACCTTGATCTTATTTGAAAATTCTTAAATATTTGCTAATTCTTAAGCCCCATCACCTAAAGAATTTCTTTTAGGGAAGATCTTATCTTCAAAACAAACTCCTGCAATTCCTCTTTCTTCTAATTTCCTAACTAATCTTCTTGCATTATTGTAATTTCCAAATCCTGTATCACCATCCATTAATATTGGAATAGTAGTTCTTTCTGCCATAAATTCTAATACTTCCAACAATTAAGTCCATGATGCTTCATTACAATCTCTAACTCCTAATTAAGCAGACATTGATAATCCTGAAGCCCAAATGCCTTTGAAACCTGCTTCTTAAACAATAAGAGCTGAAAGTCCATTATGAGCTTCCATTATAAACTCTAATTCTTTTGATTATATCAAATTCTTTAATTTGGTTGTTCTTTTGGAAAACAATAATGAGGGCCTTAGAAGAAATTTGAACATAGAATTAAAATTAAATTTGATATAAATTTCATTTTATTTTCTTCTATTTAATTAATTTCTTAGATTAGATCTTTATTTAATTAACCACACAATCATAATTATTCTATGGTTTGAATTGCTAATATATTCCTATCTAATCAATATCAAAATTATCTTTCACATCATATCTAAATAATACATTATCAAGATCACTATAATGTTGATTCTACCTAGAAGACAAAGCTGAATATGATCTTGAATTAGATCCAGAAATAGATTTTTTCTTTTGAATATCTGGACTTATTGTACTTGTAATAGTATTAGTCTATTTCTAAGTCATCCTTCTAGGACCAGTATAAGTATTATTTTATCCATCTCTTCTTTATATGTCATCTATACTTGAAATACCAACTGAACTTATTGATATAGCTGATGCATAAGGTACATTCATTTATGGAATATTTAATTATGAATCTCTTTCTTCTGAAACAACAGGTAATTAAGTAGGTCCACTAGGAATATAATTAGTAGATGATCTAAATTATGGTCTTATCATAGCTTAATATTCTGGTTAAGGTTGAGGTAGAGTTTATTTATTATTTTATTCATGATAGAAAGGATCATAAGAGAATGTTAATTTTGGTTAAGCATTTCTATTATTTGCTATTAAAAATTGATTTGTTCCTAAAGGACTTTATACATATGTTTTTGATTAATATGGTACTTGTTATTATGCTTATTGTTATTATTATTAATTTTATTATTGTTATTTAACTTATTAACTCTTTTAACTTTAATATGTTTATCCACTTGATGATTTGAAAGTATTACTATTCTAAGTAAATTATTTATGTTATAATGGAATATTTATTGCATCTCCAAAATATAAGTCTTCATTTTAAAATCCTGCTGTTTATAAAGTTTATTTAATTGCTTAATGTCGATTTATTTCTTATTACTATTAATAATATTATAACTATTCTTCATTATCTATATGATCATGATAAATGATATCTCTCAAAGTTTGACCTGACACAACTTCAACACTCTTCTTAAATTAGTACATATTATTACTCTTGATGGATTTGTCAGGTCTTTATAAGAAAGATGTCCTTAATAAACTTCTTCATCGTCTTCTTCTTCATATTCTTGTTCTCCTCTTTCATAAGCCTCTGGATCTACAAAATTAATCCCATAATTTCTTTTTAATCTTCTTCCACAACTTCTAACCAATTTAAAATTATATAATGAATTAACTCTTTGATCCCATTTTCTATCATACTTTTATCTCTTCTATGGTTTTGAATATAAATGTCTACTAATAACTAGATTTCTATTGAGATTTATATGAACTCTATTGCATAATGAACTTAAATGTTAATATGATCCACAGACATAACATTATTGTAATAGTAATTCAATTCTATTCATATATAATACTTCATTTTTTATTGAATGAAAAATCTCTAAATCATTATTGATTTTTTTAATAGTTTATAAAAATTTAGAATGATTTATTTATATTAAAATTGAATTTCCTTTACTTCTCATAGTTAAATTATGTCCTTAATTCATTATTAGATTTTCAATTCCAAAAGCTTAATTTTTTGGAAGACTTTAAAGATAAATATTATTATCATATATTCCTATTTCACCTTATAAGACAACATAAATATATTCATCATGTTGTCCTTTTTCTACAATAATTTCATTAGGTTTGCAAAATTTTAATACAGATTCAAATGTTATTTCATCAATTGATTATTTTGAGAAATATTATGTAAAGAATTCAATTTCTTAAAGTTTCTTATTTTTAATTAAAAAGAATAATGGCTTTTATATATTGATAGGTAATTATTACATTAAATTGTTAACCTAATTTATTTGATTAATATATATTACTGTTTATAATTCATCAGAATGAATATTGGAATTCAATATATGTTGAGCTTCATCAATAAGATTTTAATCAACTTTGTTTACTTTTAAGAAATCAATAAATAATTCTTATCTAATTTAATATAAATACAAAGATATATACTGATTTGTTGAAAATGAAAATTTCACCAAAATTGATATAAATAATATCTAAAAATAGAATGATAATATTTAAAAAACTACACTTATAATCTTATTTCTATAACTTATTATTTGGGTATCAACTTCATTAAATGGTAACTTTCTATTTATAGTGAATATTATACACAATTATTTATTGTCCAAATAATAGAATCTAAATATGTTAATTCATTATCATTTATTAATAACCAAAAATTAGCGAAATAATTAATATATATTAACAATATAATTGCAATAGTACTTTTACTCCATTAAAATTAATATTTTACTCCAGTTAAAGATAATATCATTAAAACTATTTTACCTTCTTAATTAAGATCAAAATTTAATAAAAGTGTACTTGCTATGTAAATGAAATTACAAACAACATTTAATTTAACCAATTTTATTTTTAGTAACTAATCAATAAATTCAATCACCAAAAATAAAATTATTAAACCTTATATCCATTAATCAATAAATAGACTTCCAGCTTATATTGGTACAGTTAAAAGTGATAATAATCTAATATAATGAAATGATTATCTCATATATGATATATACTATGATTATAATCTAACTTCATCTTAAAGATAAGATTCTTTAAGATAACAATACTTATTGTTAATTTAATCCCAAATATTAGCATTTCTTTTTAATTTAGTAAGAAATGTTCTAAGTATTTATTGTAAATCAGTTTATTTAGGTAATCCACTTAATTCTTTCCACTTCAGTTGATAATATTATTTTGTAGTAGCAGTGTATTGATGAACACTAATATTATGATCACTCTAATCTCTTTATCTATGATTAATATTAGAAAACTAAGAAAGCCTTGATTTTTTGCTATAAATAGTTGGGTCTTTCATTTCTCCACTATCACTTAGTCTTTTTCTTGATAAATCTGAAAATTCAATTCTGAAATTTCTTAATCCATCGTCATTCATAACTGGTGATGTATGACTATGACTCTAGCTTTGACTCTAGTCACCTAAATTAGTTCGAGATTTTCTTAATAATCTCTAAGACATTTATATTATATATAAAATATAAGATTATTTTAACTGCTTTTGACATATAATACTTTAAAAATAAATAAAATTTTTCAAGTTTTGCTTATATAATGATTTCTTTATTCTTCTAAATCTGCTATGTCATTTATTTATTATAATATAAAACTGCTGTCAACTCTAGGATGTCTTATTTACATATAATTTAATAATTTATCTGTTTTCTATTTAATTATAATAAAAACAATACATTAAATTTAATCTAAGATCGTAAAAACATATATTCAGTCTCTCCAATTTATTGATCACAAACTTATTTTTTATTTTCCAAAAGACTTTAGAATACAGGATCTAATTGTTTTTAATAAGGAATGGAAAATTTAGGTAATTCAATATTAGGATTTAATTATATTTTCTTATGAAAACTAATAGGTTTAACAACACCTTAGATATATCTATTTGTATATGTTTTTGATAACAATTATTATTGTAAATATAAATCTTCCTTTCTTTTAATTTCAGTTTTTATTTTATCTGATTCTAGAATCCTATCAGTTGATGATTTCTTTATACTTTAATTTTATTAAAATATTTCAGGTAATTTAGTATTTTTGAAATTCTTCTTAATTACTACATCTTTTTGAATCTAAATTGGAGAATGCAAATCAAATTCATTAAATGAATATTAAATTGGATTTGAAATTGCAGTTTCTGAACTATTAATCCAATGCATAAGATGTCTTCTTTAATCTAATGAAAATTCATAATATGGTCTTGCTAAAGCATCTCTTACTTCTTTCATTCTTAATATTTATAAAATATTTGGTCTTTAATTTTCTCTTATTGTCAAACAAACATTTATAAGTTTTATTAATCCTTATGAATAAACATCAGGTATATTTATTTATATTCTACCTCTTCTTAATTGTTCTTTAACTTAATTTTCTAGAGTAGTCGATGGGAATAGTAAATTTTATGATACCATAAAATAAAGAATATGACCAATTTACCATATATGTGACTTTTGAGTATAATGACCTTCAAAAAAGTATTCATATGGTAAATAAATAGCTGCACAAGGTAATTAACAAAGAGTTTATCTTGAAGATTTATGGAAATCTGTAATTCTAATTTAATAACCTTCTGTTCTGACTAATAATAGAATATTCTCAGGAATTAATACTCTGTGTTGTATACCAAGTTCATTTAATTACAAAAGAGCATATGCCATTTATAAAAATAGAGACCAAATTATGCTTTCTTGCATTTTGTAACCGATATGTTATAATGTAAATGTTTTAAGATCCCCTTAATCACAATATTCTTATATAATAACTAATTGTTGTTCTTCATTTTCAAGATATTCAATTACTTATAATACAAATTAATTTTTAATTTCAGCTAACATTTTAATTGCATTCAATCCTCACAATCATTATAAACTATACCTTCATTTTTATTTTATAGATAAGTTTTTTATATATATGTCTGGTTATCTTGCAATGATCTTACTTTCTAAATTCTCACTCTTTGACTTGAATATATTTCTTATAGTATTTCATATTTTAGTTGCATAATTATAATATATATATATATTTATATCAATAATTTTTATATTTTCTTATTTCAAAGAGTATAATACTTATATTACATGAAATAAAATTATAGTAATATTTAATATTTGTTATTCAATCTAATTGAATTTCCAAACAAATTAAAAATATTAAATTATATATTTATTAAAAGATAATATAATACAATTTAAAGCACTTAAATAAATAAAGGTTAGTAGAGTCTTATTAATGATCTTTGTTTAACATTTTTGATATTTCTTGCTATGTTTATTTCTTTTGATTAACAATATCTATATAAAATATAAAGGATTGCAGTGAAAAATGATTACTCATAAATAAGTAGATTAAATTTACAGGCACTTTTGTAAATATATATAAGAAATTATTGGTAAATCTTTCAATATTATTCATATTATTATATAACAAATTTATATTTAATAATATGCAAAATATTAAAAAGGTAATTAGCTTAGCTAATCTTAGAGTAAATATAGATTGAAAGATGTTATTGAAGGTAAGACAAGCAATGATGAAAAATCTGCTTAAAAATTTGTTTAATTTTCCCATATTAAAAAAAATGTTTCAGAATTTAACGAATTGAAATCAACTCTTCAAGATCGTAAAGTCACCTTTGCTAAATTTGCATTTCGATAATAAGAATTAATTGATGATAAGAAACTTGGTCCTGTATTAAAAGGAATATGTACAAGAACAAGAATAGGATCTATGTAAATTACAGAATTAATACCAAAATTTGATCTTTATAAATATCTCAAATAAGCACAGTAATAATATTAACTTAAAAAAGTTTAGAACCTTCCAAAAGAGTTCTAAGAAGATATGCTCATTGGGAATGGGATTAAGAACAAGAAGAAAAGAAAGAAGTACCTCCTTCTTATAAATTTACATCAAAAACTGAGTTTGAGTATAAAAAGAAATTAGAAATGAAGGATGCTGAGAAAAGATTAAGAAAAGATATTATTAAGAAATGGGCTTCAAGTCTACCAGATGTTGCTGGATTGACAGCATTTGGTAAATAATTTACTATGTAATCATCTCCATTAAGGAGTACAAAGAGTACATTTTCTAAAACTCATAATAATTTCAGTCCAAATCCAAGGAGTGAATCACTTTTATTTGTTTCAAGTTTAATTCATGAATTAGATGAAATTAAATAAGATAACTTAAATATAAGAAAGTATATTTTAAATTTAATTATAGAAAATTAAGAGGAACACAATAAAACTTATAAAAAATTATTGAAAAATAATAATAATAAAAAGTAGCTAATATGGAAATTAATGGAGAATGATTGTTTATATATATGATTATATTATTAATCAACATATTGTTGAAATAATTATTTTAGATCTACAATAATTATAATTCTTTATTATCAAAACAAAAAATATAATAAAATATTTATTTTATTAAATAATGTTTGTGGATAAGAATTTAGCTTCTACCAAATCAAAGCAATAGAAAATTGATATTAGTGATTTAGGTAACTTAAAGATATAATTTAAGAATAAGTACAAAAAAAAAAAGTGAAGTAAAATGCAAACATAAACCCATATACAGGAAATTAATATTCAGATGATTATTATAAAATTTTAGAAGTTAGAAAATAATTACCTGCATGGGATGGTAAATTTTAATTTGATATATAATAGCAAAGGAATAATTGTTTATGTTATTAGAATAATATTAAGTAATTGTTTTGTAAGGAGAAACTGGAAGTGGTAAAACAACATAAATACCACAATTTTTACTTGAAAAATATTGTAAAGGCAGAGGAATTGCATGTACATAACCTAGAAGAGTTGCAGCAATGAGTGTAGCAAAAAGAGTAGCTGAGGAGATGGATGTTGCACTTGGTGAAGAAGTTGGTTATTCAATTAGATTTGAAGAGAAAACTTCAAATAAAACCATTTTAAAATATATGACAGATGGTATGCTTCTAAGAGAGTATAATTAAATCATTTATTTATTAATTAGAGCTATGCATGATCCAAAATTAGAAAGATATTCAGTTGTTATTTTAGATGAAGCACACGAAAGAACTCTTAATACAGATATATTATTTGGACTTTTGAAAGAAATCATGTTAAAAAGACCTGATGATCTAAAAGTTGTAATTATGTCTGCAACTATGGATGCAGAAAAGTTTTAAAAGTATTTTCATAATGCTCCACTTTTGGATATTCCAGGAAGAGTATATCCTGTAGAAATATTCTATACTTAAAAACCTGAAAAAAGCTATCTTGATGCAGCAATAAGTACTACAATTAATATTCATGCATACGAAGATCCAGGAGATATTTTAGTATTTTTAACAGGAGAAGAAGTATATAATCTAATTCTATTAATTTCTATAGGAAATTGAAGAAGCATGTAAAAAGATTACTTCAGAAATATAGAAATTGGGAGATGATGTTGGACCAGTTAGATGTGTACCTCTATATAGTACATTACCACCAAATTAGTAATAAAAGATATTTGAACCTGCTCCATAACCAAATAAAAAAGGAATTCAAGGTAGAAAGATTGTTGTTGCAACTAATATTGCTGAAACATCTATTACTATAGATGGAATATGTTATGTTGTAGATCCTGGATTTTCTAAATAAAAAGTTTATAATCCAAGATTAAGAGTAGAATCATTACTAGCTTCTCCTATTTCAAAGGCTTCTGCTTAATAAAGAGCAGGTAGAGCTGGTAGAACAAGACCTGGAAAATGTTATAGATTATATACTGAATAATCATTTAATACAGAATTAATTGATAATACTTATCCAGAAATATTAAGAAGTAATTTATCATCAGTTGTTTTGTAATTAAAGAGATTAGGAATAGATGATTTAGTTCATTTTGATTTTATGGATCCACCTGCTCCAGAAACATTAATGAGAGCTTTAGAATAATTATATTATTTAAATGCATTAGATGAAGAAGGAAATTTAACTAAATTTGGATAATAGATGTCAGAATTTCCACTTGATCCATAATTATCAAAAGTACTTCTAAGTAGTAAAGATTTCTATGTTACTGATGAAATATTAACTATTGTTGCTTTGTTATCTGTATAATAAGTATTCTAAAGACCAAAAGATTAATAATAATAAGCTGATGATGCTAGATATTAATTTGTACATTAAGATGGAGATCATATAACATTTTTAAATGTTTTTAAAGCATTTAAAGAACATAATGAAAGTTCTGATTGGTGTTATTAAAATTTCATTAATTATAGAAGTTTAAAATCAGCAGATAAAATCAAAACTTAATTAAGATAAATTATGTAAAAATAATAAGTTCCATTAACTAAAACTGATCCATCAAATGCATTATATTATACTTATATAAAAAAAGCTTTAATTGCTGGTATGTTTATGTAAACAGCTCATCTAACTAAAAATGGAGCTTATATGACAGTCAAAGATAGTTAAATAGTTGCAATACATCCATGTTCNATATTCATGCATACGAAGATCCAGGAGATATTTTAGTATTTTTAACAGGAGAAGAAGTATATAATCTAATTCTATTAATTTCTATAGGAAATTGAAGAAGCATGTAAAAAGATTACTTCAGAAATATAGAAATTGGGAGATGATGTTGGACCAGTTAGATGTGTACCTCTATATAGTACATTACCACCAAATTAGTAATAAAAGATATTTGAACCTGCTCCATAACCAAATAAAAAAGGAATTCAAGGTAGAAAGATTGTTGTTGCAACTAATATTGCTGAAACATCTATTACTATAGATGGAATATGTTATGTTGTAGATCCTGGATTTTCTAAATAAAAAGTTTATAATCCAAGATTAAGAGTAGAATCATTACTAGCTTCTCCTATTTCAAAGGCTTCTGCTTAATAAAGAGCAGGTAGAGCTGGTAGAACAAGACCTGGAAAATGTTATAGATTATATACTGAATAATCATTTAATACAGAATTAATTGATAATACTTATCCAGAAATATTAAGAAGTAATTTATCATCAGTTGTTTTGTAATTAAAGAGATTAGGAATAGATGATTTAGTTCATTTTGATTTTATGGATCCACCTGCTCCAGAAACATTAATGAGAGCTTTAGAATAATTATATTATTTAAATGCATTAGATGAAGAAGGAAATTTAACTAAATTTGGATAATAGATGTCAGAATTTCCACTTGATCCATAATTATCAAAAGTACTTCTAAGTAGTAAAGATTTCTATGTTACTGATGAAATATTAACTATTGTTGCTTTGTTATCTGTATAATAAGTATTCTAAAGACCAAAAGATTAATAATAATAAGCTGATGATGCTAGATATTAATTTGTACATTAAGATGGAGATCATATAACATTTTTAAATGTTTTTAAAGCATTTAAAGAACATAATGAAAGTTCTGATTGGTGTTATTAAAATTTCATTAATTATAGAAGTTTAAAATCAGCAGATAAAATCAAAACTTAATTAAGATAAATTATGTAAAAATAATAAGTTCCATTAACTAAAACTGATCCATCAAATGCATTATATTATACTTATATAAAAAAAGCTTTAATTGCTGGTATGTTTATGTAAACAGCTCATCTAACTAAAAATGGAGCTTATATGACAGTCAAAGATAGTTAAATAGTTGCCATACATCCATGTTCAGTCTTAAATCATAAACCAGAATGGATATTATATCAAGAATTTGTGTTAACTTCAAAAAATTATTTAAGAACAGTAACTGATATAGAAGGAAAATGGCTTTATGAAATGTGTCCAGAATATTTTAATCCAAAAACTATAAAAAATATTGAAACTAGAAAGGAATTTGAAAAAATAGAAAGATAAGTAATTATATTAGAATATATTTTAGGTCTTAGAAGAATAAAGAAAAAAACCTGATCTTTTAACAGTTGAATAAATACAAAGATTACATAAAGATGTAAAATCAGAAAGAACCCAATCAGTTTCTTCTTCAAAAACCATTCAAAAGTGATCAAATTTTCATATATTGTATCTAATAATTATATTCATATGTAATTAATGATTATTTTATAATTAATATCATTTAAATTTCATAATCTTCTTAATGTTCCATTCTTCATTACATAATTAACAAAATTAGCATATGTATAAGCTTTTATAGGATTCTAGCTATTAGCTCCAGGAGCATGGTAAACATAAACTTCTTATCCAACTCTAATTATAACTCCAACATGAGATCCATTGGTAATCACATCAGCAGAATTAACATCATTAACAACTTGACCTTACTTATGCCAACCTGCAGCACCTCCATGATTCTGAGATTTATCACCATAGATAACATAAGCTGCAAATTAACAACAATGCCATCCTTTCTAATTCACTAATGAATCTGCTCTTTATTTACGACCCTACATTACTCTAATTAAAATTTAAGGTTTTATATAAGAAAATTCCTATTAATATTATCATAATTCTATTATAATAATATTATTATAGTATTTCTATTATAATTATATAATTATATATATATTATTATAATAATATTATTATTGTAATTCTATTTCAATTATATTATACAAATAATATAATATAATTTGATAATAATAAAGAATATTTTAATTTTAATTAATCAATTTAATTTTAATTCATAAATCATATATTTATTGTTTTAATTACTTTTGATTACTAAATACTTTGCATCATTTGTTAATGTTCCAAATATAACATTTGTTTAAAAATTTAATTAATAAGAAATCTTAAGTTATCCATTAAATCCTTTTTAAATTATATAAATATAGGTTTTATGCCTAACAATCATAATATTTTCTTATTCTTAATAAATAATAGGAAATGAAAATACGTCAATATTAGATTCATCTTTTATTAATTATAATTTTGCATTTATAATTTCTTCAAAAACTCCTTCTTTTGATTCAAAAGTGAAGATACAATCTTAGCTTTTTTAACCTCCACTAACCCAAATAAATTAATCATCATTAATAAAATGAACTTTACATCCGAAATCATTGATTGATTACTTAACAATATATTAAAATTCCCAATAATTATTTAATCCTAATCTCCAAACTATTATTGAATTATCTTTCGAACATGATATAAATTAATTTTCAGATTTATTTAAACTTATATCATAAACTGTACTATTGTGTTTATCTAAAGATTAAATAAGTTTCAATTGATTTTCATCATTATTAAAATCAAGATTCCAAATATTTATTTAACCATGAAAACTACCTGAAATAAGTTGAGTTTCATTATTATTTAATTTTATAGTATAAACATAACTATTACATTCAAACTCTTATTAATTTACCCATTCTTTTTAATTAATTTATTTCCAACATCTTATAGAATTATCATTTGATCCAGAAATAAAATTATTTGTCAATTTACTAAAAACTAAACAATTAACATCTTCTGAATGTCCAGCAACACTTTAAATTAATTCCATTTTACCATATTTGAAATTCCATATTAAAATTAAATTTTCTGAGTTTGTAATTAAAATTGAATTATCTTTATTAAATGCTAAAGCATAACAAAAATCTTTTTATGAATTTGTATCATCAATCAAGTTCAAATTTATAGATTATTCATAATTATTATTGTTATCTAAGATCTGTTATTAATTCATTAATAATTAATAATTTCAATAAAATAAAATATTTAAAGAACTTTTTAGAGATCATTTCATTTTTCATTATTTATTTATTTTTTTAAATCATCTTATAATAATTATTGATAAATTTAAAAACAAAACATAATTCAAAAACATCTAATATTCAAATTTATGATGGTTCAAATTTCATTTAAAAGTGATATTAATAATAAACTATTATTTTATTGCCAAATCACTATATATTTACCATCATCTGTTGCTCTAAAGATAAAATTTGAATCAATTAAAGTAAACAATTTAATAAATTCATAGTTATTTTAACTCTTAATCAATAATATATTGATACAATTATCTTTTCTATATATTAAAAATTGTCTTTATTTTATTATTTACAATTAAAATCTATGAGAAATTTAAAGTGGATTGCATTTATCTAATATAAGTGGGTTGAAAGGTTGAAAATATAAAGTTTCTTAATTTTGATGATAGAATTTGAAATTATCTCCTTTATACAATTATAAAATGAATATAGAATCCTTAATAAAACATGCTTACAAGGCTTGACTTTCCTTACAATAAATTATTTAAAAGACTGACCAAAAATTTGTAAATTTATTCCTTTAACAAATAAATATGCTATTTTCTAATTCTGATAAACAAATTAAATAATTTTCAGAATCATCAAGACTTAAACTTATTATAACTCCATAATGAGAAATTTGATATTTTTAATGAAAATTCCATTAATTGTTATTTTTTCTCCAAAATCTAATAGCTCTATCGTTGCTACCACATATTAATAAATTTTCATCTTTATTCAATATTAAACAATTTGGTTTAGGTCCTTCAATTTAAAATAAATAACATCCTCTATTTATACCTATTTCTGAATATATTTATATTTTATTATTCACAAATATTATTTGATTAGATTTCTTTAAAAATAATAAGCAGTAAGTTTTTGAAGTAGAACTATTTATTTCTTTAATAAGTTTTATGGCACCATATTTAAATTAATATATTTAAATCTTTCCATCTGATTTTCCTATAACTAGAATTGATGATCTATAATTAAATCCAAGAATTTTAATATTGATATTTTCTGTTAATGGTAATTTAATTTGACTATGATGATCTAAACAATAATTTATTTGTTGTTAATTATTTTCTATCATGTAGATTCTAAGCAATAATAGTTTAATAAAATATAAGAAAATATATCATAAATGAGTATTATTATAAAGCTATATGTGATAACATTATTTTTATATAATATTTTATATAATCTGAATATAGTAATCATAATATAATCAATATATAATTAAATAAATTTCTAGGAAGAAAGAATATAATTAAGTATTTGGAAGAATGGGATTCATATTTTAATATAAATGAATCTATATTATAAATAATAGATTTTTGAGAATCTCTCATTTTTACTTTCAAAAAAGTAAGATTTTTACATCATAATAACAAAATTATTATACAAAATATATATAAATATTATTATCAATTTATGGATGAAGAAAATAAATAAATATATCAAAATATTAAACAAGAACAAAATTCTTCTCTGGGTAATTGTTCCTCTTTCTTCTTTGGCAATGATTCCAATTATATTTTAGCTATTTCTTTGAAGACATCATCAATGTTTTCTCCAGTTTTGGCTGAACATGAGAAAAAATGGCAATCTTTGAATGATTCTTTAACCTTAAGCTAAGATATTATCTACTTATAATTTATAATCTTCAATCTACTCATCATTTTCTCTTAGATCTATTTTATTTGCAATAATTATTTTTTTAATATTCTTAAGTTAACAAGTCTCTTGATTCCACTAATTATTATTATAATATATATTACATGTTATAAAACATTATGAAAACTTGCAATCTAATTTATATCAAAAACAATTATAATAAAATCCTTGTTAATGTAAGAGTTTTTTCTAATTGAATAATAATGTTCTTAACAACATATATCTGTGAAATTAAAATTGATTGATATATTATTAATATCTATTTTTTTTTTTACAGAACTCCAAATAGTTGTTTCATACTAATCAGAAAATTAGTTAGTGGATAACCTATATTAAGATATCATTATTTATAAACCTTAATAAAATGGAAGACTTTCCAACCTTTTGATCTCCAATAATAATTAAATTGCATTCCATAATTTATTTAATGAGTTTCAATCAAAAAAAAAAATTAATATTCTTATATTTATGAATATTATTTTTAATGATAAATTAATTATCAAATATTAATATTAACATAAAATTTATGGATTAATAAATAAAAAAAGAGGATGAAGAAATTTAAATAGATGACATAAAATATTAGATAAGTTCAGCAAAAGTAGATGGAAAAGAATATTATTTGTATGAATACAAAAAAGAACTTAATAAAGATGAGAATGATAAATTAACTTAATTTTTATAAAAATTAGAAACTGGATTAAAAGGAGAAGAAGGAATGGAAGGTGTTATGAATATTTGTAAAGGATGGAAAAAAGAATGTGAATAACAATAATTTTAATGATTTAAAGAATTATTTAATTAAAGAAATCACAAAAAATTAAATACAATTTTCATTAAGAGTTTTTTTTCTTATTAGTTTTAAAATTAAATAACAATTAAGCTTAAGGATATATTGCTTCTTAATTATTCTTTTCTCTGATAAGAACATACTCTAAACTCATTTTTTATGATTTATTTGGCTATATTAGGTTATAATAATACCCTTATACGACTAACTAAATTTTCAGTGTTTATTTTTTAAGCATAAACTTATGTATCAAATACTCTTGGTTCTTCAGTCTCACCATCATCTTCTTCTTCTACTTTAACAAGATTTTTTAATTGATCCAACTCTCTTATTTTATCAAATAATGTTTTCTCTCTTAGACATTCATTTTTTTAGATTTAATAATTCAAATATTTCATTGCTTTTTAATCAATAGCTTTCTCTTCTTTTGAACTAGTTTCATCTCCAGATTCATCAGTAAAAACTACATCTGCTTCTTCCTAAGATAAAATAATAGTGAAAATATATACTTTTTTTATGATTTAAGTATCTACATTAGTTTTAACTTTCTTTCTTTTGGCAGGCTCCTATTCGATAGGGTTGTCTATATTTTGCTTTATTTAAGGTGAAACTTTTATTTTTAATCTATTTTCTTTGCCGCCTTAAATTGCTTTTAAACTACTTTACCAAAGCTAAAAAAAGTATTAATTTAATATTACATCTTTAAAAGTTTAGATCTCAGATTCACTCATTTATAATTAACCTTTGTCAGAGTTTTTCTTTAATTTTCCAATCACTTCATTAATTATTATTTCATAATGATTTTAAGTCTCTTATACTTATTAATCCATAGTTGAAGAATATAATTTTTAATATTATTTATTAATACAAAATTTCGTTGATTTTGATTATATAGTGTTATTTAATCAAATACCTAAATGAGAAGATAATTATCAATATATATTATATAAATTTAATAATTAGAATTAGATTTTCTAGATTTTCATTATCTTCCATTTTAACAATATTATAATATTATTAATTAACTGTTATGATCAATTAAATAAGAGAAGAACACCCTCCAATAAATTTAATAAGACCTCCTTAATTAGGAGGATTCTAAGGTCCTCGTATAGCTGAATCAATTATAAATCAATAATAAGGAGGAATGGAAGGAGGAATATAAAATACAAGATAATATTGGAATGAAAAAGAATAAAATTGGTTGAGATTGAGTGTGAATTTAAATCCTTTAGCATTTGCTAATTATGAACTTTTTAAGAGTGCAAATATGGACATATCTGAATCTCCAAATCCAGTATAATGTATACTATGTTTCATTTTAAAATTCATTATTCTCATACTTTATTTCTTAACTCCTTATTATCAAACAATGAAATTATATGAAACTATAGTAGTCTTGGGAGCAGTAGATTTTTGGATAATCAAAAATATTAGTGGAAGGTATGAAAATAGATAAATTAGGAAAATTAGTTGGACTACGTTGGTGGGTTGAAATAGATGATTTTGGAAATGAAAGTTGGGTTTTTGAGACTACAACTTAAGAGAAAGGAGAAATTTAAAGGATTCATAGTAGAATATTTTGGTTTGTTTAGTTATTTATGTTTTTGATGTTTGTTGGAATGTTTATAATAAATGCATCGTAATTACAAATAAGTGTCTCAATATGTATGTTTTTTCCTGCAGCATTCACTGGATATAACTTATATGCTTTTAATTTGTGTAATAAAATAAAGAGATCCAAATTAGGGGAATCCTTTTTATAAATGAGTGCTGGGAGAAAATCAGTCAAAATGCCCTTAAAATTAGATTGATGATTTATTAATAAAATATATTAATGAAATAAAAAAAAAGAAAGACTATCCCTTATGTAAACACTTAATTTATAGTCTCAAATCAAATGCCTTAAATATAAATGCAATCTTTGATTTAAGTTAATAATCAAATTTAAAATGTTCAAACAGTCAGAAAGCTAGAGTTATAAACTAAAAACTAAAATTGACATACAAAAATTATTAGAACAACCAACAAAAATTGAATCTTAATTGTCTTAAATGTCACTTAAATAAAGATCTATTTTTATTACAGAATTACTAATAATAGAGAAGAATATCAAAATAAAATAATAATCATAATCAATTCGTAAATTTTAGAGATTTTAAAATTAAGAAAAATAGATTGAAGTAATAGAAAAAATGATAAGAAAATTGATTAAACATCTATTTGTAAAGATTGCATAATGATTATTAATAAAGATTAGATACATTATAATCAGAAATTTTTAATAAAATAATTAAATCTAATAATATAAAATTCTCCAAATCCAATTTAAATTCCTAAATAAATGTTAATAGAAGTGCACAAAAAGATTAAAAGACTCAATTTAATATTTGTAGAAAACTCTGATTTAGAATTTTAAATAAATTATATGTTACCTAAATATACTATTTTAAGAATGTAAGTTATTTATAAAATCTTAGAATAAAAGAGAGAAGTAAATTTTGAAATGTTAAAATAAGTATCAAAAAAGAAATAGCTTAGAATAAAGATTCAAGATGAAATAATTCATTGAATAAATTAAAAACAAAACAAAAAATGATCCAAGTGAATTCTTAACACACACAATGTCACGATTTGATAGTTGTCTTGGAAATAAAAAAAAAATTACAGGATAAGCTATAGAAGACGTATATCCTGTTTTTTTTGAAATATGATTAAATTTAGAATATGTTCAAAAATAATTATTAACTTAAATCTTCAATCATTGCTTAACTTCTGAAACATTTAAACTCAAATTGCTCTTATGGTAATGTATTCGAGTTAAAAATTATTGGTGACCCTTAAAATCCGATTTTTTCTATCGTATTAAAATAAAGTCGTAATAGCAATACCTTATTACAAAGTGATATGATTTAAAAAAACTTGGATGAATTATTTAATGTTTTACCAAAATTGTGCATCAAATAAATTGAATAAGTAAAAGATGTAATTATACCAAATTCCTTTTAAGTACAGATTTCATTAGATTAAGTAACTAAGTCATAAATATCAATGCCATTTAAAGTTTTAATTAGTGATAAATTAATATTATACCCTCTGTTTTGTGATTTCTAAGTATTTTTAGAATAGATGTTATAATCAAATAAATTTGCTGATGAAATAATAAACATTGATCCAGATGAATATTATGTTATATCTTTAATGTGGGAAATTAGAAATTTATTGAATGATCTGTATAAGAATTAAGCTTCGTTTGAATTCATTTTATATCCAAAAAAGCATAATTTTGGGATTTGTAAATAATAAAATAATACAGAAGTCATTTACTTTCATTCATTAAAGCACAAATAAAAGTTTTTATAATAAAATAGTAAATTTTGCAGGTTATCTACAACAATATATGAAGCTTTAAAAAAAAAGGAAATAATTGAAACTTAGATTAACCTTTTCTTCTTGGGTGATGGAAAATTATGTTGTTAAGAATTAGATATCAAAGTTGATTATTCAAAACATTTATTTTAAATAGATTTTGAAAACGAAGAAGAAGAAAATGTAAAAAAGTGGTCTTAATAAATCTAAATTAGTGATTAATAGCATTCTAATTAAATAAAATTGCCTATTATTATTAAAAACCCAATTTTATGTCAAAGTACTCTATGTTTAAATAATCATATAGAAAATGATATATAACATTTTATAAAATTTGAAAAAAATATAAATCCTAAATGTTAATGTGGAAGGGAATTGGATCCATATAATGTTGATACTTTAATTATAGATTATAAGTTAATGAAAGCCTTTAATCATATTATTTAGGATTTATTACTTTAAATAGAAGAAATTGGTTTATAAATATTATTACATCCACTTTATATGGAAGTTGAGAAAGATGTATATGATAATTATTTTATTGTTTTATTTATAAAGGAATATAATTAGAAGAAGAAATTAAAATTAAAATCTTATTATTTTGAAGGTCCTAACTAAAATTATAATTTGCATTTGATTGAAGATAAAAATGACGAAAAAGATTATTTAGATAAATTATTGGGAGAAGAAGAAATTTATAATGAATCAGATGAACAATCATAAGAAAAATCTGAATAAGAGACTAAAATGTCAATTGAGAAATGATAAAAAAATTTAGAGACATTATTGAATATCTATATTTTTGTTAATTTAATATATAATTTAATTTAATATATAAATTAATTTTTATTAAATAATATTGGATATCTTGTATATATATAATAACAATAAATTTATTGTTTTTAACAATTATATCCTAGTATATTTAGTTGTATTTCTAATAATATATTTTTGACCAAAAAGTAAGTGAAAGTAAATTATAAATAATTTGGAATGTTGATTATAAAATAGTAAAGGATAATAGTAATGATAATACAAAGAGAGTTAAAAAATAAGGAAAAAGATATTTAATTTAAAGAATAAATGATTCATATTACATTATTATTTCATTCAGAGTAATCATATTCTGCTTTATTATGCATGACTAATTAATCTCCAACGAAATAGAAACTATCTGACTTAGTTTCGTATGGATTTTCAATCATTTCTTAACGCTTTTAATAATGTAAATATTATACCATAGCTTCATCAATCTCTGGGATTGTGTAAATATGTTCCCAAGTATTTGTTGAATTAGGAATACAGAATGGGAATTAAAATTCATAACATCTCAATAAGTGATCTCTAAAATAATGTCTTTCAATAATAGTAAAGTTTTTGATAGGATCTTTCCCAACAGAGAAAGTAAGTTAAGCACCTACTGTTTTCAATTCAAAAAACTATGGTCCAAACTGATATTTAATTCTTCTTGCTTCATCTTAATATTCAACTGGTATATTTTCTTATATTTTAATTAATTTATATACCTATTGGTTATTCATCTGGATCTCTTTCTACTTCAAATAAAACTTAACCTGAATCCATATCACGAATTCTAAATTTCAAAAATTAAATGTTGTAAATATTAGCACTTACTGGACATAGAAAACTAAATTGTTATATCTATCTACTTAGCAGTAGGTCCTGTTAACGATTTCACATATGCAGGAGTCACTTATTACATAATTATTTATATATTAATATTTTTAATTCTTAATTATAGTATATAAATAGAAATTTCTAATTTATTTATAAAACCTATCTCTATTTATTATTATTTTTCAATTATTATGTACTTATATCTAAATACAAATATCTATTACTATAAATCAAAATCCTATATTTAATAAACTATTAAAATAACATAATTGAATTTAACTTAAATAAATAAAGTAATTTAATTAAAATTTCAATATAGAATAGGTTTCATTAATTAAGATTCAATAATATAACATAATCAATATAATAATAATCAAATTATATACAAATTAGCATATATAAAATTGTATAATAATTCAAATTTTAGGTAATTCTTATTCTTCTGTATTATCTTTAATACGTATTACAAATTCTCCATTTTCGTAAAATAATCTATCTGCTAATGCTGTGTAACAATACCAATATGAATCAAAAAAACCAATTAAACTTCCCAATCCAAAATCAATGCTTTTCCATATTACTGATTTAACTCCAATAAGATTCACAAAGCCAGGCTAAAAATTATATTATATTATACAATTATCCAACAAATTACCAAAATTCCAGGATACATAAATAAGGTATACAAAGATTGATTTACAATGTTATTTTTATTGATAATTCTAATCACAAGAATGATTACTATTATGTTATATAGAAACATTGTCCATATAGGGATATCAAAAAATATCATTATATATAGTTCCATATTTTCATTATTGATATCAAAGAAACAATTTGTTTATGGCATTGGATAGTATTAACCATATGCATCAATAATTATTGGTCTTTTTCACTAACAATACATACATTATTGATATTATCAGAGGTATTCCATAGCCTAATCCAGGATAATATGACTGCATATAATAATTTGTTTCACTCTCTCTTAAAGAATGATACAAACTATGAATAATAATTGAAGTCCAAAAAGTGCTTGATAAAACACTATAAACNTTTCTTATATTTTAATTAATTTATATACCTATTGGTTATTCATCTGGATCTCTTTCTACTTCAAATAAAACTTAACCTGAATCCATATCACGAATTCTAAATTTCAAAAATTAAATGTTGTAAATATTAGCACTTACTGGACATAGAAAACTAAATTGTTATATCTATCTACTTAGCAGTAGGTCCTGTTAACGATTTCACATATGCAGGAGTCACTTATTACATAATTATTTATATATTAATATTTTTAATTCTTAATTATAGTATATAAATAGAAATTTCTAATTTATTTATAAAACCTATCTCTATTTATTATTATTTTTCAATTATTATGTACTTATATCTAAATACAAATATCTATTACTATAAATCAAAATCCTATATTTAATAAACTATTAAAATAACATAATTGAATTTAACTTAAATAAATAAAGTAATTTAATTAAAATTTCAATATAGAATAGGTTTCATTAATTAAGATTCAATAATATAACATAATCAATATAATAATAATCAAATTATATACAAATTAGCATATATAAAATTGTATAATAATTCAAATTTTAGGTAATTCTTATTCTTCTGTATTATCTTTAATACGTATTACAAATTCTCCATTTTCGTAAAATAATCTATCTGCTAATGCTGTGTAACAATACCAATATGAATCAAAAAAACCAATTAAACTTCCCAATCCAAAATCAATGCTTTTCCATATTACTGATTTAACTCCAATAAGATTCACAAAGCCAGGCTAAAAATTATATTATATTATACAATTATCCAACAAATTACCAAAATTCCAGGATACATAAATAAGGTATACAAAGATTGATTTACAATGTTATTTTTATTGATAATTCTAATCACAAGAATGATTACTATTATGTTATATAGAAACATTGTCCATATAGGGATATCAAAAAATATCATTATATATAGTTCCATATTTTCATTATTGATATCAAAGAAACAATTTGTTTATGGCATTGGATAGTATTAACCATATGCATCAATAATTATTGGTCTTTTTCACTAACAATACATACATTATTGATATTATCAGAGGTATTCCATAGCCTAATCCAGGATAATATGACTGCATATAATAATTTGTTTCACTCTCTCTTAAAGAATGATACAAACTATGAATAATAATTGAAGTCCAAAAAGTGCTTGATAAAACACTATAAACAGAAAAAAAAGACTAGGCCTGACATAATACAGGCTTTTCACTCAATTGAAAATTAGTATTTCTCAAAAATAAATATCCAATAGAGTCACTAAATAGTATGAGATCATATATCAAATCGAATAAAATAATCTGTAATACAATAGTAAATTGATCATTTCTTAATTCTCTAAATCTTCCATAAATATATATGACAAATCCACAACTTATAATTGATATAAAACTTAAGATAATTGTGACTATAGGAACAATTAAATCATTCATTTAATCAATAAATATTATAATAAAATTATTTAATAATAAAGATGAATTAATAGAATTCTAAAAACAACCACAATTTTTTGGATACTACTATCAGAACTCCTTTAAATAAATAATTAAAAATTATAAACCTGTTGAGAGAAGGAAATGATGAAACTTTGTATAAAGCATAATCTATACAAAATCAAAACTCGTGCCCTATAGAATTTATCTTGAAATCTTATTAAACAATGAAAGAATCCGAAAAAGATTTCATTTAGAAATTAATTTATACTTAAAAATAGTCTGACACAGGTATTGTAACTATTTTTGAATTATTTGAATAACAACAAAATTATTTAGTAATAATGGAAATGGGAACAATCAATTTACATGATTACATCAAAAATTAATCATCTCTAACAATAGAAAAAAAAATTGAAATTTGCAATCATGTAAATATTATGTAAATTCTTAGCTTTTTACACCTATTAAATTTATGCATTCTGAAAAATTCTATCACAAAAATCTCAAACCAGAAAGCTTTGTTCTTATAGAGAATAGATTTAAATTAATTGATTTCGGGTTAATGATGAAAGGATATGATTAAAATAACAGTCACACTCAACATGTTGGAAAAACTATATACTCAGCTCCAGAAATCATTTTCCAAACATATGAATGTTCTGAAAAAGTAGACTCTTGGGCCTTGGGTTGTATAATTTACGAGATTCTTTCTGGAGAGTCATTTTTTCTTAGAAGTATTATATCATATCTAAAATGTTAGATGAAACGGTAGAAGATTTAAAATGTTAACTCTATCAGTATTAATAAAAATAGGATTCATACCTTAAAAAAATTGACTAATTACAAATATCTGAATAAATTTAAAGAACCTTGAAGTAAATGTTAGACCCTAACCCATAAAAGCGTATATCGATTTTGGAAGCCTTAGAAGCATTTATAAACAAATAAAGTAAAACTTAAATGAATCCAGTATTTTAAACTCAAACAAATCAAGTATTTTAAACTCAAACAAATCCAGTATTTTAAACTCAAACAAATCCAGTATTATAAACTTAATAAACATATTAATAATCAAATAAAACCTAATAATAGCCTACATAATCTTTAGCTTCTCCTTTTTAATAATAAACTACTTAAAAACAATAGTTATCTTAGACTAATATTCAATAAGTTTTTAATTAACTTCTAGGTGAAATCAAATAATAAATTTCTAAAAATTAAAATTAAAAAATAGAAAATAAAGATGCAAAAAAGCAAATAAGAGAAAATGAGTCAAAATAGTCTTAAAATGATGTAGAAAATGCTTCTCATTAAATTAATAAAATTATCCATAATTTAAAAAAAAATGTCTAGGAAAAACAAGTATAATAAATATAAGAAATTAATAAATAATATGAATTAAAGTTAGAAGACAAAGATAAAGTAATAGATGAATTAAAGAAATAATTAGTGGATAAATAAAGAGAAATTGAATAATAAATAAAATCTAATAATGAATTGGTTTAAGAAAGCAAGAAACTTTAAGAATAAATAAATAATTTTAATTGTAAATCTTAGGAATAAGAAACATAGATAAAACAATAATAAGCATTGATATAAAAATAAGAAACATAGATATTAGAATAAGAAACATAAATTTAACAATAAGAAACACAGATTTAAGAATAATAGAACTTAAATTATTTAGTTAATTAAGTGATAAATATAATATAGAGTAGAAAGTAAGAATAATGTTAAAATAATCAACAGTAGTAATAACAAAATAATGAAGAAGAGACTCTCTTTTAAAAGCTTTTTGACGAACTAAGCTAAATTTGTAAAAGATTTTGATTCATTTGGACATTTTATAAATAATAGTATTATTAATTTTAATTATATATATTCAGGTTTAATGACTTCCAAAAAACAATTCATAGACGAAATATGTATTAAAATTGATAAGTTAAGTTGAGACATGTGATTCTATTCTTGAGAAATCATATAAAAATTAATAGAGTTTGGAGTTATTAATTCAGAAATATCTGTTGAATAAAGGAATCTAATAATTTTAATTGGTTTCTGTGAATTAATATGAAGATTAAAGCAGAAATTAATTAAAGTAATTAAGTATTGAACAACTGACATAGATTGAATTGATGGATGAATTAAAAAAGAAATTATAAGATTTAGAAATAGAAAAGGAGAAAATGTCATCCTAAAGCATGGATGCATTTTCTAAATTACTTTAAACAAAATAATGATTATAATTTATAATATATTAATCAATCAATTATTATATATAATAATACTTTAATTTTTGTTTGATGTAGAATTATAAAGACTAAGAAACATTTTATTAATAAATAAAATAATATGCAAATTTAGATCTTTTTATCAAAAAAAATCAATTATTTTTATATAAGTAGAAGAAATGGAAATAAGAGAAATTTAACATTAATTTAATTGTTTTAAATAAATTTGTATCAAAAGTATATTTATTATAAATAATTTAAAATTTTATGTCATTATTAAATTCCTTCATCTTTTATAATTGATCTAAAATTCCTATAAAATTAATCATCAAAAATTAATGTTTGTCTTGGAAATAAAAATATAGATTGTTTGATTGATTAAAATTGTTATTTGTGTTTTTCATTCATTATGGTGATATAAATAAATATACATACAGATTGAAATACTAGAAAAATGATACATGGAATCTAAGTGAAATTAATCAACCTTAAACATGAAATGAGTAAATTATCATAAAGTTCAGATATTACTGTTGACATAACATTACCAATAATTGTTGCTCCTTCCAATTCAAGTCTAGTGTTTGTTGGTAAAATAGTAAAGTTTTTGCTATCATATTATTAGGTTTTTAAAGTGTATAATATATATGGTAAGATTTATGATAATCCTTTTAATAAGTTACCATTCATAGCTATTCCACAAGTTAAATTAGAAAGTTATTTAAATTATTCTGTTTAAAATTCACACAAATTTCCTGTATTAATTGATTAATAAAAAGAGACTGCATTTTCATCAAACAAATAATCATTTGAACTTAAATCAATATTTAATTATGAGAATTCTTCTACTTTATTATATGCCTAAAAAAATACATCATACACTCCATCAATTTCTGCATTTGATAAAAAAAAATATCTTAATGTCCTTCTATATAAGACTTCTCTTTAAGCATATAAAGTTGGAATATCAACTCCAAGATCACTGATCCTTTAATAAATGATAGAAGTTTAATCATATTTCTCAAAATATCTTTCTATAATGAAAAATATAGTCATATAGAATGTTAGGAATAAAAGAAAATGGATAAATCCTATTGCAGCAGTTGTTTTTAAATAATTATTAGTTATTTTGAATCTCTTTGTATCTCTCTTTATATTATTTCTATTTGTTAAATTATTAGATTCCTCAAGTTCAGCATCTATTGCATCAATATCAAATTCAAATTTCTTAACTTTCTCTAATTCATTATTTACTATACTCAAATGTTTTTAAAGTCTCTTTTTTTCATCATCCAATATTTATTGATCCAAATCCATTAAATATTAAAATATTGAATTCATAATTTAATTATATTCTCTATAACTATTAATAATTATTATGCATAATAATAAACTTATTGTTATAAATGGTAATAATACTGATAACCATTTTTCTTTTTCTAATTTTGATCTTTATAAAGTTTCATCTAATACAATCTTATTTAAACCATCAAATGTATGTTTTATTGTTAGATAATTTTTACTTGTAAAATAAAAAAATGGACTATCAAATGCTACATTTCGAATAGTTAATCCTAACTTAAAATCATATTAATAATTCATCAAAATATTTGCTAAAGATCTTATAGTTACATTTTTAGTATAACCAACATATGAGCTGTTCAAAAAGTTGATTGTTATATATTCATTCTCTGATAATTAATCAATTTCCCTTCTTTCTAATACACTATACATACTATCTCTCAGATGATCATACATTAGACTAAAAGTTGAGAATGGATATTTTGTCAATTAAGCATACACACTAGCATTTATATGCCCTCCACTTAATTATTCTCTGTAATTAACCTAAGAAAATCTAGAAACATAAAATGATTCATAGGGTTCTACAACATCATATCTTATTGATAATGTTTTGATATCTTCTACAAATTATTCTAAATTTTAAATCATTAAGATTTGCTATTAAATAATTAATATTATAATTTACTATTATTAATCCCAGTAATATAATAAATATATACAAAAAAATGAATTTATTCATTTTTACTATTTTTTGTGATTATTTCTTTGATTTCATTAAAATTGTTATTATCTCAAATTTTTTATAATATTTTGATCTTCTAATAGCAGTAACAGAAGATGTAGATCCAATTTCTAAAAACTCATCTTCCTCAACAATTTTGTTTACTTATTTTTTCATATCTTCATCATGAGAATATTTTGAACTATGCAGTAATCGTTTTTATGATAAAGGTTCAAATACATTTTGACTCTTTCCTATTTCCACCATTTATAAAGTACAGACTAAATTTGTATCAGTTTAATTTATTGTTTAACGATGATGTTCTTATTAAATAATACATAAAGAATTCTCAGGAATAGGATGATTTTCAATATCTATATAAGGAATCATCTTCTCTTCAGAATCATTTAATTCACTATTTATATTGAGTAATTTCTAAGTTGATCCAGGAAACTAAGTAAGAGAAGCCATATACAAAGTAGAATTCTCATCTTTAAACTTTTTTGAAATTGCTCTAATATTATCTAATTCTACAAAATAACACTTATATTGATTCTCAAATTTTCTATCTATTTTTATATTACCAGTAAAAGAGCAAGGAACTTTTTGATGATGATATTCTTTAACTAATTTAATTTCTTGATTGTAAAATTATTGTTAATGAGTAGATACTAATTATTAAAAATTTGGTATTATTTTAGTTATACAACTTGAATGAACTTTAGATTCATTTATCAATAAACTTTCTGAAATATTTGAACTTATATTAAGTATTTCTAAATGTTTATCAACTACTATATATGATCTATAGTCAAGTGATTCATAAAAAAATGTAAGAAAAGAGAATTTATCATAATTTGTTTAATTCATACTTATCATTATTTGAATTGGCATCATTACTTTATCTTATTATTTTAAAAATGAAAGATTTTATTATTGATAATATTTATTTTATCCTTCACTTAAGAATCTCTCAATCAAACTGCTATGTTTCAATTATACATATTCAGGTAAAAAAGCATTTAGTTCAGTATTTTAATGATATTTTTATTCTTATTATTATACCTTCCATTATTCTAATAAATATTATGCTCTTTAAGACTTTTTAGATATTATCACTTCTAATTCAGAATTTAATTCAGTAATAAAATAAGCAGGATTAATTCCAAATATTTTATGATACATTTATCCTGAAAACTAATTAAATTTATCATCTTCAAAAGCTTTACCTCGATTGATGTTAAAAGAATCAATATAATCATTTAGAATATGAAGAGTAAAATATTTCAATATATTTTAGTTACTACTTGCTAAAATTATTATATATTTATACTTGGGAATTAATTATATCTATTTAACAGCATCTCCTTAAATTATTAAATTTATTAGATAAATTGCAATGCATAATTGACATTTCCAAAACTATTATTTTAATGTTCAACAAAATTATAATAAAATTAAATTTTAGTTTGAATTATTTTTTTCAAATTGAATATTATTTAAGAATCTGAATTTTCATTTAGTACAAATGATTTCAAGGATTCATTAAGTAATTTATTATGTTAATTTGATAACATAATTTTTTCTGTAATTTAAATCATAACTTAATTTAAAACTTCACCCTTTAAATATTCAAGTAAAAATATTGTAATTGTTGATAATGGATTTTATTTTTTTTCATAATTTGATGATTATCTTGTCAAAAATCTGGTTATGTGTTATTAAGCTTTTACATATTATTAACTTCGAAATAAAATCTAAGCATAATCTGTACAAATTAAATCTCTAGATATTTCTATTTTTCCATGAAGTTTTTCTTCAATTTTACTTTCAATAATTTTAATAATGGCAACATATTAATCATTTTTATATTTTGTACAAAAACAAGTATTCTTATTATCACAATTTTGATAATGACTTTTGTAAAGTATGAAAATTTAAAGTTTAGTTTTTGATTTTTCATGATTACTTAAATCTAAAAAAGTAAATAGATATTTTAATTCATGTATTCCATAATTAGAAATTTTATCAATCTAAAATTCTTCACAAAACATTAAGATTTTTATAACAATTATGCAAACTAATATCCAATAATTATTATTATTTGTTGATTGAGTTAGAAGTACATCAATAGAAAGTACTAATCCAATCGAACTAAAAATAATTGTTGTGTTCGAATAGATTTTTTAAGCATAAACTTTGACTCTAATCTATTCAGCTATAAAGCATATTTAAATTAGGATATTAATTACACATTAAATTATTTAAGAGAGAAATTGTCTTTGTAAAAAAAAAAAAAAAATGATTTACATTAATTTAAGAATTTTTATTATGTATGAGTATGTGGTCATATTTATATACAATTAAGATGTTGATTTAAGTATTAAGCCTCTTCTAAAAATAAGTTCTCCTAATATCATAATTATAAGTGTTTCTATCATTACAACTATAGAAACACAAAACTATGCTAAATCAAATGATTTAAAAAGGCAAATTTCAAAGATAACAGGAAAAAATGCAGTTGAAAAATAATAGATATAAAAACAGAATATGACAGATATAAATCTGGTCCA